AGCCTTCAGACCACCCTTCTAGATCCTCTCTAGAAATATTACGACAACCACTTTCACTGGAATTTCTGTGTATTCATTCCAGTATGATGGAATCGATTGATACGAAATGCTTCACTTACGGCAATTAGACTGTCATGCTTAACTGTACTTTGCTTGGAAATCATATTCGCATGAATCCTGTTCCAATGGCCGTAACTTTTGAAGACGCGTAATCCCTTATGTACCACATGAAGTTCTTCGAGTAGAGATTCCAAATTCGGGAATTTGGTACGTAATATTCGCGGGTTTTGCCTCAGCTTACATAGACAATGAAGCTATCTAGCGTCGATCGTGACCTTGGCATTATGAGAATACAAGATCTTCAACATAGAGAGTCGGGATTGTATCATCAGCTATCTTACCGTATATGTACCCAGGTAGTCAAATAGCACTATTTAGAATAATATCCAGAGTAAATGATAATCCAATTATACCTACCAATAACATAGCTTGGCTTACAGCTCGAATAGACATCAACATGGTCATACTTTCCACCTCAAGCCTCTAGGATGGGGTACCTGCGTCAACACTGTAGAGTGGGAGTCCAAACCCGATATTAATGATGTCTTGGATGAGGGAGGATATTTCTTCGATATTCATTCTCGCAGTATCTAGCTTACTTACCTCTGCTACATCTAGTCATGCAATGCGAGACAGGCAATATCCGTGATGTCGGCTCTCGCACCTTGTTGTAAATAGACATCTATATAGAAGGAAAAGGTGCATATTCCGGTCTGAAGCATGACACACGAAACGCGGGCTCGTTGTCCGGACTTGGAAACAGGGCAGGCTAGCTACTGTGTGTTCTAGAAGCTAGGATACTGTCTCTATGTGGGACTAACTCGACTAGGAGATAGCGGGAGTACGAACATGTGCAATTCTGTCTGAGGAGATCATGTGGGCTGACAGACTTGGTTCCGTAGCCTATGACCTAAGTAAGCCACGGCCTCATGAACTAGTAATGTACCTACTCACCTAGTAGTAGCTACGTATATATGGTCTTTCATACTAGGATAACGGAGTAAATTATTATTATTATTCTATCTACCATTGTTTAGACTAGACAGATCTGGATAGATATCATAATCGGTAGCCGGTTCAGAGAATACCGTGCCAGAATACGGGACCAACAAATGAAAAAGGGGTGATAATAGGTAGGTAAGCTGCAATGAGTAGATATTGATGTATAAATTTTTCGGTAATATTGTAATAGCCGTCAATAGCAAACTCCTTATTCGTATAGAAGAGTAGGAAATAGACTTAATTGTCATTGCGGTTTACTAGCAATTTTATAGTTTACACTCCTCCGATTGAATGGATGAAGACTCAGAATAGGTTTAAGAGCTCGGAATTTATGCTAACGCAGCAGTATCCAATCCAACTGTGCGACTATGTATTTAAGTCTACGCCTTCATTTTAAGAGATATCTTATCATTGATGAATTACGTGTATCTCTTTGAAGAATCTAAATAATGGAAACACGACAGGTTGTGGCGTGTCGTAATTACTTCATCGTTTATCTCTACAAATTGTAGATTGAAGGTTTGGTCGACTTGTAGTTTGGCCTGTAATAGCTGGGAAGTAGTCTTTGAACATTGTGTACAAAGAGCGTTACCTGCATGTCTACCGCGATCTTAAGCAGCATGATTTCAAAGCTCCTTTTCGAAGAATATCTTCGACATTTACTCTATTATATTTGCAACATGCCGATTTAGGTCTCTACGGGATGTCATTGTCGTGGTCTTGCTATAAACACATATAATATAATTGAGATTAGAAATCTATTTCGTCAAATACGATATGTTGAAGGGATACTAGATTTTCAACTCGACGGTATACCTCGGTAATAGCCACTATAACAATTGTAGAAATATATACTCAATCAAAATTCCAAGTTTTGAACTACTTATCGCTCCTTACCGACCTACCTATCTAGATTTATGATCTCAATGTTATTAAAATTGGAGTTGCTTTATCTCCCTGTGGTTTCTGAACGCTCAGTTAAGTCTACCTGCGCATCGCGATTCACATTGCCTAGGTAGCTTCTCTTTCTTAGACTGGATCTTAAGGCCTGCACTTCCACGAGCATCTATAAAAAAGCTCTCGATTATATTTCGTTTTAACCTGATCACGCTGCATATCAAGTAGGTAGGTATATAAATATCCCTTGACCTACGACCGACTAGAGAAAACACATTGCTTGTGTTTAGTTAATTATCGTTTGAACGAGCTGCTCGAAAAATCGATCAATGTCAAGTTGAAGGCTGGCATACGAGATTTTAACTTGACTTTCAAGTGACTATCTACGATGATTATTCCACCCATCCCAAAGCACTTTCTTTGCACCTTATATGAGCTTGAGATTCGACATTGAATCTTGAAATATCTTTCAAAATCAGCAATAATAACTTAGACTAACACCTAATATATCAAAGCCTAGAAAAAGTTTCATATATACTTGGCCAAGTACATTCCCAGGCACCAAGTAAGTATATTTATCTCTTTTAAATGTATCATAGTGTGCATGATAACATAGATCCTTCATATTCTTATAATAAAAAGCAATCATTTTAATGATTTGCAACGAAAATCAAATTCATATAACGTCTAGGAGATATGCATGGATGATATAAGATATTTGGTTTTTACCTACTTGGTATTGGTCCTTTAATTCTAAGTGAGTTATATGATATTGAAATTGTTCCATGGCTAACTCAATAGTATCTTTGATCTCGATTGTATCCTTCTTGTGTCGAGTTGCAATAACCCCTATTTTACTCAGGTTTCCTAGTGGTGTAATGGTTAATGGTATGCTCAACATTGACAGCATTCCTTTGACTGGCACTTGACCACAGATAAGACTTGACATGTGAAATTTCAATTACAGCCTGGCTCCAAAATTCTTGCCATTATACGATTATATCAAGCTACTATTAGTGAGACGGTCGGTTGTTATTTGTACTTGTATAGGCAAATATTATGCCCACTTCCAACCCAAGGCCAACCAAATCAACACCCCTTCCTAAAAGTTATTTTATATTTACCCATAAAAGTCAAAACCTCCATGGGAACTAAATTAAGTATTACTGATACAATATTCTTCTTATACTTTAATCTGTAGTATATTTAAGTATTTAAACTTGTTTGCTGGGAAATTCAGGGGTTGATTAGTAATCTATTGATGAAGAAGCCCTCGTTTAGCGATGCACGAGGTGAAAATATGGAGGATTACTTAAAATTTAAGGGAAATATTAAGAAGAAGCTTTTAACTTTCAAAAGGGACAAATAAAACCAATGATGCTTGGCTTTTGAAATCCAATACCAGTAAAAGTTTTCCGGTAAATATGGTTGAGTAGGTAGATACTTATCCAACCATGATATAGGGGTACCTAAGTAGCCGTTTTGTTAGACATTTACGTTATACGTATTATCTACCTAGGTAGGTAGGTATATTGATATGTCGATCAACACCCCTTCCAAATCAAATCATTAAGTAGGTATACTTCAAAGATATTTGTGGACCTATCTGCCTTACATTTTTTTTCACAGCCTCGCCCTACCTCTCATGCTATCTAGAAGTGAGAATAACCTCATGCATACTTGGGTAGCTGGGTGGGTAATTGGCATGACATGCTGCCATTTCATTGCCGAGAAATGTACCTACGCAGTTACATTGGTGTGACAGGGGGAAAGGCAATTTGGACCGCGTCCAGTAGAGGCTTTTCGGTGTAAACCCCAACTCGGCCCTTCCAAGCAATTAGAATGCCTATTTGCAGGCCCAGCGCCATTGCCCCTCATTTATTATGCAGTCACTTACCTATGCATGAGTGAGAACTTTGAAAACACAGATTTGATTCCTTCAAGGAGAGGAAGTGGGAGGTGACTTGAATATCATACAGGATACAGAATACCAGCATGAGTTTCCATTTATGATACAAAAATCTTCATGCGGCTCTGTTATCCGTATCCGGTCCACGAGAACTCTTATAGCAGTGTGGGGAGCGTCGGTATGGCTTCTGTACCTACTATCAGTGTCTGCTTCTCGATCTACGACTATATCAGCCCGTCAGCACTACGTATTCACAGCCCTCCTTAGAAACCACTACCTGATATGCCAGTGGGCATCGGTATAAGCCTACCTAAGTTATTTCTAGATTTTAGTCAGCTGTTTTGGCCCCGACCCCATTAGCCCCCAAGTCCAAGTGTGCAGCTGAAAATCATCATATGATGGCAGTTCAGGATAGTTATATATCTCTCGAAGTCTTGACATCAGATCCGACTGTCTTGCATCTTTAAGCTCCCTTTCAATTAAAATCTTTTCGCGAAATCTTTTCGTTTCCTTTCGAATTGAATCAGGGAAAATACGCTAGCCCTTGTGGCTACCCAACAGGCTATCTCTCGTCATCAACTTTGCAGGGCAGATTTCCTTTCAGACAAGGCAAACACGCGCTCGACTTCATTACGGCATTGAGGACCCGACCGAAGGCCAATTGGCTTCATTGATGTTATCTCCCGGCAAAATCAGATTAAGAAGTGTCTAGAAGTCCCTGAGGGTCTGTGTCTTGGAGTCTCTGGCGAAGGCTGCCGTCGTTGGAGATGGGCCGCAAACCAAAGTATCTGCCTCAGGCAACCACTTATCCCTACGTTTTAGTCCCTTCGTTGCCTTTTATACACTTAACCTCTGCGGCAATATCGTATGCGATTCGCAAGCCAAACGCTAATTCGTTGATACTTGGTTTACAGACCGAAAGTTGCCAGCACAACGTGCCTAATTCCTAGGTACCCTACAGCTCTAGCAACACGCCAAAGAATTCCCTACACCCTTCCCGATATCCCGAGCTTAGCAGTGGGATAGCGGAACAGTGGTGATGCAAGAGAGAGCAATAAACTGCGTGCATTTCCAGTAAAGTGCAAAAAGTTCCTTAATTGCCTACACATTCGTATAGCTCGATATCCTTGGCGGTGTGATCCTTAGATGTCCTAAGGTCCCTTTGAAAGAGGGGAATAGGAGATGAGAATTGGACAAAAATGGAGGTAGTTTCTCGTACAGATGGTCAATGTTAAGAGTCATTGTGTTGCTATCAACGAACCATAGACGACAAATTGTGTTGTCTTCCACGCACCCGCCAAGAACAAAGTCCAATGATGGAGCATTCTATCCCCATGAATTCATCCTGCCACATAAACGCTCGCACTACCTTGGAATTGATGGGCAGCATTCCAAGCGAGGCCATCTCAAGCGAGACCAAATATGAGCATAACAAATTCGATAGTAGTACTCAGGAGGCTCCTGTTTATGAGGATCTTCTTATTCAGAGCGAAGTGAGGCAGCCTTGCTTGTTAGTTTTATCTCTTTCTCCCCTTCCTTTCCTTGTCATCACCTGAGCTCACATGGGTATGAAGGTTTCTCAAAAGTGTAGTGGATGACTGCCATCAAAGTCGTCTATTATCTCGGGTTCTCGAATACTACTTTGTCGATAATGACCCAGAGTCGTTCAAAGAGTGTCCTTGTCCTATGGTAAATTGCCAGAAACCCAAATTCGACGATCCCCGGGGAATGATTCGGCATCTCAAAAACTGCGAATTCTTCGATGATGGGCTTTTTCGATGCCCAGACTGTGACGCTGTCAAGAAGTTTCGGACCGCCTCCAAGAAAAGTTGTTCATGGACTCCCAAGCCAAGTTTCCGGCACAGAGCCCAGAAGAAGCTCAAAGCCGCCATGGATATTATCAGAAAATTTGCCAGTTCTCAATCGGACTCCGCTTTCTACCTAGGCGAGTGTAGGAATTGCGGTCATCCTGTGCCGGCAGATGGACTCTACGAAAATCCTAGAGTATTTGACAGTCGTTGCTCAAGCAGTCCAATCTATGATCCCTCTTCGGTCAAAGGTCACTCTGAAGACGAAAATCGTTATGAGCTATCCGATTCAAAGTTGCATGCTCTTGAACTCCATGCGTCACCTGCGCACAACAGGACACAACTAAGCCTTGCATCTTATGACAAATACAACCATTCTGGGCACATCAACTTCGACCCGTCACCTCTGTCCAGCTTACCCTCAGAATTAGACTCGTCATCAGGCAGCCAGGGGAATATATATTCCACAGACGTTTCACCTACGGTGACGGAATCATTGACGACCATGTCTACCAATAACTCTCAAGGTCAAAGCTCATCAGCAAATCACCACCAACGCTCCAAGAGTTCATCTGATACTGAGAAAACGCTAAACAATCATCACGGCATGGAGCAAATGCAAAACAACTGGAAACGCCCCCAATCGACATGCCAAAGCCAGTCACTCTTCATCCAAACAAACTGCCTTGAGTCTAACATGAACAATATGGAATGGGGGAACTGCACTTTCTATAACGACAGTACTCTAGAGCCTATGAGTAGCATGGAACAACTAGGCATAGGGAACTTGTCGTCATCTGCATCTGTGATGCAAGCACCACAACTACTGGATATTGGAACTTATGTGGACCCTTCCATCCCTATTGTGGATGGTAATATTACTCTAAACATGGTGACACCTACTACTTCCTGTCCCCTGAGCTCAACAATCCCATCTTCAAGCTCTACGCAACCTCCTGAATCAGAACTATCGGATGATGACCTATCCTGTCCTCATTGTGTGTTTAGGCCCTCGGGGAAGGAACAAAATCTCAGGGCATATCTTCGGAAACATGTATCGACCCACGGGAACCCGACATACGAATGTGAAGTCTGCGGCAGATCCTTTACTCGGCGAGATAATATGGTTGTCCACCGTCGTAAACACTACCCGGACTCTACACCAAGCGATTTTGAGAACCAAAAGAGAAGGAGGGTTTCATACAGTACAATAGGCTAGGATACTCCTAACTGGACCGGATAGGATATTTGCCTGCTCCTTTACTTATATGTTTACTAAGGACGAATTTCTATGAATCAAACGGACTTTGGTAGTTTTGATTTTCGTAGTAGCTTTCATGATCTATGAGCTGGCTATCTCCTTGTTTCATACTCTAAGGTCACTTTCAATATAATAAAATTGATGGTAATCCATTCTTCGGGAAACTATATATGCTTCCTTACTATGAGCCGTGAACATGATGACGCTTAAAGGATTACGATGAATTCAGAATATAAACCCAAGACACTAGGACCTCATAGGCAAATAAAACATAGAGAGCATCATCTTCATCGAAGGCACATTTACCAGGATCGGAACTTGAGCAAGGAGACGAGCAAATAATTCCATTTCTATCCTCGTTACGCCATTATCGTGAACGGTAGATGCCTAGACTAAACAGTTTTGCGTTTTGATCCCTTGAGTGGTAGCTAGTCGCCAACGAGATGATGGTCAAGCATACCGACGTCCAATTTCTGCACAGTAATCACGAGGGAAGAGGTAAAGCATGGCAAATGCGAGTCATCTGCACACTAACATCAAAACGTTGCGACCAATTCCTACAGATATCACATTAGCATGTGGAGAAGCGAATCCTGAGCTCCTGCTCACACCCTGTGGGAAATGGTAACACTCTCTTTGCAATTGCGTGTAAAACTTAAATCACTCTCGGAACCGTAGACTTACTAGGGCCATCTATTCGTCCTTTCTGAAGGACTCGGCTGTGATAGTGACCATCTCAGGTTTCAGGGTATGTTCCAGGCAGAACACCCAGCAATCAAGAATTTTACTAGCATGCTGGCCGTTGCGGCTCTAAAATCCCGGTCAATGTCAATTCAGTCATATTTTCATCCCTCAAAGGGAAACCCAAACTTCTTTCGCCAGCAATACCCTGAACTATGCACTGAAGGGACGCATTATTCGAGTTAATGCGATCCAAGATATGGAAAACTCCCCTGTTAAGGATCAGTATCCAAAACTCAAGAAGGAAAGAATCCATGGACTGTCAAATTGATGAGAGGCGATGATATAAAAGGATTATCCCCCGCCCCGTATGTGATGTTCACGAAATGCTTGTTAACTCACCACATAAACGGAACATCTTTCTACAGTTCTTGATTTTCTACCTTCTCATCAATTCAATACCATTTACTCTTCAAATATTGAACAATCAAAACAATGGACAAGAACAAGTAAGTTCTCTTAGTACCTCATGAGTAATGAATGAGCCATACGACAAAGGTCCTCACCAACACTCGCAGCACCAACCCCCATTACCTTTCGAAGACCGAGGAAACTGAACGTACGACTCGCAACGGATCGGCTAGAGGCAATACTTACTCTCTGGATCGTTACATCCTTGATAATAATAAGTACGAGAAAATTGCCATCAGCGAGCCATCAAACAAACGAGAAGCCGAAGAACAGCTGCGGCGTTTCAACCAGAAGTGGGAGTCGGCGAGCAAACGGAGCAATTGAATTGCCTATATGCTCTGGGGTGACATGGATGGAAGTTAGTAACTAGAAGGGGTGGCTATGTAGCTCTGGGAGATTCTTGAAGAAAATGGGGTTCTGACTGTCGTTCATGCTCTAATGAAAGATATCGGGGGAAGTGTGCAGGTCTCCTTGAAAGTTAATACATCCACTCTCTTCGCCACTGCCCGCAGATCTAAAGACAATGTGTACATTGCCTCCTAAAACTTCTCTAAAGAAAATATAAAGGCAATGAAGATATAGAATAGAAAAAAGAGGGGACGAATTTTCGATCAATGTAGTCATCTTACTTTTAAGTCATCTTACCTCACCCCCTTTAAATGGCAAGCCACAATATTAGCGCCGCATATGCATAAGCCACATAGAAAAGGGGAACACCCAGGTACCCAGGTACCAGTGTCATTCTACATTGCAAACTCGAACATGCGACAAAGCGCAACGTGCTTAGGTAGGTACCTAGTTAGGGTAATGGCAGGCACCCTTAGGGGAGTGCCGCGCTTTGATCAGCGAAATGGGCAAGAGTGGCGAAAGTATCCGAAGTACTAAACGCATACTTATTCAAATATAAGCGGTAGAACGCGGTTCTTAAATCTTTTACCTTCTAATTTCCCCTTTTCCAAACAAAGTACGAATTTGATGTCGGCTCTTCCATTGCGTGCATTACTATCTTGGGGCCCTAGATCTTCTATCGCCTGTGATGAACACTACTCCCTGCAACAGTGCAAGTATTTCACTAAAAATTGGGGTTATTAGTGAACTGAGGCATTCTCTTCGAGGTTGAATTTACAAAGAGTCTTTACAAAACAATAGATTAGGTAGCCAATAGAATCATTGCCCATTATCATAACCACGGTTTCATCCAGGAGCGGTTGTTGAACCAACAATCATTGGAGAGCCAAGACATTCATTAGGAGGTGTCTGCTGACTCATTGTGGTGGTGTGCCTACCAGTACCAGCCCGCCTGTCAATTAAATTAAGTACATATCTATGGATGTGATCACGTTAAAGCAGCACATCACATATAACTTCACGAAGATTATCCACACCAAACAAGCATGCCTACTTTCGCAACAATTCCTTGCGAGATCATGATCTCCGTGTTACGCGAACTGGGCAATGTGCGCTTCCTGCTGCCCTCGCTTCTCACCTGTCGCCATGTGTACTCGTGCTTCAAAGAAAATCCAGGCGTGGCAGCCGAAATCTTGCAGCGCCAGATCCCCCCAGATATCATCCCTTATTCGGTCGCGGTGCTGGAAGCCTCATATCTGAGCCCACGAAATGAAACGTCAGTCCATGAGCTGCTCGAAACGCTATATACGCAGCCATCCAAGTTTACTGAACGTCTGCGGACCATACCTGTCCCGCTTCTGACAAGAATGGGACATATACACGGAGTGATCCATGACTTGACTACCGACTTTGCCAGCAGCGCATGGACATGCCTACATAAGGATCAAGGATCGGAAGCGGCTGAGAGCCTCGTTCTGTCGCCGTCAGAATACCTCCGCTTTTGCCGAGCCTTCTATCGGGTGGAGTTATATTTTTGCCTCTTTCGCTGTAGAACTTCGTTGACATCTATACCCTTTCATGAACACCGTTTTTTTTCTAACCAGCCACCTTGGGAAAAGGAGCAGCTCGCCTCTGCCCTGGACTTTCTCGAGCTCAAGCTCTCAAGAGGTAAGTTTTTATTCACCCATAAAGGCTTATTATCTCCGATGAATGTGCGGCCATGAGCTCTCAGCGCGAGTTTCTGATTTTAATTTACAGCCTCCCGTGATGTGGTAGCTCATGATGTTGAGTTTGGCGAGTTAAAGATCGACTATATCACGACTGGTATGAATAACTACATGAGGCAACTCTGGGTAAGTCACAGTCCAACATCCTTATTCTATCCGCCGCATTTGTTGCTTACAAATAATGGTCATATCCAGCTATCACAGGGTGTCGACTTCATCCACAGATTGATGAGTGAAAGCTCATACGACGGCAAAAAGGCGCTATTAAAGTCTGCGTTTGCTGCTGATCGAGTCGACCTTTACGAAGCGCTTATGACACCGCCCGAAACGGACTTGAACGATGATGTCCCACTTTCTAGTTACACTAATGAGGACCTGGCGGCTCTGTTTCCGCCTACTGAAAGCCAGGACACAGATGAGGGCCCACTTGCAGGATGGCGTGTGGCCTTCAACCCTTGGCCACGCAGTGCGTGGGTCATGCTCGCACATCTTTCTGCATTGAGGGAGCGGGCTTACGTCTTCTGGGACTTGGATCGCATCGAAATTTACCGCATGCGGGCACTGTTTAACGATGCCCCGGCAAATTCTGAACTTCAACGTGCCTACCATGATCTAGACGAGATGCGCGAGTCATTTGAAGAGCGCTCAAGGATTTGGCAGAAAGGCGGTTCGGGCTATTGGAGCAAAAATGATGAAAGCAGAATTGTATGGCCAACACAGCAGGATGGGAACTAAAGAACCCTAGATAAATCAAGGGGCAAAAAGGAGGAAGTGACGCCTTTAAAATGACCAGAATTGATGACCGCGTCCGATTTTGATGGGGTAAGGAGACACGGCTATTCGCATATAGCATAGAAGATGCCATTTTCAGACCCCAAAACTCCAGTCCTGGAGACGCCTATGCCATGTAGGCAACATTTATATGCCAGAATCTCTAAAACGTGAACAGTTCGAAAAACAGATGACTTCCAGGAGGAATTAAAAGTTTCCCGAAGGAGAAACATAAGGAATTCGAATTAGGATACTCAGGGATTCATTTGTCCTAGGGACTAGTTAGAATACTCCAACTTCGGCTTCGACAAGCCATAACACAAGCACATTAGACACCCGTCTTACGCCAATAAAGATTCAGCTTCCACCTAGATTAGTCCTAGGGGACGCAGCTCTAGTAGTTTATCATACAAGTTTGCTATGTTCATTTCGCTATCGAGCTCCGACGTTATCTATATACAAAGCAACTCGCTTGTCGGCTCTCTCTATCATTTCATCCCAATTTATTCGTCGTCCCAAAGCCTTCTGCTAATAATGATGGGCCTAGCCTGGTCCCAAGGTCCGTTGATAGCGTTCTTATACTTCTGGAGACCAATGAGCCACCAGCTGCAGCCGCCCATCGCGACGACGGCGACGAAGGACGCCACCAAGACCCCTAGGAGCCCGCTTTTCCATGGCCACACGTCATCCTTTTCTCCGCTCAGTATTAGGCCGACCCCGCCCCCGGCACCGATCACGAGGAGTACGGAAAGCACGACGTGGTATCTCCAGCTGCGGTGCCGGGCGTACCTACGAAAGACGGGGAAAAGACCGAAAACTTCAATGCTGAACAGCGTGAGGCTAAACACTTGCCCCGTGGATGGCAGCCGCGAGGCGAGCACGGTGGACGCCATTAACGCGGCGTTTGTGGAGAGGGAGGCCGGGAATTTGACGGGTCCGGAGGAGTAATCATAGAAAAAGATGTTCATCGCTAATAACCAAAAAGACATAGCCCAGATACTGTCGGATGAGGTAGAACGAGTTAGGGATTTTAGGATGGGCGATAGCCCAAGGAGGGTGAAATAGATAAGGATGGCTGACTTGATCGTGCTGAGGCGAAGGTTGGCCCTGCCGTTGCGGAGGGGAGAAGACGGACGATGAGTCGGCACCTCGATAGACTCGGAAGATCGCCGGCCTTGCGATGCGTTGGACTGAAGAGATGAGGCCGATGCAGAGTGGGACTGTCGCGTGACCACTAGACTTCCTTGTGGGTATGTCCGCTCCATAGCAGCTAGATTGGTCACAGAGCTCGCGGCGGACTGCGTACCACCTCCGGCGATATTCGAGCGGCCTCTTCTGCTTTGCTCTCTTGTCGAGCGGCTGCGGTTGCTGCGTCGCCTCTGCAAAGCTTCATCCTCGTCCTCCTGACCAACCCACCAGTCCCACAACAGCCATCCCATAAATGTCGCGAAGCTGCCCCAGCCCACGACGGCCACGGGGGACACACGGTCTTGGAATATCCCGACAAAGCACACTACAAATATGGTGACGGAGCACACTTGCTGTAGGATCACTGTCGAGTCGGCGACGAGAGGCCAGAATTCGTACGGTTGGAGACGCGGGTTGCGCTGCAGGTTTTCGAGGAAGGTGGCTTGATCCGTGTAGTTATCCGGGTCTAGAGACAATCATTGTTAATATCGATGCTATAGATGCTATACGAGGTCGTAATCCGTACAAGATTGCTTAACCCAGAGTAGTTTCTTCCAGTTGCGCCGTCGCCGACGGCTCCTACTACGACTACCGAGCTTCGAGTTCATCTTTCGCGACCGCGATTCACCGCGGGTGTTGTTTGGCTCAAACCCCGATTGCCGCCGCAAGGGCGGAGCTGTGTTGAAGGCATCTTCGGGGGCAAGGTGGGATCGGGCAGATCGCGGCGAATGTAATTCGATGGGGAGAGTCGCCGCGCGTGTTAATCCAGGTTGTGGTGGTGGTGATGGTGGTGATGGTCCATCGCGTGTGGGTTTTGATGTCGCGGTCGTCGCCGAGGAGCCAAGGCTAGATGTAGACATTTCCGGCTTCGTATCCGATCGGTCATCGAAATGGGGTCTGGCAGCCGAGGCTTTGGGTGGGCTGCTCTACAGCCTTGTGATGATATGCATGTTGGGAAGGATGAATGATGGAGAAGGGAAAATGGTGAATTGGATCTAGACCCCTGGAAGGCTGAGCCTTTGAGCTTGACACTTTGGTGGGGGATTTTGTTGCCCTGTCTGCCTGTCCCCTGGCCTTAAGGTTCAATCGTTAAGCCTCCAGGGCTCGGGCCCCACTCAGCTTGGCCTTAGCTGCTTAGCCACACAGCCAAGCCGTCGGAAGATTCCATGTCCAAGGTTCACGTACGGGAAGGAACAAGCTCGGACGGAGCCTTGGCGAAGCTATGATGCATTAGAACGATCAATTGATGAATTGTAAAGCTTAAAAGCTATAGCTCCTGTTAGTTTCAACTGGTCTCAACTGGTCGTTGCTGCCCACCCTTAGGTAGGCAGGTAGTCCCCAACCAACAGATACGAGCTGTCAATGCTAAATTGCAAGGATGTAAAGTGTTAGTTAAGGGGTCGCGTGGTTATGGAATTCACTATGCAAAACTCATTATACTAATAGGCTATCTCTTCTACACTACCTAGGTGTAGAGCGATACTACGCTTTGACGTCACTGTTAATGTTTGTCTTCACCGCAAATAAATCTGCCTATTCTGAATGAATAGTAGGTACTTCGGATGGATATGTAGGTAAGGTAGTATTTATCACACGTGGGAGAGGTAATTAAAAGACAATCAAATTTGGCGAAAAAAAAACACTATCTACAAGTTGCACCGTGGCGTCAATGTTTGTCTTAGTCTACCGGTCGAGATTCTCGGATCGAAAGGTACACAAGGGGACAGAAGCTTGTTTTACTGTAATTACCATGGTATTATACCTATGCTTCGGTCACCCAAGTCGAGTCAAGCTTTTTATTTTACAAGCCAGAGGTCTAGACAGGTCTAAAATTGGAAAACAATGCTTGGCACTAGACCTTAAAGTCCTTGCCAGATTCGGATACTGCTGGAAGATCATTGGACGGTGAGTGGCTAGTTAAAATAAGGTATATGCGATTTTGTCCCCTCATAGGGGAATTACGGTGCACCTATGCTGCTAGTGCCTACCAACAAAGCGCAACGACGGCAATCCCGGCACCTACGGTCCTTCCCAAGTATCAAATAGTTTTGTCCTTACTTCATATTCTGAACCACCGCCCCTTCATCTACCATTACCAAACTATTTCAACATTTTTCCAAAAAGGTACGTATGAGAAGAAAACCGAAAACTTCAATGATATGCAGAAGTTACAGTGGTATTTGATGAAAGGAATTATCTCAGCTTCCTTCTATGTCGTTGGTGATCATTTAGCGAGGCGCAGCCTCTGACTGGCACAGCTGGTACCATAACATTTCGTCATATTACGATCCAAATGCTGATCTTTCAACCAGAGACCTTCAGTTCTGACTTACCTTCAGTTACACGCCTAGGTACCTACGTAAAAGGTACGGTGCCCATTCATCCGATAACCCAACAAGAAGGATAAGAAGGATTCGGCACTATACGGTGCATACGGTGCACATAACAACAAACTTGAGGTATGTTCATCTAACGCACCCACCTCGTCCCTCCGGAATAATAGGTAATAGGTAGAGGTGATGGAATGTCTTAGTGGACGTTTGAGCATTCCCCATTTTACCCGCATATTAATAAACGCGATCTACAATGTTAGTCGCTCCCCACTAGTCAGAGCCGAGTTCACTGACCCCAAAGTCCTAGTGTGGTCCCTAGTTCCTAGCAGCTCAGCAGCCCAGCAGTCCAGCAGCCTGCTTTCTTGATGCCTACACTAGTCGGCGAGCTCCAATAGGCATTTATTCATGCAGCTCTTCTCACAACACACGCTGACAGTCGACTCCGTCAACTCCCCGAATAAATAAAAAGAACTCAGGTCGTCCAAGCCCTCATTCGAAACCGTGTCACTCAGAAAGGTTTCTCTCATTTATTTCCTCTATCTGAACAACATTCCGATTCATTACCGTATTACCGACCCGTCAACCATACATGTCACATGGATCTTGGAATTCTAGAAAAACATTCCCTTGGCGAGATCACGTCGTGAATTCAATTTTACCTTCTCACGTTCTTATCTTCCTTTATTTTCTTTGAGTCACCCCACCGAGAAGGGCGCATTTCGTCACCGAATTTCTCCCAATTAAAATACTGTCGTGCGCAGCCCAAGACTTTTACATATTAATAAAGTCATCTCCTGTCGCCTGCCACCACCGCGTACCTGACAGGCTTGGGTCAACTTGAATCGATCGCCAAGAACTTAGGGGACCGCCTAAACCTTCCAACCCATCCTGCATCCCACACAATCCCTACGACGATTCTGCCGATTTCATCACTACTACAATATTAACGTCTCGTTCAGTTTCAACCGTTACAGAATTGGTTTGAACGCCGAGAGATATCCATTATCATCCTTGAACGTTGTCGCCGCTTACGTTTGGGGTCGTCTTTCTCGGAATACTTGTTCTCGTCTAAATCCTACATATTCCTTCCGATCCCTCACATTGGCGCCGTTTCGGTTTTCGAGGTGCATATTACGCAAATAATTCACAATTTATTTTTCAACCAAGCAACAAATCAGCAATCAAAAATCCGCCATGAAGAACTTAACAACCATCTTATGCGTCCTCTCGGTCGCGCCCTTGGGTCTTGCAGCTCCTGTCGTCACGCACGATAAAACTCCGAGCCAATTCAACGATGCATCTTCCCATGTGCAACAAGCAACACGGCCAACAGAACTGCACCAAACCAAGTCCTTCTTATTCCCTTTCTTCACGCCGTCTCGAGTACCAGCAGAGAAGCGTCCAAAGTTTGTTGTCACAGAAGATGGCCGACGTATGCAACTACCGGACCATCTTGCAGGTGCCAAATCTTGGGAGACTCCTAATGTCCTTCACTTTCTGTCCTCATTGGCTCGTCCGAAGAAGCTATCGCCATTCCCCGACTCTAGCATCATGAGAGAGGAGACACGCGCGAACAACGCTGAGATCGAACCGCAACTAACCATTGTGGAGTTGGAGACTAAGGCAGAGCGCGAATCGTGGACATATCTACCTTACGTCACCGAAGACAATGTACTGCGCTTCAAGTGTGTGCACAAGGTCGCGGATAAGGGCGTCCTCCTTCCCTTGATTGCATTTTCCGTACTCATCGTTATTATCACTTTCGTCATTTTAATGAGCCTGCTTCGACACTTGTGAGTATTCGTCACATTCGAATCCTTATTGCTACTTTGGACTGACGTTACTTTAGGTATCGCTCTGTTTGTTCCGCCAAGCATGGGGCAATTCACCTAGATGACGAAGAGAACGCGACGCCCAGCAGCTCGCTTAAAGTTGCCTGCCCACCCCAGGAGCCTCAAACTCTCAAACTTGATTTGAAGGCGGATTCCTCAATTGACGGCACTATGGACGAGAAAAGTTATGAGTTGTGACGATCCGGGGGTTTCTTTTCCATTATGATACCAAAATCGGTCTTGGCGTTTGGGATCCGAGCTGGCATCGCTCGTGGGCAAGCATTGAAATTTCGTTTCACCAGAAAAACAGAGCAACGGTATCGTTGGGACTATGCAACGTCGATTGATTCACGCTAGGGATGAGTGAATTGCCTTCTGGAGAATCCAGAATGGTAAAACGTGATGTGGTCTTGGCATTGCAAATTGACGGTGGTAGCAAATGACCGTGGATAGGGGCACTCTAGGAAGACCCCACAGGATCACCCACAAGGTCAGCTACCACCAGGTAGCTTTAGCTATCTAGACCTCGATCCGAACGAGGCAAATCGATCAATTAAGACAAGAATTAAGACAACAACTATGCATCGTCGCCTTGTGGATACGAAGTACATGTAGCACGACAGATTCCATCGTAAATCTCTGCCTGCATACCTAGTACTATGTATGATACGAGACATTACTTAGCATATGTGCTAGCTCTGCGCTTCGTAGGGGAATATTGAACACGTGCCACTCATTCCAAAGTCTAGAATTATTGATATGAGGTGCTAAATACACGTTGTCAATTCCATTCCATAGTATCCGTTCGACAACATGTACGAACCCACAGAATAGGCAAGGTGAATAGGCCATCATCAGTCAACGCCCGATCCCATCTGACCTTTACTTACCGATTTGTAGGCATGCATCGCCTTCGGTAGACTTGTCTCTGCACGATAACTGGACACTCACCATCTAGAAGTTCGCAATGGTTCTTGCGGGTACCTGCACGCAAGCGTGAGGCTGCCCAATTGGCATCCCCGACAATGCTATAGACATGATCTCGAAAAGTTATAGGTGGAGCTATGTCTAGAGGCGTCCAAGCCATCACATGCGGAGAATTTTGATTGGGCCGTTCTGCGTTTCTTCTAATGCATTAACATCATCGATGTACCTAGATACTACATAAGAACCAAGCCATGCATCGATCCACGGCACACAGCAGACACAGTAACCTACACTAACGGCAACTGGTTCAAGGTGAAGAATTCTCCTTCTTTCGCCTCCGTGTCACTCTCTTACTGTAGAAACTGCGGAAAGCTGAGGTCAGATATGAGGAGATAGGAATGCCACGCGACTCAGTTTACCTCGAAGGCTGTGATGTCTATTGGACGACTTATTGTGTTTATTGGTCGATTAAATGAAGAGCTGAGACCGCCACTTTGAAACATCGATTTTGATTGCGCGGGCTTCTCCGCTCCCCAAGCTGCAGAGCCCCAATCTTTGCAACTTCTGCAACCTCTACAACTTTTTTCTTGCTTCGCTGTACATCTTGTATGTACGTATGCCTGTCCGTACGTCTATCTGTACGTCTGTATGCCCGTGCAAGTATCGTACATCCGATGCTCTAGGCGATGCTGCAATCGAGAGTGAGGCGCATGAAGACGCCCGCAGTTGAAGAGTCTTCGGTCAAAATCCCAAAATCATACATAATACATATGTCAACTTGCCCCTTGACTCACCTACCTATATTGCCTGACTACTACGTGAAGTACACATGATACCGTATATGCCTGGCCACTTTAGTAATAATGCAACTTGTCGACTTGTCATGCTGGCAAAGTTCTGCAAGAGCACGGGAAGTTGACGGCTTCACGATCTATTATTGGACGGAGGATTTACGAATTTGTAAGTTTTGATAGTTCCGGCCCCCAAGAAAAAAAAATAAGAAAAAGATTGGACCTACCAACCTTGGCGAGAGCAGCCAGCCGTTGGAAGTGACGCTAGTTAGCCAACCTAGGGCAGCTACTAGGGCTGTTGTTTGAGAACTGCGATGCAAGAACCGGCTAACCCCTCCAAGTGGAAGCCATTCCTGGAATAAACGGTTTCCCTCCAAGCTGCGTCCCCTTCCTTCCCTACTACACTGCCTACATGCACCAAGTAAAGTACACCTACGTGTACTTGCAAGGTATCCTCCAACTAGCGATAGCCCGCATATGTACGCACCAGGTACTAAATCAATACTAACCGGATACTAACAACGCCTTCGAAGCAGGTACCACTCTTCATCACATTCACACAGTCACGCAGTCACGCAGTCGCCCACCCGTTTCTCACTAGTCATATTAAAGAATGATGTTTTGTCTCAGCTCGTCTTCCCAAAAACCTTTTCTCCTCCTTCCCTCCCCTGTATATGCGAAATACCCAGACTTTCCCTAGTCCCTTAGCAAGAAACGAGCAAAACAAGTTCAACCTAGAGTTGATACCTACCACTCTCTCATAAGGTTTTCTCAATCATTAATACATATATTGGAACTTAATATCTAAAATAAACTTATCTCAGTCCCGACCCCTCTAACAAAAGGGTTATTGGAACTCTATATATATAATAGACTCTCGGTTATAGATACATACCCCGCAGCCCCTACAATTATCGTAGGTCGCGCGGATCACGAGTTTTGGGGAACTCCGCTTAATCTTTTTGTGGCGACGCGCGAGAAAGTCGCCTCAGTACAATACGTCAAAGTTTAAAACTACCTACCTAGGAACTAGGTAGAAGCTAGGTTTCTGCGCTCGCAAAATCCTCGGGCCCCCCCTTCCCACAAATGTCTCTGCACGTCGACGATTCCGCGCGGCGGGGTCGCGACTCGAGCAGCGACCGGCGGCGCTCGGCGCGCGGCAGCAGCCCCTCGCTGCTCGACGCCGTGCGCATGCCCTCGCCGCCGGCGGGCTTCAGCTACGACGACGAGGGGCCGCGCCGCGAGCGCGCCGTCTCGTACCGCGTGGGCTCGCCGACCGAGGAGTCGAGCCACTGGGCGGACCCGCGGCGCAAGAGCGTCGAGCGCGTGTCGTCATCAGCATCGGCTTCCTCGTCGCGCGGGAACAGGGACATGGTCGAGGCCGCGCAGGACGCACTGCGCCGCGGCGCCGAAACTTTCCTGCCCGCCAAGTACGCGAGCAAGCTGAGGGAGACCGAGGACGAGAAGGCGATGAAGAAGGAGCGCAAGAAGGAGAAGCTGGAAGACGATTTGGCTTACGGAACCGCGGTGGTGACCGCGCCGGCTCCGCCGCCGGCCAAGTACCACTCCCCGACTTCGTCGTCGAGTAGGGTGCGTTACGATATGCCTGGCGGATGGGAGGATGATAAGGAGAGGCTGAGGTACCCGCGTGTGGACACGTCGTATGCGCCGCCACTGCCGGATAGGCCCGGGAAGCGCGATTCGTATGGCAGGGATCCTAGGGCTTCGGGCCCGAGAATCATGACTGCTGAGCCGGGTTTGACTCCGGGCTTTGGGGGAAGGAGAGAGCACTTGCCTCTGCAGCCTGAGCGGACGTCGTCGTTGACTGTGAATACGGGACACCACTCTGCCATGTCACTGTCGAACGCGCCCGCCTCACCACTCCTAGAGTCATATTATGGTACTTACCAGTCTATGTCACCGATGCCTTCGCCTTTACTTCTCGCGCAGGAAAGCCCGAGAAATTCGGACTATATTGAACCGCTTTCACCTAGTCTCTCGGATGGCGAAAGTAATAACGGCGAGAAGAAGCGACGTCGCGCTCGTTTTAACGACCCTGTCGACGATGCGGCGCGTCTAGCGAAAGCGCTCAAGGGAGAGCACTCGCCCCCCGATACCGAACCTCTAATAGAAATCCTACCTGGAATGACGCACGACCAAATCATGGAGTTGCGCGTCGAGTACAAGCGGCTTGTCAAGACCGGCGCCGAGCGCAAAGGCGTCAACATCGCGAAACACATCCGTGCGCGCCTAAAGGACGAAGACCCCACTCTTATGAAAGCATGTTATACCGTCGCGCTCGGCAAGTGGGAGTCGGAGGCGTATTGGGCCAATTTTTGGTATCACGGGGACAAGACGCGGCGCGAGCTGTTGATCGAAAGCCTGATGGGGCGCTCGAACTACGAGATCGCGCAGATCAAGGAAGCCTTCTCCGACAAGAAGTACCGCGACTCGCTCACGCTGTGCATGAAGACTGAGCTCAAAGAGGACAAGTTCAAGCGCGCGGTGCTCATGGTGCTCGACGAGAAGCGGATGGAGGACATAGACGAGTATGGGCGGCCACGTGCTGTTGATCGTGATCTCGTGCAGGACGACGTCGAGGCCCTCTATAAGGCCGTGCGAAGCGATAGGGGTGGCGAGTCGGCTATGATTCAGATCGTGGTTTCGCGCAGCGACAACCATATGAAAGAAGTTCTGAGGCTGTACGAGAAGGTTGTCGGAAGTAATTTCGCTCGCGACGCGCTTAAGAAGAGCGGAAACCTTGTTGTGAGTATCCTTTGCATACGTCCCCATTCGTATCATACTTGACTCGGAGATATGCGGCTAACTTGTTATAATAGGGCGAACTCCTAGCGCATATCCTTAACGGCGTAATCAATAAGCCAGTGCGCGACGCGCTGCTATTACACCATGCGCTCACGGCCAGCAGGAAAGACCACCTGCGGCGCGAGCTCCTCATCTCGCGACTAGTACGGTTCCACTGGGACAGGCACCACATGGCTGCGATCAAGCGGGCGTACCGTGAGCGCTACGGCGAGGAGCTATCGGAAGCGGTTAAAGAGGGCACTAGCGGCGAGTGGGGGCTGTTCTGCGAGCAGCTAGTCGTCACGCGCATGCCGGACGACGTCAAGAGCTTCGAGAAAGTGGACGCGGTGCGCGAGATCAGGCGCTCGGAAGAGAGGGAGCGGGAACGCGATAGAGAGGAGAGGCTTAGAGAGCGAGAACGGGAGATGGATCGCGAAAGCGATAAGGAAAGGGGGAGAGAAGAGAGGCACAGGCGCCGGAAGGAGGAGAGAGAAGACAAAGATAGGAAGGACAAGAAAGAAAGGAGGAGGGAGAAGGAGAAGGAGAAGGATAGGAGTGAGGGGTTGCTTGTGGTCAAAGATAGCAAGCATAGGGATCGGAGTCGTAGTCGCGAGAGGAGTAGGAGTCAGAGACGGGAGTAATTGGATTTTGGTGTGATGGATTTCAATGTGAATGGTGCGGATGAGGGTCAACGGGTGAGGATTGGGTAGGAGGGTGGTGTAGGAAGGATATTTTACACCTATAACCAACTACAAAAATTTGATACCTATTTCATATACACCGCGCCGATGAGATGGGCGGGTTTCCTATCCATTTTTCCGTCCTCTTCCATAAACAGACGGAGAGATTCCTCGTAAACAAGAAAAGAAGGACGAACTGGGCATGATACGGCTATTATATTAGAGCCTTACCCTTACCCTAGTAACCTGCCCCCATCGTATGAGGTGGCTTTTTTGCGTAAGGTAGCTATGCGGAGAGGGAAACCGGCGCCGGATTGTGCCTCGAGGTACGTCACACAACCAATGAAAACAGGAGATCGGGGGCGATTATTCGCCAATCGGGCGCGCTTCCAGGGGGTAGATCTCTGCGGGAAGGATTTACGCTTGCGGTATTGGCGAAAGATCGCTCGTTGGTGCCCGATTGGATTGGAGAGTTTGGAGGCCGGGATCGTGTAGCGCGTTAGACGGTTAGAGAGAGTCGGGGAGATCGCGGAAATCAGGAACTTCGCTTCAATAGGGATTTGGTCTAGATCTCCAAGTGCCTACTCAGGTATATATCATTGAATTCTCATGTGAAATAAGGCAGGTAAAAAATATCCGCCGCACAAAGGCATAGGAAAGCCGGATATTCATGCTCATGCGGCTTATGGTTACACAACCTTAAAAAGGGGTGGCCCCCCTATTCATTCACCGAAATGGCAGAGATGTAGAAAGTAAGGCTGGCGGCTACAAACCATTTTCCCTCTAAATTCATAAGCCACGAGCTGGGTGTGATATGTTGATTAGTAGGTATTATAACATTACAAATGGCAATATCTAACTAAAGGAAAGGAATCCCATATCGCAACATCAATGATGCTAACCACAGCACCACCAACGAGCTTATAATCGTATTTGCTACAAACGACGACGGTTTCTCTATCATATCCAACTTTCCCTTACCCCTCCTCCCCATCCCTCCAACTCCCCTCTCCTCCTCATCCTCCATCCACCCGCGCCACGGAACCCCCATCCCGAAATCCTCCAGTATCTGCTCGGCCGTGATCTTGGACCCCGCGAGCACGATCGGGACGCCGGTCCCCGGATGCGTGCTCGCGCCGACGAAGTACGCCCCGCCTAGCCCGCGCGCGCGCGTCCCCGGCCGGAACGAAAGCACGTTGAAGAAGCCGTGGCCCAGCCCCAGGATCGAGCCCCGGTCTAGGTTGAACGCGGCCTCCCACGCCCGCGGGTCGTTGACGCGCTCGTGGATGATGGAGGACGCGAGCGCGCACCCCGTTCGTGCTGTTATGGTGGAGAGCACGGCGGTGCGCGCTTGTAATATCAGGGCTGGCCAGTCTTGTTCGCGGGGGATGCCGGCTTCGGATTTGGGGTCCGGGTTTGGACTGGGGTTTGCGTTGGAAGGGTTGGAGGATTGGAGCAGGTGCCCCGTAGGCACGAGCACGATGACGGCGTCGCAGCCCTCGGGCGCCGCGCTCGGGTCCACGCGGCTGGGCACGTTGACGTAGAAGCTGGGCTCCCGCGGCAATTCTTGTCTGTCGAAGATGGCGTCGAAGGACTCGCGGTACTCGTCCGCGAGGAAGATGTTGTGCGTCTGCAGCTCGGGGACCTTGCGGTCGAGGGCCCAGTAGAAGGAAATCGAGCTGCAGGAGCTGTCGCGCTGCTTCAGGGACCTGGCGTACCGCTGCGTCGACGGCGTCTGCGGGAATAGGTTCGAGTACGCGTACACGAGGTCCGCGTTCACGACCACCACGTCCGCGTCTAGCGTCTCGCCCGACTCTAATTCCACCCCCTTCGCCGTCTTCCCGTCTTCGTGCGTGAGAATCCGCTTCACGGGGGTATCCAACCGATACTCAACCCCCATCCTCTCGCCCACCCTAACCAGCGCCTCCAGCACGCCATGGAACCCGCCCCGCGGATACCAGATCCCCTCCGCGAGCTCCGAGTACTGCAGCAGCGAGTACGTAGCCGGGGCGTCGAACGGCGACATGCCCATATACATCGTCGCGAACGTGAACACCCTCCTCAGCCTCTCCGTCCAGAAGTACTTGCCGGCACGACCCCAGATGCTGTGCAGGGGGTGTATCTTTAAGCCAGTCCACACGAAGCCGGGGACCAGCAAATTCCAAAACGAAGTAAAGTTCTGGTGCAGGACCTCCGACACGCTGAGCTCGTAGTGATCATGCGCCTCGCGCAGCCACGCGAGGTAGCGCTTGAACCCCTCGGGCCCTTCGTAGCGCTCGATCTGCGCCCGCATGCGCGCGAGGTCGGGCGTCAGCTCGAACTGTTCCCCGTCCGCGAACCACACCGCGTAGTTCGTCGGGCAGCGCAGCAGCTCCACGCCTTCCGCCTCGAGCGACGTGCCCAGGTCCCGAAACGCTTCGTGGAACAGCTTCGGCAAGAGAAGCAGAGACGGCCCTTGGTCGAACCGGTACCCCGATTCGTGGACCAGGCTGCATCTCCCGCCTGTGAAGGAGTTCTTCTCGAGCACGGTGACGGCGAACCCGGATTTGGCGAGGCGGGCTGCCGTGGCGATGCCGCCGGCGCCGGCGCCTGGTTTGTTTTAGTGAAGTTGTGTGAGGTGAGGTTTGGGCTGGGTTACTTACCAATGACGATGGCCTTCTTGCGGCTTATTTTGGTCATTCCTCCAACGCTTGAGGTAAGTGATCCGCTTCGCGACGGTAAGTCGATAATATTAGAATAAGTCGGAGATATGTATGAACTAGAATATAGTATACAATATAACAAAGAGATAATCAAACACAGATTAGATATATATTACACTTCTGGTTAATATCAGATAGGTATGTTAGATCGATCAAAGTAGCTTGTAGCTTGGATGGTGTCAGTTCTCACATGCCAGATATTTAGACAGATGGGAAACTCGTAATGAGGATTCGCTCATATACGCGGGATCGCGAAAAACCATTACATGATACATCTAGAAAATAAATCACATTATGGTAATACCGCCGAGGAACAGCTGGGTTCGTCAACCGATTTGCCTAATGATCCTGAGACATAGCTAAATAGTTAGGATGGTAAGCGATCCGAAATCATTACCATTTACACCGGTATCGACCCGGGGAATGCTTGTCGCGCTAAGAAAAGGATTACTGATTGTCATACATTTGAATATTTCCGAATCCGACTCGATGATTCATCATTGACATCTGCGAGGTCTGAGTTTATGAGAGGAGACTCCCTGGCACAGCAGGCAAAAGCACAACCTAAATATTGTACATGCTATCTATTACTATTTATAAGTTTGAGTTCCTTTTAGGATATGTCAAGACAGATGAAGATTGGACCCTATTCCTACCTAGTCAGTAGTAAGTGAAGTTCGCTGGTATTGTCTCCCGGTGACTTACCTCGGCTCGTATCAGCCATAGGAGGAATAAAGCAACGCATAGTCTCTGTAGTCTATCTAATTAACCAATCCGCAATTTCTTATTATATGGATTCTTCTGCGAAATTATGAATTATGCTATGAGATATGGATCTAGGACCACGAACAGTCCCACGTTAAGGTTAGAGTGCTTATAAATGTAAAAATTATCATAGTACCATATATATAATTAGTATATCGCTTTTTACGCCCAGCTATGTGTCCCTAAATGATGATGATAGATGAAAAAATATCTTATCGTTCAGTCGAAAGGGTTTTCCACACGACCCATAAACGTCTCCATAGAGGGACCGTTGCTCGTCCTCTTCGAGTTTGAAGGGTGGTGCCTTTCCTTTCTCGCAATACTCGGCCTATCTCCATATAACTCTCAACAGCTATTATCATGGGAGCACGAACTTCAGGGGGAAGCAGACTCATTATCTCCCGGGACCGATCGTATTCCTTGAACGCCATTTCAAGCAACTTCTGCCTGAGTCTCTCCACCTTTGGCTGATTCGGGTCTCTGAGAACATCCTCAGGCGTAATAATCTCCTCTTTGAGCCAACTCGAAGGTAGGTAAACTCGGCCCATTTCTGCGTCTACCGCGATATCTCGAGCGATGTTTACGTATTGTAGCGCATGTCCCATCGTTCGGGCAGCAATGACGAGAATGGTTTCCCTGTCATTTGGGAGTTTCGTCTCGCCATGGTGAAAAACAAGGCGTAGACATAACTCCCCAACTGTACTTGCAACGCGGTGCGCGTAGAGTTCTAAATCTTCCTCGCTCTTGATAGGAAACCGAAGAGCTCTCTTCTTAGTATCAGTCCAGTTAAAAGAGAGGTCTGTCTTGAAGCCTTCCAAGAGCTCATCGAACGGTGCCCTGGGAAGGAGTTCGACTGGCAAGAGTTCTAGTGCTGGCCTCGCCGGCTCTGGGAAGCTTCCTTTCACAAGAGCACTAGCATTATGTGTTGATGGGGATTGAGTACCCGAGCCGTACACAAGGACAAGATACTCGGTCAACTTGGAAATCCATGTAAAAGCCCCGCTTTCCGTGCCAGATTCGTCTATCAAGTCATCTGCCACTCTACAAAATGAATACCTAGAAAATGTTAGCATATGGAGTGTGACGCAACACTGATATTACGCACAGAAGGACTAGGTCGATACGAAGACGCCCAGGGAACGTAGAACTAGCTAGATAAAAGCTTCTGCTCTTTTTCCGTAACGTTTCTACAGCTTCTCTTATGCCCCTCACCCGTTTCATGTCATATTTTGCCGGGTCAAGGAGAGCAGCCTTGGCAAGAAGGCCTAGAGGAGGCGGATCCGATCCATCGGGAAATAGGTCGGAAAAGGTGTAAAGAACTGCCAGCCCTCTATCCATAGCGACCATGCCAGTAACAATCAAGGCGTTTGTAACCAAGAAGAAGAGAGCCTCTTCTAGCTCCAGACTGCCCCATATCCGCCAACCTAGTTTGGTTCCAGATTCAATGGCCCAAGTACCGCGCCCTAAGGCCATCTCATCTACAATCCATAGGTACACTGTCGGGACTATAATCGGTGTCGCGATATTAACTAGGGGAAGTCGGATTAAGAAGTAGCCGGAGAGTGTCCATGTGAGGAGAGCGAATGGACAAGCCCATAGCAATATGAGCCCGAGGTAAGTTCCCTCTCCTCCCCTTTTGATAAGAAAGGCACCAGTCGCAATACACCCGATCATGAGGAGCTGTCCTAATAGTTTTATCCGTCGAGCCTTCGGAGAGGAGTCATTCTTATTCGTGAGGAATTGAGCATGAAGGATAGGCTTGTTTAATAATATGTACAGCATCGACGTGATGTAAGTCTGGATAATGAAGAAGAACAGCTCCTCAGCCGGCACACTGAAGAGACTTAGTCCGGTCGTCGCGTCAGGGGGGTACGTCCAGATGCCATGGCGCACGAGATAGGAATCCCAAGGGAGTGTCGCAAAGAAGGCGACCAATATTAACGTATACGTCTTATATAAGTCGAGCTTGGTGAGAAGAGGCCTCGAAATGAGCGTGAGAAGAACGGCTTGGGGGATGGTGTACTTGAGATGTCTGCCCAACGACTTAGCTCGACATCTTCTCAGCGGGTACCTGAGAGAACAGTTGTCTAGGATGTAGAACTTACACAATGGCATAATCATAAGCCATGGCGGATGTCAGAACTCACTAGTACGGTGAGTTTCATGGACATACACAATCACCTCAAAAGTCTAGTCGAGCAGCGTAACATGCCGAGCAATTAAGGTTCACTTTATGAGATCAACAAACCGAGAAGCTTAGAATAGTCGGCACGACGGCTCAACAGAAGCCTGTAGCCAACCATATTGACTTCGGACTTCGGCATTTTCTATTTGCATCAACGCCAGGTGTAGCACAAGGCTCGACTCTGCGGCTGGAAGGATGCGCACTAGCCATGATGATTCGTCGAAAACGACGAATTTCTACGTCATGAGATCATAGACCACGCCTCCTGGAATCTGAGAATGAGAAGTGACATGCAAGAAAAAGTACCAGGTAGGTTGGTGAAAGAATGCAGGGGATTCCTTAGAAGCGGCCGCTACTTGAACGCCAAAACTCGTTAGTCGGGGAATATTGCTTCCGGAAATCTGAGTTGGCGCTAAGCTATGCAAGATCGCCGGATAATTCGCCTAACGGTGCATCACAATTGCATTCCAAATTTCAACCAATCAGATGGACCCACCCGTTTCGTCGGGATGGTACGAAGGCAGTCACGGTTACATTCTACCAAGATCTGTCTCACTTCGAACACCCGAGAGCCTCAACCCCGGAAACTGTAAACGTAACCGTAGCCGCATTTGAGTTCCTCGTCACTGGGAAGGGCAGAAGGAGGAAACCTCTCCCAAAAAAATGCTGGCTGGCGTTGGCGGTCCCCGAGCCGCGCAGGCATGCCTGCGATCGGTGCCATTGACAATCCCTCTTCGATCGAGACTCCTCCCAGCTCACCCCAACCCGGCGATACGAATCCCCCGCGCCTCCCTCCCACCATCGCAGCTCAGACCCTTCACCTCCTCCCGCCTCCTCTCCGCCGACCGAACCACCCCATCATCCCGAACCCCCGACGCCATCCTCCGCCCGGAGCCCGGACCGAGCTCCAGCTCCAGCTCCAGCTCCAGCGCGTCCCCGCCCCCCAGGCGGAAACGCCTGCGCCCCTGGCTCTTCATAGCCCTAGGCTTCGGTCTCGGAACCATGCTGCGCCTCACCCTCTCACCCCCGACGCCGCCCGCGCCCGGTTCCGACGAAGACACGTACCTAAGCGAACAGATCCGCGCCCAAGGATCCTCACTCCCGCTCGTGCAGAAGCTATCCACAGACCCACGCTACACATCCTGGGACGCGTACTCGGGCTTCTCGTCGCCCACAACGCACACCAGCAAACCCCACGGCGGGGGATCCGTCGTGCAATCGCGGATAACGACAGGGCCGCTAGCAGGGTCGCGCGGGCTGCCCTTCCAGCGCATATACCACGACGTGGCGACGGGCGAGGTGGTCAGCGTCGTGTACTTCGGGTCGGGGACGGGCGGGTGGCCGGGCGTGGTGCACGGGGGCGCGCTGGCGACGCTGCTGGACGAGTCGCTGGGCCGGTGCGCGATCCTGCGCTTCCCCGCGCGCACGGGCGTCACCGCCCGCCTCGAGCTGCAGTACCGCCAGCCCACCCTGACCTCCGGCTTCTACGTCATCCGCGCCCGGCCCATGCCCGACGAGCGCGACGGCCCCGAGAAGCAGGCGCGCAAGCTCTGGGTCGAGGGCACGCTGGAGACCGTCGACGGGAAGACGTGTGTCGAGGCCAAGGCTCTGTTCGTCGTGCCGAAGGGGGTTAAGCTGAAGCCGCTCGTGGAAGGGTTTTGAGGATGAACGTTGAACAACTAAACGCTCTCACGTGTGTACATACGTTGGTCGGAGGGTCAAGAGGCTAAGCTTTTGACGTCGCACCTTATACAAGATCTAATATAAGAGCTAGGTTGTTAGTTCAAATGGCATAGCTAGGCGTTTTGGCAGCAACGGTGAATGAAAAAAGGACACCAATCAAAATATAGAACAATAAATCATATTATCATGGTCTATCTAAGCGAGTAACAGCTCTAAAGATAGTGGTAGCAAATTCGGAGCCAGATGCGCTGCTAAAATGCCGTTCTCATCCCCACAAGCTACCTATCTATTCTATAAGTTACGTAACAGGAGAAGAGACCAGCAAGTAGAGATATCTAGCTAAGATTAACCTGCTCGGCACAAAACAGTCATTTCTCATCAGTAATCTTCTAGAGGGAGCGCGGTCGCGGGCTGCGTGCTGTAGATCGTGAAGATTGGACATTTGGCAACGGCGATAATTCCCTACTTGTATACTGTATATAGGGGCGTGACGGTCGAAGGAAAGTGGTGGAGTGGGGATGTGCGTCCATACGAGACCTAGCAAACGTTACGAGACCCGGTGGCATAATTGGCGGGATAGGGTGGCGAAGGCTCGGTACACGGGAAAGCGAATCCTATTGCGCTTGTTCGGTTGGAGCCAGCGTCTGCATTGGCGCTGGTGGTTGACTGTAGTTTGTCGATGGGCCACGGCCTCGATAACCTCCTCTAAATCCACGATAACCGCGGGTTTGATAACCTCTACCATAACCTCGCCCACCACGGAAACCCCCACGAGGATTTTCGGTTGCGGTTTGTTGACTGCCTTGGTTATTACGTTGTCTATTAGCAGCCCTCTCATTTTCGTTCTGCCCATTGGAGTTGCTAGGGCCAGTCGGTGGCTGCGGAGTCGCAGAGGTTTGTGACGTTCGACTGCTTCCTCCGCGTCCGGGGCCGCGTCGGCGGATAAAAGGTCGCCTGGAGGCCTTAGGTTTTCCTTCAACAGAAAATTCGATTTTCTTTATCGGATTCTCGGCCAACGTAAGGCCTGTCAGGCCAAGGCGGTCCCAATCCTCTTTCGGCGTCGTCCAAGCCTGGAAAACATTTTCCAATTTCTCAAGGTTTTGAACTTCCGGCACCCAACAGCGCACGTATTCTCCATCCTTGTCGTAGTCGAATGCTTGCTTCACGGGATTGAAAATGCGTGCTTCGCCTCGCGGGTCATTTCCTACTCCGGACACATATTGCCAGTTTGCCCAGTTGGATGAGACATCATAATCGACTAGCAGCATCTCATACCATTCAGCACCATAGCGCCAATCGATGCTAAGGTGTTTGGAAAGGAAACTGGCGACATTCTGGCGGGCGCGATTTGACGTGTATCCTGTGTGCAATAGCTCCCTCTGTGATGCATCGATCAATCCCATCCCGGTAGTGCCATTGAATATTCTGTTTATTGTTTCAGCAACCTCATCCACCGACTCCTGTTGACCATCTACTTTCCCTTTCTTCACCGATTTCCATTTATTGGAATGATCATCTCGAAATCCGGAACGTAGGAAGAGCTTCTCCTTGAACTTCCTATTGCAAAGTCTCATATAATCGCGCCATAGCAACTCGAACCGTATGGCTTTCGTTCCTTCGTTTTCTCCCTCTCCGTATCCCTGCGATTCGGCCAAGGAGTTGTCATTTCCATCTTCGTATGCCATAAGTCTATCATGAACCTGGCGGGCGGTGATACATCCTTGCGCAAGATAAGCTGACAGCTTGGTACTAAAGTCGCTCCCTAGTAGCCCATTTCGTGAATCCTTGTATAAGTAAGCACTTCCTGACTTGATCAAGTGCTCCAATCTCTCATGAGCACTATCCTCGCCACCCTTGAAAGGGTGTGCTGACTTAGCCCCCACAGGGAATTGCGTAATTCCGGTAAGAACCTCGTTGACGGGACGTAAAAGCGATTCCTCGATTTTGTCATGTGATGAAGGGATCTCGAAGGGTGATCTCTGGTCCGGAATCTTAGCTCTCTCGACAGGCTTTGGCAAATCATCCTTCGACGGAGCAGGTAAAACTGCGCTAGGTTTCTCTCGAAGGGGTTCCATCATCTTCCTGTAAGTCGTGAATACATCTGGGAGATCTTGAGATGTGTCCAGTTTTAAAGTTTGACTAGGGGTGTAAGTAATCAACAAAATCATCTACCAAGCCGTAATAGTAACTTACTCGTCAATGAAGTACTTCTCGTCGATCCATGTCCGAAAGTCTACATTTAGACTAGAACATGTCTCTGATATGACCGTTTCGTCTCGTTTCTCCTCGGTACCTTCTTCTCCAATTGTCCATACCCCCCCTACACTGAGCTCGCTTTGTCGCAGACCTTCGATCAGCGTCTTTAACACCTCATCATATGGCCCGATCCTAATCGTCAAGTCGTTGCCTAATTTCTCGAGATTCTCTTTCAGATTCCAAATCGATTGGGCGATAAACCTAGCTCGATGCGGCCCGCATCTCCAGTAGCGCCCAACGTCGCTTTTAGCTTCGGGGAAAGGGGATTTTGCCCCTTCTTTCAAGAACCCCGAAACCTCGATCTGATGCGGAAGCAAGACGAAGAGAGGCAGGACATGTGTGAATCCATGATCGGGTGTACTGGCGAGATGATGTAGGATAGGATTGTCAGAGACGCGCAAGTCGTGGCGGACGACGTAGACAAGAATATTGCTCGTCGACATAATTGTTTGGGAAGAAGAGGCGTGGAGATATGTGCCAAATAGTCGATTATAGCTGCGCCTTGGAGCTGTAGCTCGTATTAGTTAGGTTGGACGAGAATAGCTGGACGGAATAGCTGCGAGTCAGGGTAATAAACAAGATTCTAAAATAGTCTACTAACCAGGGAACCGAAATTCGGTGGATCTGGCACAGCTCCGGCAAAATATAGCTAGTCGATAGACACTTGACGTCTTTGATAATTTGATCGTGCTCATGCTCTCATTCCCAAGCATGGGAAGAACCTACGCGCCTAGATCGACGCTAGCGAGGCAGCATGGGGCAATGCCTGTTAAAGGAAAAGAAATCTAGGCTCCGAGATCAGATTCTGGGCCAGCACGGCTGGAAATAAATCAGATTTCTCACATTTTGATCGCTTCGACCGATGTATAATACGTACAGCAAGGCTTAGTCCACTTATCCCTAGTAGGCTGATAGGGTCCAACTGGGGTGTTGGGTTCTAGAGTCGAGCTAGAGGCAAACTGGCTTTTCTGAAAAGGGCAAAAGCAGTACCGGATCAAGGTGTTTCGCCCTAGGTTAGGATGCTACGCTAATGTACGGGGCGGCTCAACAACACAGTGGGTGTAGAGGAAAGTGAGATATCTGAGGATAGATGCCGAGAAGGCCGCCTAAAGGACCACGTCCGTTGGTAGCTCTGAAGCCTGACAGAACCTGATGTGGCGTTCTGCAAGAAAGTAATTGGACCGTAACTCAGGTTCGCGAGAGAGTTGGTGTATTGCTGTATATGCGTATGAAAGTGGAGAACGCAGAGGCGGATCAACACGTTGTGAAGTGAGACTCCCCCAGAGTGCTAGAGGCGTGTTGCAACTCAGGATCTCGGTCAAAAACGAGACCAGAAGCGTGAAAAGATCCACCTGCTTATAGGGGCATCTCACGACGGCCAGGGATGGAAATATTCGGGATCCAGATATGTTACCCTGGACCTGGTCTGCGGGCTCGATGGGCCCAATAGAGCAAACAGGGATAGAAATCGAGAAGTCAATAAAAGACAAAGACCATCGTAGAAGAGATGGGATTTGAATTTTTCTTGAAATAAAGCCATGGTGCTGGCTATGTCCGTAAATCTACCCATGGCTGTGGTGGGTGGAAAATGGCAATTGGAAAGAATGTATGTACGCACTTGTTTCCATGATGCTCAGATTTGTGTCCGGGGTCTACAGATCGAGAACCCGTAAAATAAGATTTTGGGGGACCCAGTAAACAGGGGGCTATCGTCCGGAGCCCCTAGCCCTAGAAGGAGGTAGGGAGGTAGTCTTACGTACATTTGCGGAGCACCTTTTCCATCAATCGTATTGGTTGGTCACACTGGCACTTGCCGTCGGAAAGAGCGAACACTCGAGCATACCCTGACATAAAATATCTTTGGGCGTTTCGATAGGTACCTTAGCTGCTTCTGTACCTAGGTACTCTCAGATGCCACTATCTTCTACAGAGATTTGACGTATTGTACTTACCTAACGTGTGTATCCCGTCAACTACCTATATGGTTCAACATGCATTCATTTGTGCATCTGCTTTTCTTCAAGACTTTTATTCATATTGATTAGTGATTACGGGCAAAACAAAATGAATATGTGGATTGATGTAATTATCAATTCAAGCGCGCCTTGAATAAAGCACCGTTTATAAAGGACAGGGACTAAGGCATTGGAAATGGCAGTCTAATATAATCGATCATCTAAGATCTACAAGACGTGTCCGTGCCCATGGCTTATTACAGGTAGTTTGGCTTGAAGCAGTCTTAGCTTCCCATATGGGAACTGGGAACTGGGAACTTTCCCATACGAATCGACCGAAATTCAACTTAGACTCATAAATGCCCAGTATGTATTTAGGTAGTTATTTATTAGGTATGTACCTAGCTGAAAAGGCCAGTAGGATCACAAGAACCACCGAAGATGCTTCGTAATCTTTGAAGCTTGCGGCCGTATCCATCATGCACCTTGAGATATTGCATGCAATGTGCCTCGCATACTGATGGGGTACATACATACCTTATGCATATATGCATGTAGGCACTTAACCATATGCTAAAGATTCCGATTCGATAGGGGTAGTATGGGGGATAAGATCTGCACGACAGGTTCGTTAGCACGGGAGTTGTCCGGTCGATTGCATCTATGTCGTCGATAGAATAATCCCAATGCTTATGTCTATTTGGAAGTCTAGGATAGTCTCGTGATTGTCAGAATCCAAGTAGATGGTTCTGGCCCTTTCGCCCTGTCCAGAATGGCTATGTCCGATACAACCAGTCTGCGGGTTTAGCCCCCATCCCTTTGGGATCGCCGCTTGGGAAAATGAGATATGACAGGTCGCCCTACCTGCATGTATACCCTTATCAGGTAACGGCGTCGGCAGGCCGGTTACAGCCAACGACAATTTGGACATACATAGGTACGCCCTCCTACATAACGTTATAGCTTTACTATATGGAACCGATATCTTAACCTCATATTACAACTTGCATACCTAACAGAAGGTTAGATCACAAATCCTATCAACCAATGGTTTACGCGATAGGGGCTTAGATCTCGTGGTCAATTTCAGTATACTTAAATCATGAAGTCTCCTAAACTGTAGAACTTCGATCGAGGTTAAAGGCTTTCAAATTCCGCATCGACTCACTCGGCTTGGTCGCTAAGTCGACAACATGCACTGACAGCCTGCCGTGTATACGGCAGTGATATGAAAGTATCCGCCAATGGACATCGTCTGTGTAACTGGTGTTCGCCGGCGACGTGCCGTCTCCGATATAAAAGCTACACCTACTAAAGCTTTGTGTCTATGTGTCTGGGTACTTATCTAGGGGAGTGCATTAATATTCATAGTTATCGCCATCCTTTTGCAATGTTTTTAACGGCTTGCGTAAGATGAGGGCAAATGAGGTTGCAATTCGAGTTGATGGCGGTAATTTGGTCTTGCAATGAGCGCCCATATTATGAACGCCATATGGCACACATGCTTCTGGAACATGACCCAGGGAACTTCCAGGGGTTGACTGATGATAAGGTTCGTTGTACGACGAGGAATATAGCGGCTAGATGCTTGGTAGCATCGTGTAACGTCTCACTGCCCATAGCTGGGTGTAGGCCTAAGTAGGTCGTTGGGGCGGTTCACATTATACAGCATAGGTACCTACATATTCTATGCTATTTCATTTTTGAATAACATCATGATCTCCATTGGATTCGCCCTTTTAGTGAACTTGTAGTATGGATATAGGTGGCCATTGCAGTTAAGGGGAGCCTTGCTGCTGATTGCTAAATCGAAGGACTATATGCGCAATCAAAATCTAGGACATCGAGATCAAGGCTATCTAATCGATCCAACCATGCTAAAGATCGGCCTAGAATCTACTCTGCTGCATTTTCAAATTCTGGGATGGTTCTTTTCCATAGGTGACTTCCGGAGCATCAATCCGTTAACCTATTACCCCTGATTAAAAGGTGGCAACTGATTGAAAAGTACCTACTGTATAGCGCTTCTACACGATTTGACACTCTAGGGCGGAAGTTTGTTAGTCTCCGCCCAGGGTCTAGTTGAACTCGTCCCGGTTGAACAACAGAGATGAGGCCTGCAGCGCTACACATGGATTTCCTGCACGTCTGTTTACGATCTAGACTCTAGCATCAAATCTTGCAATCGAGCCATATACGGTCGTTTACTTTTTGAAGGCACGCCATGGCAGTGTAGATATTCGATCACACAACACGATAATTGAGATTTTAAGAGCCGAACCGATAGAGCATGAAGAAATCCTTCCCGTTAGGAGACCAGCATTTATAATTTCGTCTAGCCGTCTATCATGAAATCTGTCGTGGACCAAAATATGCATCTGAGGAAAAGGGACATTGCCTTCGCGACCAGGCACTTGGGTGAATCACGCATAGCAAGGCAGACTGTACGGCGGCCTAGGAAAAGAACACAACGTATCTTGCAGCTTGCCGGTTTTCGTTTATACCGGTTCTCCCGATCTAAGCGACCCCAGAGGACCTATAGCTAGGGAATTATTAGTTGAGTAGAGCAGGGCATCGAAGGATCATCGACTTATATTCATCTGTGGGAGTAAGGTGGCCAAGATCTCGACTGTTCTGTATCGTGACTCGGATCTTCTACCTACCTAGTCATATTCATCATCAGGACTATCCCACTATAGGGACTTATGACCGATGGAAAGCAAAATGCTTGGTGCATTTGTTGTCCATTATATATTGAAAAAGAAAAGTCTTCGTCGACGTGACATTTGGATTTTAGCATCTGCGGTGAGATACCCAGGCTCCGGAAGGGCTCCGCACGGCTAGATTCAAGCCCTCATGGGGACGGTAGGGACCAAAAAGTGAAGGGGCTTAGAGAATGAACTCCGAGGTTGGAAAGCCTCAATAACTTGTGAATGTGGCGAGAGGGTCGCAACTTATCAACCTGTCAACTGAAGAAGCAGAAACAGGGGTCAGAAGTAACCTCATTATCATCGCTACCACAAAAACCTATCGGATGCCTCATAAATAGGGAGATAGGGAATATTCTAGCTAAAGTCTGGAGAGGCGAAGAGGGTTCGTTTGACCGACGCATGAACTACGTTATCTTGACTGTTTTTGATCGACAACTAATAAATTCCCCGAACTTCTGTACAATGATTGGACCCTGGTTGAACAAAAACAATCGGACGCGCCAGTCATAACCGGAGTCATAGGACCTCAAAGATGTCGAGTTGTGAGTTGTTTCCACGTACGTATCCTCGGCGCTTAAGGATACTACACAAAGTTTCAAGGTCGATGAGGGCGTAACCCGCAGTAGTCGATTACCTAAATCGTCCGTCATACGACGACGCAGCAAGATGTTCCTTTCAGCTACAACTATGGTGATCTCTCTCGGGTAATGCGGCATCCAAGCTCGGAGGTTAGGGTGAATCGCAACAATTGTAACATTGCACTGGTAACCGGGGAATTGTGGCCGTACAATCGGGATGCCAAAAATTGACCACTCATGAAGTGTCGACCTCTTTAGCGCAGTTATTCATAGATTCTATGATTGAGATCATGATTGAGATCATGGTTGAGATTGAGTATTCCGTGCATACATCACTGATTAAGTGACGTATTTGATGTTACAATGCGTAATGATAGCCTTATTATTGAGGCTGATCGAGACGGCTTTTCCGTTGGAGGTTAATGCGTAGACCGCGTTGATTGTTTCTCTTAAGACAATCAAGACGATTAGGATCGCGTTCACCGAGAGGTCTCCGACTAAGCTAACTGTTTTCTGTACCCCGTACATATTATCGATAAAACCCCTTTCCCTCACTGGCCGTAGCTTGTGGCGCAGTATGTAAATGTGTTCTTTTGTGGAGAAGTATCCGCACGAAGTACTGATGTTAGTGCAATAACTTGAACTTTATGCTGTTTGGGTGGGGATCGCTATAGAAATACGGCGTGCGTAAAGGTCTTACGATAACAGATTAGTTGAAACCGATACAATTTTAAGAGGAATTAGCGACCAACCAATTGAGGGCTCCAATTAGAAAGCGACCGGGGGGTTCAGGCTTAGCAAGAGACCCTCAATACTGCGTGGTACCCCATTTAGACCCTCGAACTTACCAGCCAACAATAATCCGCAGAAATTCATAGGATCATTAATGCAACCTTGAACCTCTCTCCTGCATTCGCTAGCCCTGGGCGCCTCCCGGCAACAGTTCCGCCTCCAACATTTTTGATGAGGCTGAATCAATCTGATAAATCAGCTAACCCTAGTTTTTCAACGTCAACTCCTCTGCTCCATACGAGAACACGACCAGAATGTGATCAAAAGATCTGCGAAGCAATCATCAATTCACCTTCGGCATAATTTTCACGTGCGCTGCGCAGCACCTGTAAGGCCGCTATTGGGCCGCCTGCTTTTGGCCGAACATCGTCCTAGCGATTGACCGACTTGGCTGACCCTGCGAGAGGGCGTAGGGTTTACCCGTCGAAGTACCAACCCTCAACCGTTCGCGCCATCTGGGTCTCACTGTTCTTTAGCCACTGAGGCTTCGGATCTTACCTTTTTCTTCGCCGGGAGCTAATTCATCCTATACGCGTTAATTTCTCACCCGCTGTCTTTACCGTTGAAGCCGGTCGAGCATCTCATCCTGAACACGCGGGGGGTTCATCTAACTACACCTGCGAGCTCCGGCTCCCAACTTAACAACTTAATCCATCAACTTAATCTATTGTGGCGCCTACTTTAAGTATGAAGGCCGCCCTCAGAGCGCGGGGGACCCAGTTATCCCCCGGCGCAATCGCTGGGACAGTGATCGGCTGTGTTATCGGAGGGAGCCTATTACTCATAGTCTTAGGCTTTCTCTACTTTCGACTCAGAAGGAAGTCCAGGGAAGCCAGGTTAGCGGAGGAAATATCACCAACTGAGAAGTCAAACAGGGCCCAGCGTAGGACTCTGTTCCCTCTTCCCAGCTTCCTGCCTAGACAGACCCCTGCTACACAAGAGAGTCGCCCTCCTTCTCTTAAAGATGATATTGAGAGAGGGGTCCCCACTTTCCCTGACGGCTCGGAATTCCAAGGGCCACATGCTTCTGGCTATGGGAACGACCTCATGAGGGATCATGAAACATATTACACGCAAAACTTCGGTCAGCAGCCTTTTCCTCCAGGTATTGATTTCTCTCTGCCTCCTCAGCCGTCGGTCTTCACAACAACCAACGAGCCAGGAAAAAATCTGCCTTTGGACAATGCTGCCCCTGCACAAGAAGCCGCCAATTCTAGTTATTATGACACTAGGATTTCAATGGACTCGGTTCCTGAGCAAGCACCGATACCACCGTCTAGACAGATGACCGAGCTTTATGAACAACAGCTTAGACAATCACGAGAAGAACGTAGACGAAGCGGTTCCTTGACAAGTCGGATCTGGAGTAGCTTCAAGAGAAAACGATCTACGCACTCCTCGACTCACGGTACCAGCAGTCCTCAGCATTCGACGTCACAGCAGTATTTTCCTACTTCGCCAGTTGCCAGCCCTATCAGCATGAAGCCAACGTCTGGATTTGAATCGGCAGAAGGAGGAAGCACGCAGACGAAGATTCCGGGAAATCGGTTTTTCGAGGAACCCGGAGAGATGCCTGAAAACCCGAATGTTTCGGGCACTTCTGTGAGTGGAAACTTGCAGGATAGGGATCAGCAGCAGCACAAGAAACAGAAACGAGGAGATTCGCGGTTTGATGAATTCCCTCTCCGGACTAGCTCGACAATTCGAGAGACAACTGAGAAAGACCCGGAGTTGCCCTCAGCCGCCCTGAGGAGCCGGGATTCCACTGACGGGTTACCTCCCTCAGCTCAGCCACAATCCGAGACCCGGTCCCAAAGACTTATGAGCCCGGCCATCCCGGAACCTATGGAGTTGGACGAGACAGTTGAAGCTGTTCATAGACCCTCTGTCTTCCAAGGCTCCCACTCTCCTCCTCTGCAGCCAGAGTCATTCGTGTCGCCGATGTCCATCATGCATCCATCCAACGCTGTCGAGAAAGCGGCCTATACCCACTTTCAAATGGAGAACTCCATGTCCCCTCCGACGTTTCCCACCTCGCCCCCCGCCATCATTACCGATCAGCCATCACAGGAGACTTTCAACAACGTTGCCCAAGGCCCCCAAGATGACTTCGACGCCGATAGCTTCCTCGACATTCCTAGTGACGACGAACCTCGCCAGTCCGGAGATTCATATGATTATACTACTACACCGGGACATACACCGGGGCAGAGCTCTACAACAGATCCTTCGATGGGAAGGACACCTGACACTCGTCTAACGGTGTCCCCATCCCCATACCCAGTGATAAATGAGCATGTCAAGGCGGAACCGGAGTCGAGCTCGTCGCCAGAAGCCTCCAAGCTATCTCCCCAGTCGCCCGCCCACATCTGCGAAGAATGCGGACGATACTTCGATCAAGTGCACAAGCTTAACCACCATAAACGTTATCATGACCGCAAACATGAATGTACTTATGAGGGTTGCGATAAGAAGTTCGGTACTAAGACACATCTCGATCGCCACATTAACGATAAGCATGTGAAATCGAAGGCATACCACTGTATCGAACCAACCTGTCAATACTATAAGGGTGGCAAAGCTTTCCCAAGAAAGGATAACTGGAGACGACACATGGTCAAGAAACATGGGGCAACGCCGGGCGACCTCGAGATGATGGACGAGTCAGTGGGATGAAAGGCTATATGTAGTCTTTGTTCTTAGATGTTAGGTTACCTTGCCTCTCATCATACATCCAGTATATGCGTATGCTACCAGAGACAACATCCCAACACTGTACTCGAAGGTTCACCCTGGCCAACTACGTGACGACGCGTGGTTCTAGACGTTAACGGAAGAGGGTCCCATCGGAACATATGATCGCCTTCAAGCATATTCCGATGCACCACGAACCTTCGTTTCTATATTTTACGACTTTTCGATATTCGATACACTCGTTCATGCATATAAGGGTATATATTTGGTAATAGCATTCGGGACATAGGATCAAGCGAAAGCGAAGTCGGAACCTTCTTTGGGTCGATCACTGTAATAAAGCAATGGCGCTAGCGGTTTTTCTCAAGAGATATCAATGTATTCCAACACAAGCGATATGGGTTTTTAGTTCTCACGAATATAGCTAAGAGGCATGGATAAAACGGTTGGATAGAAGCTCAAGCAATTCACAACACGAATCTTTTCAAGTCTATCCCTCATTCCAACGTTTGTGAGCTCGAAGCCAGTTCACATTTCAACCACATAGGTATTTAATGATTATGCTCAGTTCCTGATAACTTAGCTAGATGAACGAACCCCAAGAAGCGGCGTCGAGGGAGAACAATCGAATTTAAATATGGGTGAAAAGGCTCCAAGCGTTTCCTTACCGAGGTTTGCTCTCGGATTCTTATTCCTGAAAATCTCCCGACCAAACTTTGCTCTTTTCTAAGTGGAAATTGCCAGAGCCAAGCAAAAGCTACTATGTAAGCTTCAGACAAGACCACAGGCCTTAAGATGTGACGATGCGTCCCGACGTTTGGTGGGGTTTGGTGCAGGGGTGCCCGGCGCCCTCAAAACGGTCGCAACCCCTGCCGCGAAACACGGAGAGGTGAGAAGGCTCTGCCAATTCGGTGTCAGGGTTGTCAACTCTCTCACAGACGCAGTCTTGAAATGCGAACCGGCTGCCACCTTGCTGACCTACTGCTAACCCGATAAGTATGCATTCGCGGCGCATACCGACTACTATCTACAAAAGGCCGATATTTTAGGACGGCGTCCCGCGAATAGCTTCAGTCTCGCTAGAGCTCCTCTTTCTTGGCGGGTCTCTTCTAGATTTCTTGGCTTGCCGGATTGAAGCCCTCTCGCTAGGTTCTACGGTAGGCTTCAAACTTAGCTGAAGGCTTGGGCGCGAATTTTGGTGGGCGCCAAGATTGCTTGTTTGATCTCCGCGATCCTAAGCTGCCAAGAAGTCGAGCATCATAATGGATTGCTAGTAACATTCTCCCTACTATGTATGTCGTGAAGCGTGCATGAGGTTTGTTCGTTTCTTCTTCTTTTCTTCTCTTATTCCTTTCTCTAAGCTCTAGACGAGTCTTGTTAATCTTTTTGTTTTCATCCCTACATGTCTGCATTTCCCTTCTTCGGGCCCGGTTCTGCCTTCTCTTTAATACTTCTCAGTTATCAGGATGTTGACCGTCCGTTCGCTGTCGCTGCTAGCCCTCGGCCTGCTAAGCGCCGTCGAGGCAGCGCCACAAAACAGAAATAAGGCCAGCAAGAAGAAGGGCCAGCAGCAGGCTACGACGGCCTTTCAACAGGCGCAGCAGATACCGCAGGGCGTGTCCACGGCCACAGATGGAAGTACCATCCTGGATACCACGGTTATGGTGAAGTACGTCTGCTTCCATTTTACCCAATTAAAACACCCATGTTATTCGTCGACGAATAATGTACATCCCCTAAGAAATATCTCAAACTAACAAACCCCCTAGCGGCCTCCCCCTACGCTTCAAAGTCTCCGCCCCAGCAGACCAGTTCACCGCGGCCTCCGGCGTAACCGGCGGCGCCCAAGCCGCCAACGCGACGGGGACACTAGGCCTGAACGTGCTCCTGCACGGCGACGGCGGACAATCGTTCTTCGACTTCCCGAACCAGGCCGTGCAGGACGGACTCGCGGGCGTCGCCGTACTCGCGCCGGACCTGAACCTCTTCTGGGGCGGCGGCTCGGGGCTCGACCGCACCGACGGCGTCGCGCACTCGCAAGCCGTCGCAGACCTGATCTCGGGCGTCATGCCGCAAGTCCTCGCCTTCGACTCCAACAAAGTCAGCTTCACAGGCGTATCCGGCGGCTCGCTACTACTATCCGGGTTCCTGATGCCGGGCCACATGGCGCAGTTCGCGTCAGCGGGCCAGACGTCGCAGGTCCTGCTCAACTGCGGCGGGCTGACGCCGCAGGTCGACGTGACGGCCGACAACGCGGCGGCGCTGGCGGCGACGCGCGTGCACTTCCAGAGCACGCAGCAGGAGCTCGCGCTGCTGCAGCCGGAGCTGCCGAAGGCGATCCAGGCGTTCGAGCAGATCGCGACGGGCCAGGGCCTCGACGCGGCCGCCGTCGGCGCCCTGCAGACCGTCGACAACTCGCCCAACGGGGGCCACTGCGAGTTCGACGAGAAGGACTTCGTGAGCGGCGTCCAGCTCATGGCGAACTCCTTCTCGGCCGTCGTCCAGGGCGGCAACGGCGTCCTGGCGGGCACAAACGTCAATGTGCTGAACCCGGTGCCCGGGAATGAGAATTTGAAGTTTTCGGGGGCTTCGTGAGGGGAGGCTAGGGTTTGGTTGGATGTGTAGGGCTTGTAGATAAAAAATAAAAATGAAAATTAAACGACTGATGGAAATAGTCGACGAATCGACGGTATACACGAGTCGCCCTGTGATCTTGCTGAATGCCTAGGAATCAGTATCTATAGATGCCCTGTTGTAGATCAGCGCTATTAGAACATAATTCATAACGTCCAGATCAGTTCCATCAAACCAAAACACGCGTTTTCTCGAGCATATGGGGTCACCGTCGGTAACTTCTGAATATCTCAAGCTTGAATATCAATTCGCTCAATAAAAGAAATCTAACAGAACTATCCGTTTTCCTTAGTTTTTTCCCCTGATGTATATGATCCGTTCCTATTTCATCAAGCCATGAATGCACAGTAGATGGTATCCGGGGCACCGGACGCCGTGTTCATAAAATCCATCCAAAATTGGATAAAATTCTGTAGGTCCCAAACGAACGATGGTGGCCCTTTTCGCGATTACTCTTCTTCACTAACGTCGCTTTCCTGTGCATTGTCAGCTTCACCTAGTTCGGCCATTAGAGCAGCTTCAAGATCCATTTCATCGTCCAGAGCGGCTTCGTCAGCATCAACCGATTGTTGCCCCACGTCTTCCATCTCTTCATCCTCTTCTTCCTCGTCATCCCCGTTGGCTTGTGTCGGCTGTTGGAAAGTACTAGTCTCCTGCATCTGGCGATTTATTGGACTAGGTAGCTTAAAATGCTCGAAGTTATCGTCGTCATCGTCCTCGCCATCGGCATCGTCATTCTCTCCCTCGTCATCCCGAACGAAATCGGAAAATGGGCGAATTCCAAATATGTTGCCTGGTGAGAAATTCTGCCTTGTGTCTCGCGCCTGGCCACCTGGATTCTCGATCGTGAGGCCAAGATCATCATCTGAGCTCTCATCCTCTTCATCTGCCGACGCCTTGCTTGGCTTAGCGGTGGTTGTGGGTTTCGGGGGCGGTTTCTTCTCGGGCATGACCAAAGCTGGCTTCTCCTCTGCCTTCGCTTTTGGCGCCTGTTTTCGTGGTTTAGATGTTGTCTTTTTCTCTTCGTTGCTCGCTTTCGTAGACTTCTTGCCACCGCTCGTCGGGCCCGCGACCTTGGCGCTGCTGCTGTTGCTGTGGCTCTCAAGCTGGGGGAATTCCCGTCGCAGGCTCTCGGCATCGCTGGATGGTGTCTGCACTAGGTTCATATTGAACATAGAGTCTACTTTATGAAGAACAAAGACCTCGCGCGCGGCATCGAAGATTAGTACGTATTGGCTATCCTCGACACCCCGAGTTCCTTTATACTGGTAGCGTCCGCCGTCATCCTGAAATGAGAGGTCGTATGTCGGAGCACTTTTCTTAGATGAGGAAGCCTGTTTTATTCGCGCCTGGGTCGGTGCTGTGGGTGACGACAAGGACGGCTTATGATTATCTATGGTAAGTTATTCATTAGCTATGTCTACAAATTGCAAAGTTGAGAGACGACAGAGGTAATAGAATAAAGAAGTGACCAACATCTAACGCCAGTAAAGACCTCCTTCGGGTCTTTACCAAGTAAAGCATCGCTCAGGACGACAGGATATTTGCCGGCTTTCGTGGGATCGACTATCCCCGCCGCGAGGGATGTCATGGTCGCGGAAATTACTGTGGTTGTCTATTCGTCGATTGGCGGTTGGATTCAAGGTATTTGGTCTGCTGGTTTAAAAATGAGTATCTAATCGTGGTGGAATAGTTTCGACTCTGTGGCAGTCCCAAAAATGAAACCAGTAAGTTGGAAGCACAGATGTGTAAGATGTTAGGTGTATCGTAGAATGGATAATGCAAAGGGAAGATCCATGAATGTAACTTGACAAGGCGGAGGGCTGAATAGGGCGGAGGGCGGCTTCTAAAGGTTAGGCGGGAACCTACTGCCGAACTAAGAACGCCGATCTCTCTTACGTAATCCAATTCGTTCTTACACCGTGCATATTATATATTTATACTGTAGTAAAAAGTCAATGCGCTCTCCTCTCCCCTCTCTGTACCTATGGTAGACATGCTTTACGTCACGCCTTTTCTTCGACCGTTTCAAGGCAATAGCTATTGTAGTGGAATAGACTTGACAAGTGCACAATGAATGATTGGCAACCTTGGAAGTGACAATATTCTCTGCCGACCCCTACGTACATAACCAATGTTTCTATATCTTCCATATGTCAAACTCGTGCAGCCGGCATATCACCATTTTACTCAAGGCCACGACAAGCTTTATAAGCTCATCAATAACGCTGTGGCCTTTTTGGTATAACCAGGTGATACCTGGCGAAAGCAGCATCTTAAACCCACATTGAAGATACTTGTGTTACATCATAATAAGGTACACGCTGACTTTGTGGCACATACATGTAATTAATTACTTAACCACACACTGCACATACTACCCGGTATATGTATACCATGAACAAATTCTTATATTACCTAGCCTGCCAAGATCAGAAAGATCTATTACCCCTGTTGGTATCTTGCTTGGTACATCCGAAAATTTTCGTCCAATGAGTGTAATGCAAAAGACCAAGGAAGATATCGTGAAACTATGGCCAAGGTCACTGTATGAAAACTTCACGAATTGCCAACTTGGCTGTATTTTTTTTTTCCTAGTTAAGCATGATATCAGGAATTATAAGGTGAAGATACTGTTTGTCTGCTGATGGACTTGATGGACCTGTCACGAGGCAGAACCAAGAGGCTGGGGAATAACGATGTTGTGGCGCGAAGAGCTCTAACTACTCCCTTCCAGGGGATACGGTATACATACATAGATCTTCCTTTGTCTGCAGCTAACGGCCAACTATCAACAGGGCGGCCTCGTACAAGCCGACTCTCGATCCTTCTGGGCTACTAGCTAACCCTGGCGAGACCTCTGACTATCAGCTCTCACAGAGGAGGCTTCTGACAGGACCAGACCTAACCTAGAACATACAGGTTCCGAAGCCATGAACAACACATCATTTTACGCCTGTTTTACCCTGTGTATATTGTACCGAAATAATCTAGCTTACAGGTGGTGCTCCCTATCGATCAGAAGTGTTTGCGCTAGAGTCGAATATGTTGTTTTCCGATTGCTCTACTTTAACAATGTGTTCTGCTTTAGTCGGAGCCTCACTCACAAATCTGTTTTATCCCTCTGTGTAGAAACTTATGTTCTAGCCACTTGATTTTCTGATAAACTCCCACATTAGATACTCTATACCTAGCAAATTCTTAGCCAGCACAAGTCGGCATCCGGCGATTATACATTATATTAGAAATCCTAACACGTAATAAGTACATGATTCCACAGGAAATTTACCTACTTTGTGCCAGTTATGCCGCCAGTTCTCTCAATTATAAACTAGGTAGTATACCCTCTAATCCCTGACTACCGACTTGTGCCAATTAAGAGACAAAGATAACGACGTTTTGAACGAGAGCCTTGGAATTCACTTTGCCTAAGATCAGCAGGGTGCATATAATTGCACTTCCTCCATTTCATTTTAAGACAAGCCACCGAGAAGTTTCTGGCCGAACTCCAGTCCGATCAACCGTTTAACAACGATATATCTTAACGAATAGCCAATTTGCCGTAGACTAGTTAGGTAGGTAGACGTAACGTGTATTTCTGTATGTATTATATCAACTGTAACTTGCAGATACTTTTAAAAATCGAAAGTTAACTCGTGGGCATCCATGGATACATTAATCTTGGGCAAGTTGTCCTATTTCATTAATTTATGTAGGGCGTAAAATGTTATTTCATTCAACAAGGGCGGAGGTTTCCTAAAAGATGGGGAAGAAATGATCAAGCTGAAGCTGCAATGCGAAGTACCAATCGCCCCGGAAGTTCATATCACGTATGTAATAGTGGCTTGCATAATGAGATACCATGATCGATATTCTGATCTGTAAGCGATGCTCACGAGTAATATGTATGCATAGCATGTATTGTCCGCCCTCGGTCGACCATGTCCTTGATGCCGACATGCTCAACCTTTTATCTTGCTACCATGATTCAGCATATTCCTAAGCCTTCGGAATGAATTTTTATAACATGCCGCCTTGTTTTTTGTACTAGCATATTTCTCTATGCTGCGGTTTACCGCCCCAATAACATACTATGTTTGAGTAACTCCATTTCGAGATTGCAGGTGAAATTCTGTGAAACCACAACGAAGCTATAGTGGCGTTCTGGGGATCGAAGAAAAAAAGGAGGGGGGGGTAAGACGGAAAAGATCGAAGTAAGTACGATTATATCATATCTCCGGCTTGTAAACGCGGCTCTCAAGTCCACCTCTGATTTGTTCGCATCTATAGCTACCCAGGTATACTTCCCATCCCTGTCCTTTGTGCCGCAGCAAACCGTGAGTCGCAAGAAGGTTACTGGTAGCTGTCAGAGTATATCGCTAAGGCAGGCTGGTGGGATGGTGGGATGCATATGCCAATACCACCTAGTGAAGGCTCTGGAAGATGAGGAGCAATGTGGTTCCTACGCCACATAGGAGAAAACTGTTGGGATATGCCCCAGCCTAGGCCTGGTAGCATTGTCACATACCTCAAGTTTCACGTTCAAGAAAACATATTGGCCCAAAATCGAATCATGACATGATTCATTATGACTACTGCCGTTACTGCTACCAAGGAGAGAATCCATAAGAGCCTCATCGGAGAATTTCAATTTAGTAGTTTCTCAAACAAGAAGTTTGTGCCAGATAAGCGCGCCAAGGGACTCTTGACTAACGATATCCTCACACAAATACTATCGGAGGGGGGAAAAGGCTACCGAGATACGATCTTTGGTAGGAGGAATGGTATGTATACATGGATGCAGAGATGGGTATATCCGATACTCCGTCAGATATGCGGAATTAAAATAGGCAAGCAGTCTTCTGATTCTTCCAACTCAGAGCTCGTCCGGTACATAGAGGATCATGCAACACGCGTCTTTGCTACTCTCCTGTTGTCGGGACATGTCGAGAGGGCAGTCAAGCTCAGAAAGTACGGGTTCATGGACAAGTATCTTCCAGTTCAGATACACGATGACCAAGTCACATCTTTTCATCTTCTCGCAGATGATAAAGCCCTAAAATGGTTTGAAGGTTGGTCGTCGCAAGAGCTAGCGTCGTTCGACACTTTCCAGTGGCATTTTCTTGCCCCAGTATTCACCAGTCGCTCAATCTTGGAGCAGCCTCATGACATGTGTCCGTTGCCCTTCACTTCCTACGGAGATGACGAGGATGGAGGGAGCTTCGGCAAGATCTACCAGGCTCGCATTCATCATGATCATATTGAAGGCCTTCAACTGAATGAGGTAAGCAGGTATCCTGGTAAATCGAAACCCAATATTTAATAATTCTTCCCTAGGACTTCACAGTGGCTATCAAAGAGATCCGCGCCACTCATGTACCTGATAGAACCTATGAGGTCGAAATGGACGCTCTAGAACTGGCTAGATGGCTGGAGGACGACCATCTGGTCAAATTCATTGCAGGGTTTGAGATGACCGGGAAGCACTATTTAATGTTCCAATGGGTTAATGGAGGAAATCTTCGCAGCTATTGGGAGAGCTTTCAAGGGTTACGCGATGGGGAACTGATCAAAAGGACTCTGAAGCAAATTGAAGGTATTGCAAATGCCTTAGGAAAGATGCACAATGTCGATCCCGAGAAGAACTGCCGCCACGGGGACCTAAAACCCGAAAATATTCTCGTCTCAGAGAGGTCGAACAATGAGATTTTCCTCCAGATTACCGATATGGGATCTGCCAAGATACACTCAGTCCCAACAAGCCTCAGGCAGATAGGGACAACATCACTGGCCGGCACGCTTCGGTACCAGCCTCCTGAAGTTCGCACTTCGCGCAGGAGGTCGCGGGCGTACGATATTTGGTCCATGGGTTGCATTCTACTTGAGTTCATTGTCTGGTTCCTCTATGGGTGGGACGGGTTGAGCGAATTTAATAAATCCTTCGATCACACCACTCAACCATTCTTCCGTATCGGTATCGGTGAAGAGCGCTGTATCTTGCAGCCCAATGTCGATAAGTGGATCAAGCATCTACAACGAACTTGTCTTGTCGACTCCCACGACAAGTGCGTTAGTCGAGCATTAAGAAAACTTCTTGATTTCGTCTGTACAGAGATCCTGGTTGAGAATGATGAGGCAGAAAACGATATGATAATCGACAACGGACCCCAGAGCTCCTTAGGTCACAGACTACCGAGAATCATACTCGAACGAGCAGCAACTCGAAAGCGGGATGGGTTACAGCAACAAAGAGCAGGCATCTCGAAGGTATCGGCGATGCTTGCGGAGATTTGCTCCGAGGATGGAGCTAACTACTTTTACAACAACAAAGCAGCAGCCAGTGAGGATTCGAAACATATCTTGAGGAGTGACGAACTTAAGAAAGAGCTGAAGCTACAGCCGCCCACCTACCATCTAGACATAGGCCCGCCGCAACAGCAAATAGCAAGCCCAGAAGTACGCATAAAGTTCCAATCATGACTTCAATTATGAAAGTACTCTACTAACGCTAATTTCGAAACTCTTCTAGAACGTAAGCTCCAATGCATTCAACCTTTTCGTTTTATTGCCTTTCGATTCCAACATTTCAAAACCTTGCTTGATCTGGAGTTGTCTATTTCCTGTTTGATGTCGTCTCCGGTTTTGGTGCTATTATGTTCGAATGTCTAGTAAGGATATTGCTAACCATGAATTATTCACAGCCAGTAAGTTGTCTAAGATGATTCAAAGATGCCCAAAGATGCCCATTGATTTCCGAGGCTGACAAGACTTTCCTCTTGCTTATATAGTATGTAAGTATACTGAAACTGCTATCACCTAAAATAAAATTGGATGAGACTGAAACTTTTATTCATCGCAGGCAGTGAGTTATGGACCTTGCTTATATCTTGGCGGATTTATATTAATAGATTACTGACGTACGCTACCTATCGTAGCTTGTGAGTGTGTTATAAACGTTTATGAGCTAATTCGCTGATACTAATGCGAATTACGCACTTTTCTTCGTAGCTAGTAAGTGTTCACACTCTTTAGATATTTCTCCCTTGATACTAATGCTTTAACTCTAGCCTGTATGTTATTTTAGTCAAACACACCAGGTTCTCTTGTGCCCCTTTTGAGGGTCAGAACTAAACGGTAATAATAGTTATCGGACACATGGGAATTTCGCAATGACAATATCTTCGCCCGAGACTTTTTCAGAACCTTGACTTCGGAAGATATGAAAACCGGTGTCCACGCGCTGCCGGGGAACGAAACACCGTACCTATGTAACAGCTGTGAGAATGTTTTTTTCACTGATTTCTCTTTCACACTCGCTAGATTTGAACCAAAATGCGATCTCTGCAGGGTCTTGAAAGATTCCATTGAGACTTCCAAGCGCGAGAATGCCAAATTTGTGCGAATAGGCTCATCGTTAGCGACGGCTTTGACAGCAGTGCCAATGCTTTCAATCGTTGTTGGTCCAGGCAAGTAGAACTACTCCCGTTAGTCTACCTACCTAAGCTTTGGTATACTAACATACATTCCCTAAGGCTACTCCAACATCCCTTCGCACATTCAGAGAGGTTTCCCGACATTGACAAAATTGAAATATGCAAAATCGAAAAGGGAAAAATTTCAAAGTCCAACCCAAGCTAAACTGTTCAAGCACTGGCTCAATGACTGTGATAGCAAACACGGAAAGACTTGCAAAGCATTGAATACTACGATGAAACGTCCAACAAGGTTAATCGACGTTGGCGATGTCTTATCAAAGACTCTGAAGCTCGATTGCAACCCAGAGGACAAACCTTACATTGCCTTATCACATCCCTGGGGCGATGAGGAATCTAATCCGCGGTTCTGCACGACAAAGTCTAATATCGACATTTATAAGAATTCAATCGGGTTAGACCAGCTGCCAGAGACTTTCCGGGACGCGGTATTGGTGACACAAAATCTCCATGTCAAATACCTTTGGATTGATTCCCTCTGCATCCTCCAGGGGGAAGCGGAGGACTTCCACATCGAATCCCAGTTTATGGAAGACTACTATAGTGGCGCATACTGTACGATCTCTGCAACCTCTGCTACTGGATCAAGCTCTGGATTCCTCAAAGAGCGGCCCACAAATGGAGGTAACGTAAGGGAGTGCCACATGCTCCAGATCCAGAACGAGCCTTCCGGTCCCAAATCGACCTTTTACATATGCAAAAGCATTGATGACTTCGACCGTGACGTCGAAAAGAGTTCTCTCAGCAGGCGCGGTTGGGTGTTCCAGGAGCGGGCGCTCTCAAGACGTACAATTCACTTCACCGATACTCAGACGTATTGGGAATGTGGCCATGGAGTGCGTTGCGAGACCATGAACAGGCTCTTCAAGTGCGTTTCAATGCTTCCTTCATCTCGCTGCTCCCATTTTCTTGACAAGCAAAATCCTCTAATTCTAGGATCTAACATATCACGTAGCCGACAGTCATCATTCTTGTCCGACCCTAATTTCCCCAATTCTACGATTGGATATCAGAAGGGCATGCGAATCAAATTTTTCCAGTACATCTACTCAAAGTACTCAGCTCTTGGCTTCTCGTATGAAACCGACCGCTCAGTGGCCATGTTCGGACTCGAAAAACGACTGGCGAGGACTTACAAGGTCCGCGCAAGGTATGGCATCCTAGACGATGAATTCCTTCACAGAAGTCTGCTTTGGCAGAAAGCGGAGGAACCACTACGTAAGATCGAATTCGGACGAAATAATGACAAAGTTCCTTCTTGGTCTTGGATGGCGGTCATGGGTTCGATTAAGTACATGGACGCCCCATTTGATCTGATGGAGTGGAACGAGGGAGAGATCAAGTCGCCACTTAAAGGAGATCTTAAGGAAGTGAACAGAGTATGGACGCAGCCGGTTTCGGATTTCATAGTTCCAGCGAGAAGCGTCTCGCAGGAAGTAAACCCTAAGGACCTGTTCTACGACCGACCCGAGTATGAGGTAAACGATGAATCAATTAATGATAACTTGAAGTGTGTCATCATTGGCTGGGACAAAATCGAGCAGCAAAATAAGGATTTCTATGCCCTCCTAGTCATCCCGACGGGTGCATCTAGAGATGGGTATCCCGATTACGAGAGAATCGGTGTCGCCCGCATGACGGGGACTGACTTCGAGAAAGATGAGACTAGAGTGCGAATTGTCTAGTACGGATATGGACATCACTCCAAATCTACGAAAGAAATTGCGCGGGTGGATTTTCCCTCTCCTCTTTTCTTTTCTTTTCTCCTTTGTCTACCTAGTAGGTAGGTATTCAAGGAGTTCGTGATTGATATGGTGGTTAGTGGACGAACGACGGGATTGCGAAAAGGGGTAGAAGTGTGGCAGATACACGTGGCGGGGCACACCAATCCCCGTTCGTTCGGCAAGTGCTCTAAATTAGTAGAGGGGTGTGCTTAAACGTGTGGTGTGGGCGTGGCGTATGCTGCTTAAATTTGGGGTTATTCGGTGGTCGGAACATGTGGAATGGAATCTCCATCGTCGCTCACTTCTCCCTTTGAACTGAGGTTACTGAAGCCTTAGACGAATATCCATACGAAATTTTCTTCTTCTTCATCCAAGCAACAATATATTGTTATTTTTAATACCCAAAAGGAATATCTTGGCCGAAGTGGGTTAATGCTCATGACGTGACGTGAATAACCATGGCCCGATTCGGATCCTCAATAGCCGGGCGGGTCTGTGGTGTTGCAGCAGAACCTCCATAGGGACTGACATCGCGATATTTTTCACCGGGCTCCTTGCCTCTCTTACTGCGTATATCATCTAAATTCCGAATCCAGCCATCGGCATCCGCAGAAAGGGTAGACCGCTTAATGAGATAAAACTTATGCGAATAGCAAATCCCCCTATGATATTTATGGTCTTTCTGTAGCTGGCGAACGTGATACCGTTGGATCTCTCGCTTCTGAATCTGATACCAACTGGGCAATATACTACTAGCATATATGGAGATATATACAGAACCGCACCAGACAATCAGCCTCCGACACACAATATCTCGACGACATACGCACCGTCTCCCTCGCATCAATTTGATGAGATGGCTGACGATCAACGACCTGACGCAAGGCTCGCGTCTGACGAACAGGCACCTCTTCTTCATAACGACGAAAGAAGACCAGATGGCAACACTTCGGGACATGATGTATCCCGTCGAGTCGCATCCAAACTTTACGTATCTCATTTCCTATCCACATGGAATTCCCGCGTGTTTGAATTCGGCGCCGTGATCTACTTGGCCTCAATCTACCCAGGAACGCTACTCCCCATGTCCATTTATGCTTTGGCACGAGGTCTATCAGCCATCCTATTCGCTACTGCAGTTGGCCACTATATCGATACGGGAAATCGTCTTCAGGTTGTTCGGCTGTCCATTGGTTTGTCACCTTGTTGCTCTTCCCAATATCGTATATTCGACTAACTGTCTCTCGAAAACGCCTAGTCTGCCAGAGGTTGGTGGTAGCGACGTCGTGCGTTGTGTTTTACATCATGGCCGTTCGTGGAGAGCTTGATGGTGAGACTAAAGCGGGCATGTTAGTGCTTCTATCTTTCTTAGCATGTGTCGAGAAGCTTTGCTCTATCATGAATTCTGTGTCCGTGGAGAAAGACTGGGTAAGTGGTTTATTGTGTCTGTTTGCTGAAGATTTTTGCTTAATATGTCTCAGGTTGTCGTCGTCGCCGGGAAAGATCATGGCTCTCTTAGCTCCCTAAATGCACAGATGCGGCGCATCGATCTACTTTGCAAGCTCCTAGGCCCTTTATCTATCTCTCTTATTGATGGCTTTTCGACTAAGGTGGCTATTATCGTCAATTTCGTGATGAATATCGCTTCTGTCACGATAGAATATCATGCCATTGCTCGTGTCTACTATGAAGTACCAGCCCTACAAGAGCCGAAACAGCGACAACAAGACCATGCCTCTACTGTTTCTACGACGTCTGGTGGAGCCCGTTCAAGTACGCGGATGAGAATTCTAGCAATTATGAAACAATCCAAAGCGGACTTCGGATTATACTTCCGTCATCAAGCATTTTTACCTTCGTTCGCTTGCGCCCTACTCTACCTCACTGTCTTGAGCTTTTCTGGTCAAATGGTAACCTACTTACTTACGACTGGATATAGTAGCTCGCAGGTTGGTGTTGCGCGGACGGCCAGCGTCGCGTTCGAAGTGCTCGCTACCTGGGTAGCACCATGGCTGATCAGCCATATCGGCCCAGTGAGGTCCGGCTTGTGGCATAGTACTATGCAAGTCAGCATGCTCATAGCTGGTTTAGTCGTGTTCTGGGCGTTTGACGCAAATAACCCTATCATCTCTGCTAGTGGGCTTGTAGGGGGAACAATCCTCAGTCGTCTTGGTCTTCGAGGGTTTGATCTTTGCACGCAAATTATTGTGCAAGAGGTATGTGTTCAGGCGTCTTCACAATCATCCGAGGGCTTTTTGTCTCACATAAATCAATAGGAAGTTGAGGCCGAAAACCGTGGCGCGTTCTCATCCGTAGAGACAGCCTGGCAGAGTGTTTTCGAACTCATGGCTTACGGCTCCACAATTATATTTTCCCAACCGTCCCAGTTCAAGTGGCCTTCCCTAATATCAGTAGTAGCCGTCGCCACTGCAGGTTCATTTTACACGGTCTACGTGTACATAAAGAGAGGTCATCTGATACATTTCGAGAAAATCGCAGGATTGTGCATGAGCAGACAAGATAGAAATAGGAACATCGAAAGAGGTCTCGAGCGCATTCTTTCTGATGGAGAGATCTGAATATTAGGGTGAAGAAAACACAGTTGGGTAAACGATTTGGACTGAGGTTCAGGAGCAATTAAGCCTGCAAGAACATGGATTAGGTAAGTACGTACTCAATCAGGGGTAGTTTTTCCACTTGGCTTATCACGTACACAGCTCACTTCAAGTCGTAATTGGAATGATCAGTCACATTGCTGGTCTATGCGTAAGGCCCCTGTTGCCGTCCTGGTGGTAATATTTATGTGATAATGTAACATTACCGCGCCCGGCAGTCTCGCGGATCTCAGCCTCTGACTGGTCTAAATTGAACCATGGTCTCTAGAATCATTTCGGAAGGTTCATCGCAAAGCCTCGAAGCTTGAAATTATCTTTAAATCTCACCCTGGCACTCTAGCAAAGATGATCCGAGCTCCTCGACATGCAGCTGAACCAACAACACGAAAATGGCAAGGCTTCGCCCACTTAAGGCTTTTGTAGGTATCTGGGCTTTTGGGGTTTAAATAGGTACGTTCTGAGTTCGGTCTCTCCTATCTACCCTTAGCTTTATGGTTCCTTATTTTCAGGAACATCTGCTGTTGATATGGAACCAACCCACCTCACGCGGGAGCAAATCGGATTATCGAATCTGAATCAGCCAACGCCTTGCCTTCAGCTGAGTCCTGCACAGCTCTATAATAGCCTATCCGTGGAAGAAAGTCGCACCATTCGACTCCTTGACTTGGATCCACTGCCGTTCCCATCAGATACAGACGAAACGCCGTTGTCAGGAACTCTCCGAGTAGCGTCTTTAACGGCGAACCCTCGCTTTGCTGCTCTCTCCTACGTCTGGGGTACTTATTCAACACCTCATCCATGCATATTAGAGCTGCGGAATAGCGGCGGCCAGAACATCAAGTTAAATATAACTACTAATTGCCAAGACGCGTTGCGTCCTCTACGGCGAATGTATGGTGGTTTATGTATCTGGATCGATGCGGTATGCATAAACCAGGACGATGAGGCCGAGAAATCATCCCAGATCAAACTGATGGAAGATATCTATTCATGGGCCACCGAAGTCTACGCGTGGCTGGGCCCCGGTACTGACGCTTCAGACAGAGTGATGGATTGGTGTCGTCGGGTTGCGAAACACGATTTTCTGAGCGTCGCTTCTGCGACTTGCCCTCCTACTAGGAGAAATCGATTCCTATACAGTTCTATCGCTCTATACCACATGATGGTTTATTTTTCACTTGCAGTGAAAGAAACTTGCCTAGCATGGATTATGTTACCGATAAATCTTGGAAAGTGGTTTAGAGGGCCGTTCATACAACTCGAACAGCCTAGACATTTCGAACTTTTCATGAAACTCTTCATTACCGGAAACTGTTATCTGCGATTACATGACGTCTTGCGATTAGATGATTTACGAGATATATCGGATCGCGAATGGTTACGAAGAGTTTGGACCTTTCAAGAGGCTATCCTTCCTTCCAAGCTCATCCTTATTTGTGGACACAACTGCTTGGATTGGACTCAAGTCGTCACTTCTTTCAGGATGAGCGCTATCCACCGCGATGGATACAGGCCTAATACTTCTTACTTAACGCTTAATCGATCAGACTATCCCAGTTCGGCGAATGCCGCCCTTTTACCAATACTCGGCTTGACAAATGTTTGGATGCATACAGAAAGGCCTATTAGGTGGGAAGAGCCGTTGAAACCTGATGAATCGCAGCATGTCACTTATGCTTCTTGGCTGCAAAGACCTGCTAGGGGAACACTCCTATCCGTTCTTGCAGATGTTATCTGCCTGCTAGCTTGGTTTTGTCAACTGGCTTCATGGGCTGTCTTTTTGATGGTACTATTCGTTATGTATCCATTAATACCGAGTAGTCCTTCTAGTGAAGAAGTGCTGGAATTAAAATTGATTGCTATGGTAAGTCTAAAGCATCGTGCCCTAATTTCTAATTATCCAGCTTAAATCTCCTTCCCGCATTGAACGAAATTTAGCTGACCTTTTTTGTAGTACGACCTCTCGTTCCCTGAATTTTATATCTATCCATATACATTAAACAACTCGGTGTATTGCGCATGGACGACTCCTTTTCTCTCTCTCACTCTCACTTTTTTTTTTTTTTTTTTTTTTCTCACGGAGGGCTGGGGGGTCTCAAAAGAAAATGCTAATAAAAGGAACCGCTAATATATATGATAGAGCCTTTGGAGTCTTTATCTCCTTTTTAGTCTCTTGCCTTTATATTCCATGCTGGACTGTCATAACTTCAAGATTCAAAATAGATCATGGAAGGTCTAGAGACACGTACCTTGCAGGCATCGTCCAAACGATTCGTACGCGAGAAGCCACCAATGATAAGGACCGTTCTTACGCGACATACGGGATCCTACAACGTTTAGGTATCAAGGATCTTTCCCAATCAGAGTACTCAAAGCCGTTAGGCCAAGTATATCAAGAACTCATCAAGGATTTTTTGAAATGGAATCCCGCGACCATCAGCTTATTGTTAGATGCTGGCGTTCACTCCAACATTGGCGGCCCGTCATGGGTACCGGACTGGAGCATCGCCGCAAAAAGACAATGGATTCATCCTGACTACATCGTGAATCTTGCCGCCCCGATCGCCCCTTCAACGTCAAATGCCTGGGTTGAGTTTCGAGGAATTGACGGACTTGTCGTTAGAGGCATCCCAAATGGTACCATCAAGTTTAGCTCGGGGCCGCTTCGTAGAATCAACACTTCCGGGGTAAATTCTCATCACTCTGTCGATATCGGGGCCGCGACACTCACATTTATACGTTGGCTCAGATATCTCGTTAGATATGGGATGTCCGACGCAGATTTTGAAGACACTTCTCAGAAAGCTGCTCAGATAATAGATGCTAAGATCGATTCTAAAGTCGGGACTCACTTGTCTCACCCAGAAAAAATCCTTGCTTGGTTTACAGTGTTGATTAATAGCAAGGTGGCTCTTCAAGGACACATCAATACAGAACTTGATAGTCACGACACTGATGCTGGAGAGTTCTACGATGATATCATAAAACGAACTTACGACGGTCAACATCTAGGTTATGTCGCTAAGAAGTTGACTATAGAAATTTGCAATCACCTTGCAGGGCGGAGGAACCTCTTCATCACTACTCACGATCTTCCTGGCTCAGGACCAGAGGATATGGTCTCCGGAGACACCGTCATGTTAATTCCCGGGATCCCTACCCCGATGATTCTACGGCGAGTGATGCGTGACGGCAACGAGATGGGCGATGATCTTGCTTATCGTATCATTGGACCTGCATTCATCTGTGGGACCATGATAGAGAATTACGAAAAACATGGGCAAAATATCACTCTAGTATGAAAATATAGAAGGCAGGACTATCGGACGGATCCATCTATCATTTGACGTTAAATCCAAGGTTACCTACTGAACGCACGTACGGGCCCCTTAAACTACTTCATACCTGTAATCATCTTTAAATTATGTACATAGTTTAGCATAAGAGGAAAATATGCGTCTTAGGTGTTTTAGGGACTGGCTCGCTTGACCTATCCGTCTAAGCTGGCATGAGAGAGCCTTACATTGTACAATGTTTAGTGCGATATTAGAAGAGTTATTCCCTATTAGTAGGTAGTTCTACTTAATTCAAATAAATAATGCTTGATTAAGGCGAATGTCACTAACGCACACAGCCTACCTACAATACCTATCTAGGTAGGTAGGCGTATATGAAAGATATTATCGGCCAAGCCTCTATTACTTCCCCTTCCTTTGAATCGGATTAACCGACAACTATCAGAAATCCTGGATTCCAGTTTCTCCTTCAAGTGTCTTCTCCATCTTCAGATCACCATCTCCACTTCCACCACTCTGATCTTCAGCAGGATCGCTAGCCCAACCAGGGTCCTCATCATCAAACCACGCATCCTCCTGCTCGCGTCGCTCTATCACATCAAGATCATCATTCTCATCCGCGATCTGATAGTCGAAGTCATCGTCGCGCCCCAGCACGAACCGACGTCTTAGAAAATCATTCCACCGCTCGCGGCCCTCCTCCTTAGTCTCAGGCCGGCGGGGCAAGCCCTTGATACCCGCCTCGGCACCACTTCCACTTCCACTTCCACTTCCACTTCCACTTCCACTTCCACCGCCATTACCATTACCACCACCGTCGTTATCGCCAAAACCATCGGTGCCGATTGCGTACTCGCGGATAAAAGCATCAGCGTCCTCCGACGCCGGCTTCGGGATCCACGATTCCGCCCCCGCTGACGGGCCCGGTGCCTGATCCCGCTGGGGAGCGGAGGCGATGTTGGCGGCGAAGGTGGCGGAGGTGAGTTGCGCGATCTTGGCCTCGCCGCGGATGAGATCCACCTCGAGGACCCGCGAGTACCCCTTCGTACGCCCTTCCTTCTCGCGCTCGGCGGGCGATTGGAAGCGCCGTATCAGGGCATCGTAGAGTAATGGGTCTGGTCAACATGTCAGTTACGAATCACTATTAGTGAATAGCATGGAATGCGCAATTAAGGTTATCATGGTTTGGCGGTGCTCAAAATCCGTTTTCGCGCATCGTCCGTATTCAAAACCAGGGGTCAGAAAAAAAGGGGCGAGCGCTACGATGAACTAGGGAAAGACAAAAAAGTCCAAGGAATCGGATAAGACTATCGAATTAATTCCGTTTCAAGAAAAGCCGTAAATCGAATGGTAAAATCATACCCGCAAGTTCGTGCTCGAGCGAATCGAAGTACTTCGGATTCCGCTCGAGGTACTCGCGGCGCCGGTTCTGCACGCGGATCTGGGCGGAGTGCGCCGGCGATCTGGGCGGCCGGGGTTGCGGCTTCACGTACGTCGAGATTGGCGAGAGCGACGACGGGGGCGGCGTAGGCGGGGCCTGCGGAGGCATTTGGGGGGGGGTTAATTGTTTCCGGAATTTCGGGGCTGTCTGTCAAGGAATTGTATGGGCTCTGCAAGGAGAATGGGGGATTGATTTTAGGTTACTTCTAGTCATCATGTGCGTATGACTCGTTAGAATTATATGTCCGTATTACGTAAAACGATGGTCAACTAGGTATTTTTGTGGGGCATGGTTTTATTGGTTGATAAGGAGCCTTTCCAATTAGTCGAACAATCACAACCAAAGGAATACATTGTGACAGCATCAGTGGTTTAGTGGTAAAATCCATCGTTGCCATCGATGGGCCCCGCGTTCGATTCGCGGCTGATGCAATTAATTTTCTCTTTTGAGCTTTCCTTTCATTGATTCTAATCTAAGGATGAATCAATGAAATGCTTTTTGTCAATTATCTATTTATATACTACACGACTTCAGAGTTCATGGCCATTTCGGAACTCACAGCCAGACACAGCAAAAACGGTCATTTATGTCCATAAAAATCGGGGGAAGATCTATTGACGTCAACCAAATCAATGCTCGGGTATATATGCACGTAAACTTTTCCAGCTTTTCCGTACCGCCCCACAAGGATGCAATATGCAAAGACAACGGCCGTAGACAAAAATTAATTCATTCATACGCGTAAGTCCGTCTCCCCTTCTCCAGATCCTCGCTCAGTCTCCCTCTGCGACTTCTATCCAGGCTCGGCCGCGCCCACGAGACCGCCGCGTTCGCGCTGCCGAAGCTGACCTTCCGCGGCCCGCCAGATATCCTTTGGCCGAACGAGGTAGGCGACAGCCGCGCCGCGGCGTAGTAATCGGTGCTGCGCTCGCGGCTATGTCTAGTAGGCAATATGCGCGGGGACAGGCCGTCCATCAACTGCTCTCTGCCGACGCGATGGGATGACAGCGAGGTCTTCGGCTGTAAGACAACCGTCTCCTCCTCCACACCACGTCCACGTGCATGTTCACGTTGTCGTTCTTTCTCAGCCTCCCACTTAGCCCTCTCCCTCGCGCCGAAGCACCGTCCGAAGACGCCCTTCACCGTATCCGAGATATCGGTGATGGTGAACGCCATGGCGATGAGCGGGAGGCTGACGCCGAGCCCGATGCCGAACATGTACTTGCTCACGTAGGGGATGGTCAGTGGCCCGTCCTGCCACTCCTGCAGGTTGATGGCGAAGAAGGCGGCGATGAAGCTCATGGGCAGGAAGATGATGGTGACGATGGTGAAGACCATGACGGTCTGGCCCTGCTTCGCCGCGATGACGGCCTGGTCGCCCGCGAACCGCGCCTCGAGCGCGTTCGAGTGCTTCTGCTTCAGGTCCAGCAGGTCCGTCAGGTTGCGGTACAGCGACTCGGCCTGGTGGTCCATGCGCTCGATGTCCTTGCGCCGGATCTCGAGGCTGCGCAGCTGCTCGCGCGACCGCTTCCGGATCTCGGCCACCGCGACGTCGACCGCGCGCCGGTTCTCCCCCGTCCCGCTGTTGCTGCGCAGCTCCTCCGTGATCTGCATCTCGAACTCGTCGAGCGTCGACAGCTGCCCTTCTAGTAGGCCGGTTATGATGCCCAACTCGTCGCGGATGTCTTTGATCTCGGCGAGTAGCGACGTCTCGACGCCGATGTCGAGCAGCGCGTCGGGGAACTGGTCCATTCCCCTGCCCTGGTACTCGTCCGGAGACCCGAATGAGGGGAGGCGAGCGAGTCGGCCTAGGCTACGTCGGCGACGGTGGTATTGGAGCCATTGGGCGGATTGAGCCGAGGCTTGGTTGAAGCGGCTGAAGAGTTGGCTTTCCCGGTCCGTCACGAGGCCGATGGAGCTTTCGAACATGTCTAAGAATTGAAAGTCTTGGTTGTCCAGGCGGTGCCGGTCGAAAGTTCCGGAACAGCGGCTTGTTATAAGCATCGCGAGATCATCTACTATGCGTCAGTACTCCATGTGGATCATGAAACTATTGGCCGTCCAAATAGGAAAGGGAATGTTGGCATAAGAAAAGTCACATTACATACTATGAACAATGTTAGCAATTATTCTGGACGCATAGGATTTTGATGAGAATTATACATACCACACAGAGCCAATCGGTGGTCTAGTTTTAGCATTTGTCTCCTCGATGATGCCGTCCAGAACATTCAAAGGATCCTGTTTAGGCTGATCCCAACGCTGCGGGAAGCACGTAATGACAAGATCCTTTCCGAGGATCCAAAGCCACAATTGATCAACCATGAACACTTTAGGTTCTTTATTGTGTCTCTTACAATACCGGTAAACAACCTGATCCGTATCTCTTGCTGACGTGTCGATACCGTGGTAGAAGAACTGGTCGAGCGTCCTACGCGGATGGAGGCGCGGTTCGCTTTTCAAGTACGCGTTGACGATGAGAGAATCCCTAGAAGAGTTGTCCAAGATTTGCCGGTCTTCATAAACGTTTTTGATCGCCTTACTCATCTTTCGTCGCCGCTCGTCTGTCTCGTAGTGTAAGAATGGCATCTGTTCAAATCAGCATTTCCATCCCTTCACTCACGCACGTAAGGGATAAGGCGCTTACAAATAATACTATTTTACCGCTCGAAGCTGCGAATCTATGAGTCTCCCAAGCGAGCGGAGCTTGGAATTTGCCGCTTAGGTTGCTTGCGAAGCTATCTTGCCTCTGAGGCGGATTGCCGGGAGGGCCTTTGGCTCGCTTATGCTTCTTAGGATGCCTCTCGGCAATTTGTTCAGACTTGCTCTTCTTTTTAGTAGTTACGTCGTCGTCAAAATGATCACCTGGCTTTTTGGGGGAATCTCCTCCACCGCCAGTGGTTTGAGTTGATGCAGCGCTAACATCCGACAGTTCCTCGGATAATGGGGCCAGAGACGATTTATCATCTCTTTTATCTTGAAGACCAGCCCGAGGCGAAGTAATGCGGTTAGAAAACGTCCTCATGAAGTGAGCATGTGCAAGTTGGCCCTGATGTTCCTGGTCGAAGCATTTCTCCAGCGCCTTGAAGGCTTCGATATCCCGGTGCCCCGCCTCGATGAAGGATTTGGCAAGGAGGGTCTAGTCAATGGTGAGCTAAAGGAAGCATTGCGCAGTAAAGAGTGTCCAAATACCTCGACCCATGCTATCTATACTATATGTTAGTCCTTACTGCCAAAACGATAAGACTCGAGCATATCGTACATTATTTGCAGGCAGATGGATCCACCGAAAATCCGGCTTATACTTGATGTTCTTCGTCAGAGTAGGAACCTTCGGCTTGTCATTCTCGTGATCCCAGCCGTACAGGAGTTCGTACACGGAATATTTGGAGACGAGCTGTTTCTTCTCGAATTGGCCAAAGTCTACAACGGTAGCCTCGAAAGCCCGACAGGCTTGTTGCGCGACTGGGGGTAATCGATCAGCGCCGCGTGCAGGCGAAAGCAACTGGACAATCTCGGGATGGTTCTTCTCGGCGGCGCACAGCATAGCTGTTCGGTTAAAGCTATCCTTAATAGACAAGTTTACGTCAGGTCGAGTCAATATAAGTTGTACGACTTCCTCACAGCCATTAAACGCAGCCCAATGTAGAGGCGTCATCCCATTCGAGAGCACAGCATTTACATTGGCTTCGGTGTCAAGCAGCAGCGCGACAATGGGCGCATAGCCACTTTGAGCAGCATTGTGGAGAGGCGTCCAACCGCCATCACTAACAGCACCGGGGTCAGCTCCATAGTCAAGCAAAAGCTTTACCATTGCTTCAGATTGCTCTTTATGACTACCCTCGGCGGCGAGATGTAAAGGCGTTCTCCCGCGATTATTCGTAACGTCGACGCGCGCATGGTTCTCTAGGAGGACGTGAGCTAGCTCGACATTTCCATTCGTAGCAGCCCAAAGGAGAGGCGTCCTCCCAATCTGATCTTTGACTTCTAGGTCGGCCTTGCTATTCAGGAGTAGCCTTAAGGTCTCGAGAGTCCACTTCCCCTTCCCGGGCTTCTCTGAAGCTAAAAACAGCAATGGAGACCGTCCTTCTTTATCTTGAGCATCTACGCTTGCCTTCTCGCGGAGTAGAGCCTCGACCACCTTGTTGTACCCTTTCAAGCATGCGCTGAATAGGGCTGTCTGCCCGTTGCGATTACGAGCGTTCGGATCGGCGCCGCGCTTCAGCAGCTCGGCAACGATGTCGGCTTGTCCTCCCTCGGCTGCCTTCACCAAGGCGGGGACTTCATTCTCTTTTCTAGAATTCAGCTCAGCACCGTGATCGAGTAGGAGGCGGACGATGGAGAGCTTGCCGCGCGCCGCGGCTTTCTGAAGAGCTTGGCGGAGCGCGTCATGATCGGTACTCGAAGTCCAGGGAGGGTCCTCAGCTAGTATGTCGCGAAGTCTAGCCTCGTTAGCTTGAGCCGAAGCGGCGATGAGTCTCAATTGTCGCGGATCGGGTTGACTGCTTGCTACGCTGGCTTGGCTAGCCATTCCTAGAGTTGGTGAGAGAAGGAGATGGGATGGACGTATCACAAACAGATCGCCATAGCCTAGGAAATTAAATACAGCATACAAGATCTACAACTTAGACCACCCCGTCTTATAAAATCGTACGACGTGACAAAATTCCGAATTCTATAACATATAGTAACGAACACATCAAAATGACGTCGAATCGGAGCTAAAAGATGATATTGGAGTGTTGTACAAAATTTGCGAACTCCCACATGTCGCGATCAATGTCGCGGTACCATCCGCGTCCGCATTGACCTCTCAGCCAAGATCTCTCCATCAGCGTAAGCAGGGTGGCAGTGGTGGGTGGGAGGGCGAAAGGGTGGAGGCAAAATTAGGAGCGGGTCGAGCTAAGGCTGGCTGGGAACCTGGCAATTGGTAAATACAAGCTTAAAACCTCAAACAAGCTCGTGGCGATGTCACCGATGTCACCGACTGAATGGTAACTCTCGGCAGCGCGGCGGGTATTCAACGGCAACGCTCGCTAAAAAGCTAATCTTCAATCGCGAAACTCAATTCGCATCCATGGATGGCACATGCGACCACTGGTAGCACCGATCTACTAGGCAAGCACCTACCCGAGGTAATGTCTATCATCACGAACGCAGTTTCATTTCAACGCTATAATTGGAGAAGCCCACAATACTTTATTACATAGGTAGCGTACCAACATCAATAGTCTACACATGTGCATTTAGACTTGAAGCTAACATTCTGCATTCTGACACTAGGTAATTACATAGGTATCTAGGTAATCTTCGATTTGCTTCCTATCTGGCGGGGTGTCTGTATGTAGTACGTAAATGCGGAGTGAGATGTTAGACTACTAGGAAGGAAATGAGCTGCACTCTGTAGAGACAAGCTGGATACGAGGTTGTTCTGATGCATCGCGCTACAGCACCACATAGATTATAGGTGGCCCTGAAGCGGGAAGGATTCGGAGTTTTGCACCCTCTCGGGCAGAGTTATTAGGTATATACCTAGGTCAGTAGTCTACATAGTATCGGTGTATAATAATAACAGTTGGGAGGCCGTGATCTCATGTGGGCTACACCATTGTAAATGCCAAAATGCCCAGTTTTCCAAGACAAAGAACCCGCTTGTCCCGCTAATTAGAAGAGCATTTTAGGATGCCGCCTTAATCTAGTATCCTTTTGACGCCTTTCCTGCTTGCCGTCCGCGTTCTCTTGCTTCATCTTCGCTAGTTCGGCCAACATCCTATCGATCTCTTTCTGTTCAGCAATTGCCGTTGCGTTATCCAATGCCCGCTTCTCCTCTAACCATTTCATATACTCTTCATCCTTGCGCTCGTCATCGCCGTCGTCGAGTATTCCCTGAACCGGTTCGGGGGGTTGTAGGAACCCCCTGGCATCAGCCTCGACAATAGCCTCGTACATCTTGGTGGCCATCATTTCGTAGCCGGCGGTGCCTGGGTGCATACCATCCGAAGCTAAATTTCCATCTTGAATTCCGTCTGGACCTTGCATATCAGCAAGCACCACCGGCAACTCCTGGTGTTTGTATATTTTCGCCAGCCTCCGGATCTGTGGATTAACCCTCCACACGTCTTCGCGACCGTTGAATCGAGTATCCCAAGTAGGTAAAATAGTACCCATAATAATGGTGGACCTTGGCGAAGCCTCCAGGAGATATCGGACTAGGGCATCGTATCGCTTGTAGAAGTTGTCAATATCGACATGCTGGAAGCAGTCGTTGGAGCCAGCATTGATGAGAAAGAGATTAGGCTTTGACTTGGGAACAGCCTTTCGGGCGTTTCCGTGAATGGTCGCGGTGACCACGCCCGGGTAGGCTTCGATATCATTGTCCGTCATGTTTCCGAGGCGCTGCGTGCCGACAAAATTGACTTTGTTGCCGATAGCGGTCAACCTTTCGCGGAGAGGACGGCGAAAACCATTGTTGTCGATGCCTTCTTCGGGACTGTCACCACGGGTAGTCGATGCGCCAAGCGCCATGATCCGGAGTGGAATTCCATTAGCGAGTGGCAGCTCGTAGCCCGGTCGAGCATACGGCTTCGTCCTAACAGTAGAAGTGGTGGCGCCGCTAGACAGTTCGCTGGGGAAGGAGACGGAGCTTAACGATGAAGAATTGGTAGCAGCGTCGGTTGAAGGATAAGAAACTTGAACAGTGCCATTGCCAGTTACGTAGCTGACACCGGCCTTGAAGTTGTCGCCCAAACTATCCAGTCTATGACCCCATTCATTGTCGACATTGACGGTACCAGAGAATAGCAGAACTATGAATTGGTCAGCCGCATATGTAGATAGAAGACGAGGTACAGGGGTGATGGAGATGTGAAATCTGGGACTAGCGCATACCTATAAGAAATAAAGGCAAGCCCAATAATATGAGCGAGCGCCTTCGTGCTAAGAGCATCGAAATGTATGGGCTCGAAGTCAGTTGTCGAGGAAACTTGTCCATAGTTCAGTTTCTCGGTGGTCTTTTTGCGTGAGTGTTGCGCGGCGCGCGATAGATCAATCGTCCAAAATTAATCCAATCGCAACTCTACCCCACAATACGATTAGCACGGTCGTATTGTACGCGTAAGCTTCCGTCTCGAAATGTCTAAAAAAAGGGAGAGGAAGAACAGTAAGATGGAAACCCAAAAAAGAAGATTATTAGCCAAATGAAGGAATGAATATGAGGAGGAATGAGCGAGGGAATAAAATCTATCGCGATATCACACACGAAGACAACCAAAGCCCATCGTGCATACGGTATTAAAAAGGTTGATGGCGGAGATACGCTCAGACAGGTTTTAGGAGCGGACGCGGACAGCAGGGACAGCAGGGACAGCAGGGACAGCAGGGACAGGAGGGAGGGAAACATCAAACATTTTGAATTGGAAGAAGGCCCCTATTTTTATCTTAACGATGCAACATGATGCCGTTTCTTCCGTCCGTTTGCCAAGAATGAATGCCAAGATCAATCGTGTCCCAATGCTAAGATCGACATTTCTCGACTGCCAAGACGGCGAGATGTTGGATGGCGATAGGTGAATTTTGTTTCTTTTGATGGACAAGATCGTTCTACTCTACCTAGTCGACCTAGCAGACTCTTTGCATGCGATGGATGTATCAGATAGGTAGGTGGTAGGTTAAAAATCAGTGATCTTCGTCCAGAAACATGCCAGGGGTTTGACAGCGGGTTTTAAGAGGTAGGCTCTATTAGACAGGTCAAGAACAAGAATTACACAAAGCCTTCCAACGATTAATTTTACCACCCACTTTAAATTATTTTCCCGATCTATGATGTCTACCTAGGTACATACCTACACATACTGTTCCCTTTTCTTTTTGGAAACCTCGGGTTGGTTTTGCTATACTACGTACTACGTACCTAGGAATGTGCAACTTCGGCAATCTACTAGGTACATAGGCGGTACTTGAGATATCAGACTTTCCTCCGCACGCAAACGGAATATTAAGTGTCTTCTGCATACCTCACATAGTACTATAATAGTAACTTCCTTTATCAAACGGGCATAATCGAATCTATCCAGTTCATTGGGTGCTTCCATACGCCACCAACCAATTCAATCGGCCGGTGTGTGATTAGCCACCCGTCAAACTCCACTTCGCTTAGCCCATATCGCACTAGTCGCCTTGTCAGCTGAACCAACGAGAATTCCACATGGTATGTATGTACCTAGGTATCTATCGTGGCAATAGGGGCTCTAATGCATTATCGCTCCCACGTTTCATTGGCCCCATGTCCAACGTATCTTACGAATCCGAGTCGACCAATAGCCAATAAGCATGCAAAAGAAATGTACATATAATCCTAACTTCCTTCAAACACGATGGCTGCCAAGAGAGAATCAGCTTATGTCCAACAACACGAGATAATATTATTTATACCGCCGTCTTATCCGTCTTACCCTTCCGGCTTCCGCCCACACCCGGCCTCTGGTTTTGCGCCAGGGATGTAAAGCTCCACTCTCCGGGAACCATCGCAAACCCGGATCGTCTACTCGTAGCACTCCGGATGATACAGGACTCGGAATGTAAAAAGCAATCTATTGTTCTAAATTTAAGAGAAGATATCCATATTCAGCACTTGCTATCAGAGGTCAGGTCTAGTCTGGGACAGGGAGTCTGGCCTAAGTCCAGCCCGTAAGGGGCATATCCAGGATAGATACCTAGATAAAGGGCTTTGAGCTCCTTGCGCAACTACGACCTTGATTCCATTGCGTGCTTCTAACCTCATTTCGTGGTCCACCTCATGGCATTTACCTTAATTTTAGTAGAGTGATAGAAGCACTTGACGCCTGTCTCGGGGCGGAACTAACAGGCGAGGAAACAACGACGATGTTGCGCGTGCAGCTCTAAGTTATGTATGCACTCTCACCTAGGGAACACTATAATTATATACAGGAGAAGCCCCTTTGTCAAATTTGCTCCAATAGTATCTAGCAACAGGTCTATCCGTGGCCTCTGAGCCGAATCCCAACCCTGTTAGGTCCGCAGCTACTTGGCCTCCAACAAACCAGACCTCTGACAACACCTTAGTAGAGTCCCAATTGCAATAACTGTTCCGGGCTCTGTCCCCATACATAGGTAGGTAGTTGCTAGGCAACACTTGCTGCCCCTGACCATCATCGCTGTCCATTCTTGAAATGATTGTGTGTTGAAAAACTGTAGAGAAAAAAAAAGCAGATACGTATGGTCTCGGCCCTAAGTACCATCATCGACCCTTCCAGCGCTGGAAAAGAACTATCAAGATTAGTACGCATTAGCTGGTGCCTGCAGCCTCAGTCAGTCTGTTTGGATGCTTCTGAAAACCGGTGACCGGCGACAGCTCTTTCCAAGACGTTTCATCACTGGTTTAGACAATAGCAGCCTAGCGCCCACCACCTTTCAGGAAGGCGAAACCAAACTCCCTCTGTAGCTGCTGTTAATAACCATCCCCTGCTTCTTTCGCCAGTATCTGGCTGATAGTTTATATTCCGGAATATTGCCAGGGTTTGCCAACAAATTGACCAAGTTGGTCATTTGGCTTAGTGGTTCGATGATGAGTAGAGTGATACTCTGATTACGACTTGCTGAACCTAAAACTCCATGTGAGCTGCGGTGCTAATGCCATGTGCGACAAAATCTGAGAACTACCTAAGCAGTTGATCTTTTTTTGGTGTTGTAATAAGTATGATTTTGAGAATAGAAACAAAAATCATGACAACCTCCTCTTTAAATAGTTTTGGGATTTTGGCAATAACACGCAAAAAAAGAGTCATTCAAATATGCTTTTTTGATTTACACAAGATCGGAAAAAGTTCACTGAATTGGCAAAAGTTTAGTGAAGCTTTTCATGTTGGGTATTCAACTATCTTGATGAGTAGAGCTTAATTTAAGACGTGAGTTGGTCCTTGAACCTCTAAGGAAAACGAGAGCGCCGAATCCGTTCAGGCCAGGGGGTCTCCCAGGTGGTATTATGTGTTTTAGACATTTTATTTTCTTTATTAAAATCTAAGGGGGTCGTTTCTTTCTTGGCCGTCAACTTAATAGATAATTTAGTGGTATAGAGCTATGTGTGAGTTGACGATTGGCCTGAAGGTTCAATAGTGGCGCTGGAAGCTTAGGTGGGTTGGCGTTTCGCTCTATTAATCGCACCCTTAATAATTGAACCCAAATCAAGATATGACAACATCAAGTGCGTGTTACTTACAATAGCTTAAACCCTACCGAAGCCTAGTAGTCGTGTACAACCTAAACTTTAAAAAGTCTATCTGCAGAAGTCCAGGTTCGATCCCCAGGTATGCCGCTTGAAATGATGGGAGACATCTTGTTCTATTAGGACATATAGTATATAGTGCTAAGTTGAATCTTCAATGTCGTTTATGATATCATTCTTATTAGACCCGATTAGACATTTCTCTCTCTCTTTTTTTTCTTTCTTTCTCTTTCTCTCTTTCTCTCTCTCTCTCTTTTTTAATAACGGTTATTATAAGAATATGGTTATTTAATTTAATTTATTTCGTATGTGCTTAAAAATTCATGAAATATTATAAAGCCCCTTATTATTTTAAATATGCGAGAAAATATAATGAACTAATTGCTATACACCCTGGAAAAGAATGAATTACATAACTAGACTTAACTTAGTTTCATATTATTAGAAATCTTTGTTGGATATATTAAAAATATCATAGTTTGGTTTTGGAACTCCAAACTCTCCTTTAGAAATTTGGCGGAGCTCCGGGAACTTGAAAGGTGTTGTTAGATGAAATAGTATGAAATCCATACCTAAGCAATAGCTTAAGTCTTTGTGACGCATAGGTTTTCTAGTACCTATGCCTGATCGGGATAAGCCGGGATAAGCTCGATGTTTCCTTAATATGGTTCCAATACCGGCGTGTACTAGATTCTATCGTCCTCGTTGTCGTCTACGGCGTCATCAATGCTGCCAATGAACATGTCCGGGACGTGGTCTTTGTGTGATTTGGTGTCGACAATGTCCCTATAGATGGAATTAATATCGTATCCTCGAGAGTGATGGAACGAGCTCGTCCCTGACGATAAGGTTGACCACATCAACATGAAAAGGGGAAGCCGCCACATACCAGCCTATTTGCTTGCCAAAGTTGTCAAGATACCTGAGTCGATCGATGCTCTCTGAGTCGTCTCCGAATCGAATGAATTGTATTGTAACCGAAGTCCTGCTTAGGCCACGCGTTTTAACCCCGTTTATGAGTCTAGTGATTTCGTTTTCGACTCCAGATACAGAGTCGCGGCTATTGCTGCCCCACCGTCCGTCCGTGAAGACGAAAAGTGTGATCCTTGGACGTGGCTTCAACCACTGAGGAAGGCCGGGTATACCCGTAAACGTTACATGGGGGTTAGGTAGTTTCTCCATAATATAATCTATCACTGCGCTCAGGCTGAATTCCATGGTAGACCCGGTACTGGAATGTCTATTATATTGCTGCTGAACTTCGCTGAGGAGCTTCGATGTGCGGCGGTTAGAGCGCTTTTGGGATGGCTGTGATGTGAAGTACAGGTCAATCTGGTTGTCGTCAATTTTCTTTGCCAGGTAAGAAAGGGCGATGAAAGTGTTGACCACATCGTCGCAGTGCTGCCTTTTCATTGATGCTGAATCATCAATTAGGAAAATTTGGTCTCGACCTTTAATCTTTTCCATTAGTAAATTGCATTGGTTTGAAACGTGTTCATTTGGTGGTCGATTTCTCTTCATGTCGTTGCGATACTGTTGGACTTCTTCGACTGTGATCTTATTGGTCGGAGGGAGAAAAGGGGGCAATGGTAGAGATGGACTTGTTCGGGGTATGTAACCTTCCTCTCGTGCCTTATCTTCTGCATCTTGGAGAAGGCTTTCAGACCGTTGCAGTAAGTATTTCGCGCTCCTCCGCGGGCCCATAGGCTCCAGTAGCATTGACGCGCACACCAAGTCGATTACTCCGGGGGTAATGGTGTCCCAGTGTCCTCTGCTATTAAGGATATGGTTGTGCATCAAGGTAACCGCCTTTAGAGGCTCATTGCCATCGTGGAAGCAGCCTGAAAATCCAGAACGACTCATGGAATCCATAGCCTCTTCCTGACGGTGTTCAAGATATTTTTGAAGACCTAAGTGACCACACACGGCCCAGACCGCTGCTTCACTAAACACACAACCTAGAGACCAGATATCAACTGCGGATCCGATCCGGTTGTCGAACCTGCGTAATGCATCGAAGTTTGTGGCGCATTCGGGAGCACTATACCACTGATCTCCTTTGTTATCGACCCCTAAGGCGTTTGGGTCTTCAGCCGAAACCTGCCAAAAATCACTCATGCCAAAGTCGGCAATCTTGAGGGTAATATCGTACTTGTTAGAAGACTTGGAGTTCACAAGGATATTACCCGGTTTGATGTCCTGGTGGGAGCTTAGGAGTAATTAGTAAGATACCTTTAATACTAAAATACGTTAATTTCAAGGACTTACCCGTAAAATGCCGAGGTGTTTCCTTCATCAAGACTGCCCAGGTTATGAATGAGAGTGAGACCCTCCAGGAGTTCGAACATACTCTTCCAAAATTGGATCATGTCCTTCGCTGATTCAGGCGGTCTCGTATTTTTGAAATAGGACTCTAGGTTTCCTTCGGCGCATTCCAAGAGAAGATAGTATTTGTCGCCCTGTACGAAGTGCCCGTATTGTTCAACTATGTTTTTCGGCCTGTGGCCTCGTTCATTAGGTGCACTATTGTAAATCCTTGTAAACGCATTGACTTCTGCCTTGTGTAGCTTTTGGTTGGTATATGCCTTGAGGATCATGGTGGTTGGCAGTCCTTCCTATTTATCGTGTTAGAAAACCCTCTCGCCTTACTCTGGGCATGCGTGACTCACGACACAATCAGCGTGAAAGTTAGCTTGAATGATGCAAGCATCTCCGTGGAACTCGCGGAGTATCCTTTTCGAGACTATGGGAAGGATGTGACGATCGTCTAATCGCTGTCCCAGGAGCGTGCGCGTGCTCACTTGTAGGGGGCAGAATTTCCACTGGCATCTGAAAAAATCCCCAAAAACTGCATCGAGATGCTTGCTTTCGGGCCACTGGGACGGGCGCTTCTCGAGAGGTAATTTCTCATCGTTAAGACTGTGTTCCATGAAATCGGTAAGGTATTCCAGATGGCACGTGGAGACGAGGATGCTAAATACGCGGATGTATGTGCTACGTATGATATCCACCTTGGCACATACGTCGTACTCCTTGAGAAGTTCTCTGACACGTCGATAATCCCAATGTTCAATCAGATCGTGACTTGTTACAAACTTAGCAGGATGACCATTGCCATCTTCACCCTCATGCTGAAGGTTGTCGATCCATCTTCCAAAAGAGATTGAATGGTGGATAGAGGGCCTCTGAGGGACCAGCAAAGCCATTGTATCTAAGGCTATGGCCGTTGATGGATGACAGGAGCTGAGCTCAGTGCGGAAACAGCCACAGGAGGCCCAAGGCGCAATATGTAGAACAAGTGGCAAGTTGTGGCAGTGGCGTAATCAAGATTCAGTTCAGAAACCTTTTATTGACACGAGGAGTAGTGTTTTGGAGTTATGATTCGAAGAACAAAGTCCAATGCCTAGCCTGTGATGAAAATAAGTCTGTGAGATGATATAAGCTTATCTTAAGAAGTGTCAATAGCAGCTGGCTGGAAACCATGTCCCACCTTGAGAGGAAACCTCGGTTACTTGGGCTTTTGGGTGTGATAACACTTCGAAGCGTGAGTTTCGGCGCGAAACCAGATACATGGTGACGTTTAGGCAATGGTTCGCCGAGGCAGACAGCAAGGCTGGTAACAGTATTGTAATATTACGTACCCAGGCAACTACACTAACTGCAACCATTGAGGCTTAGTATCCTAATAATAAGCAATTGCCAACTCATAATTATACAAGTGAGTAATAATATGGGAAAGGGGGAAAGGGGGGCGATGCAGACTGCGGCTATCAGTCTAGACGAACTCATTATTATGGCCAGCAAATGATCGCCTAGGGACTGGTTTAAGTTCGCAATGAATTCTATTATAATCATCCTATCTTTAGGGAGAGAAGGGGTTGACGTTTGGGGCGGGATTCAAGCCCGGGCAAAGCTTTAGACGTATGTAGGTAGTTTAGTCCCTCTAACTAATCACCCCTATTAGCAGCGGTATGTACCCCACCATACAAGGAGACTCACCAGGGGTAACATACCTACCTAGGTAGGCAATTTCAAGCAATGCTGGGGGGATTGGCTATCTGGTTATGCGGAGAAGCGCGCCACAAAACTCGTCGAGTGAATAGAAGCTCTATGTCATCATATTGGCACTCTCATCGAACGATGCGCCGGTTGCCACTCGATAGGGCGTCGTTTTTCTTCAACACCTTGCGCAAGGCTTTTCACAAGGCAGACTCATCTTCACTTCACCTTAAATCTAACTAGTCTCGAAAGAACTGTATGAACTCGGAAATACCCGCGATTAACACCGCTCGGGCTAGAATTCCAGAATAGGGAAATATCTGCACTACAGATATCTACACACCAACCAATCGCGCTACCCCTATTACCTGTTCGAAATGCTCTTCCAGACCATAGACAGCTATCGTCTACGCCAAGAAGTCCTTGAAGACTACTTAGAAAAGTTGTTTGGTATCTCCATTCGCTGCTTTGTAAGTTGACCTTTCATAAAAACTGCGTCCTCGGGTCAGTCGAATTACCCATGGCTACGTACGTAGGCATACGTTAGGATACTTTTCGTATTAGAAGTACACAAGATCACGATATTAGCGTGTATTACTATCCCAGGTAACAAAGCAAGAATTAACTTCGTTATAAATAGCAAAAAGTTGGAGAATACGGCTTTTACATTACTCGAGCTTTGACCCAGGTACGTAAAATTCCATAGGTACTAGTTGTCACGTTTTCAAACATTTTATTGATGAGAGCCAAATTCTAGACCGAGAGGAACCACATCATGGATAACCTCCGTGACTAGGAGAAGTCGTTGAGCATAACTCAAAACCACTTCGTCAAAGGTTTCTCGCCGTATGGGGGAAGGGGAGGATTGGGGGGGGAAAGGAGAGGGAGAGGAGCAGGGACCCCGTTGAGAAATGGGCATGAGGCTCTGACTTCGGAGAGGAGTGAGGGGTCCAAGCAGCAAAGGTAGAAAATGATGTGGGCATGAGAAACGAACCAATGATATTCTCTTTTGTGTATGACACGAGGGCACCCTCCAAGATGTGGACAAACTAGGATGGACGGTGGCTTGGAAACTCGGTGCGAACTAATATACGTAGTTGATCTTTCTTGAAGCCGCTCCCTACGAATATTTATTGAAAATCTCATAATAGAATAATGGTATTCCTTTGGAATGTATCGCTGTCCCAGCTAAGTGCTGTGCCTAAAACATGAGATGCTAAGGGGAATTGGCGATGGCTTCTGCAGTCAGCCCTTTCGGGTAATTCGACATGCAGGCTGACTTGCAAGTAGGGTAGGAATAAAACCTTGCCACACGGAAAACGGCCACCATCCCCCCCAATGGCAGACTCTGTTATGTAACCCACAGATTGATTGGATGATACGAACCAAAACTCCGAGAAAAATGCCACAAGTGCTATAGTGACGAAGTACAGGGACGCCTCGGGTTTCAAGTACGGCAGAATTTGGGTCAGCAAAGACACGTCCTAGAGATGCTCAGCCTCACGGAGTAGACATTAAAAACGTGGATACTAGCAAAAGAATAGCAGGACAGGGGCAGATCCGTCACTGCATTCTCTTATACAACGATACCTTCTGAATTTGACTCTAACTTTTCCCCTTCCAGAAGGATAATCATGCGATCGTGTGGGGCGGGTTCGACTATCTGTACGACTTCTTCTATGAGTCAAGATGTCAATAAACAGCAGTTGCTCTCTTCTTGTGAAGCGTGCTTTTCATACCCATGTAACTTAATTCGAAGTCTCATCTTTGAACATGCGCTCGAGTCGTACCGCCACAAGTTGCATGAAGAGTCAGAAAGACTATTCAACCCGTTCCCGAGAACCAAGCTACTGAGATTTTGGGAGACAAATAGCGCTTGCAGTGGTATTTGATTTAATTCTCGTTTATATGTGGCTCACTACTGATGTACGATAGAATTCAAGGAATATACACCTATAGATTTTGGTAGCTTGAAGAAGCATTGTCAAGGGAATGACTCACAAGATCCAGCATGTCGCTATATGTGAGTAAACTTATAGGGGGAGAGGAGTCTGATTAAATACTAACAAAATAGAAAGATTTCTCCAATCCAAAAATGCTAGGGCCAGGTTAGAATTCACACAAGAAGATTTTAACTACATTTTATCATATCATCAAGTGATGCCCCCTTTTCTAGATCTCGTTTTCACCTGCGGGAGACAAGAAAAGCTCCAAGATTTCCACTACACGGCGTTTCGACATGAGAACTACCTACACAGAGGCGATCCACTCTTACAAGATATGTCTAAGATAACGCCACTCGGCCGCTCAGGTCGGCAAATTCAGCATTGTTATAACCTTCATTCTGCTGAACGGTCAAGAGATAAATGGGGATGGTCGATTCGTCAGACTGTGGTGTTCCACTCATTTGACGTTGACACTGGAAGATCTGTCTGGATCTTCGTTAAGGGCAACGATATCATAGAGAATCGTATCAAGACGGCAACTAGCTCGACAAGATCTACAAGCATGGATGTTAATTCTCATCGAACGCTTACTGGGTCGTTCGACGCATCCCTTATAGTTCACGCTCATATAATGGAATGGTGTGGTGAACAATGGAGATGGTATATCAACGAAATGGAAGATCGGCTTCGGAACAAAGCGAAAAACGCAGTACTCGCTAACGTAGATCACTTGGCTGGACCAGAGATGGTGCCAGCGCCAAGCAGACCGGGAACTCTAATTCTACCAAGCAGCCCTCGGAGAACTGTATCGAAATCATCACCTGCTAGTAGCCCAACCAGATTGTGGAATTCATTTACAAAGCGGTCAATTGGCTCTAAGACGGAGAAGACCCTACCAGTAGTCGAAACAGACCCTTCCCGTCCCATTCATGCCGATATCATCGTGGAAGAGCCCCAGGAGATTGACTACGGTGGCAATGAAGAGAGTATAGAACGCATGTTCTCGTTTGAAAAACTACAAGATCTTCATAAGACAGGAGAGTACATGCAAGAGGCCCTGATGGTACTAAGACAGAATCGTAACATCATCAAAGAGATTCGCGAGCATTATTCCACCTTGTTGGAAAGCGACGACTTTCCTGCTGAGATTAAGGATGGCTGTCGGCTAGGCATGCCAGAGTTTAGTCAAAGAGCTCTTAGTATCGAGAGAGATCTCGAAGTACAACAGTCAAGACTAGAGACCTTGAACGTTCTATTAGAAGATAGAAGTAACTTGGTGGGCTCTTCTTGATATTCAATCACTATTCAGATTTGACTAACATCTTTGACCTCACAGTTCTATGGAGTTCAACAGTACGCCAGCATGCAAGCTAGTAAACACTTTGCAACGAACGCCCAAGCTTCCACGGAATTTACTACGGCCATGACAGCAAGAATGCACATTATGACGGAGAAAATGCACGAGATTGCCTTGAAAACAGGTCACCAGACAGTGTCTATGCATGTGATTACTGTATTCACACTTCTATTTCTTCCAGGGACTTTCCTAGCCGTAAGCCTTCTGCGCCTACTCTATACGGCCCCGAAGCTTATAAACCGACAGACATTCTTTAGTAGCGGCATACTGCGATGGTATGATGAAGAGGACGAACTAGCTAATTCGACCTATAGTTGGGCTACGGAACACGACCGTCTACTTCTCTATCTTGAGATACTCGTACCAATGACGGTATTAATCATCGTGGGCTGGCTGATCCTATACTTAAAGTCCCGAGACAAGGACAGTGAAGAGGAAGATGAACTTCGAACGTCCCTAGATCTAGAAAAGGGCCCCGAGAATCCCCAATGAGCGAGAGGTTCAATTCCCAGACAACTAATGTCAGTAAAAAGAACCTATATAAATCCGGGCAATCGATCGCAGTGTATAAGGAAACCCACTCTGCCCTAAAATCCAGTTTCTAGGTCTTCTACTTAGTACAGCATTATCAATAGTTACTCGTTCAGTTGCTTGTTTGTGGGAACATCTATTACCTAAAAACAGTTAAAAGAACCCCGACCTTGCCGCCGCTAGGTCTCTGTCTGGGGACACTGTCCCCCCTGCCGTTAAACAACACCAATATACGCTGTCGATTCGGTCTGTCGCGCTGTTTCTTGCGTGCTGTATCGGCCCGTTGCTTTAGTTGTCCTTTTTCAATAACCGCGTTTGCGTTTGTCCGTTTGTATGAGAATCCCAGGCTGAATGTGGGGGAACTCGTTATCCGCGGAAGTCTAAGGGTTTTAAATTGTGTGTGGAGGCATTTTGGGGGCCGTTGTGTGGGAAAGTGGTTGTTTTAGTGTGTGGTGTTGTTGCCGTCAAAATGAGGGTTTGATATTATCAGAGGTCGCCTTCCGTACTAGATGGAGTGTACCTTGAAGGAAAGTGCGATAGGCACTATGAGGGGTATTTAAGACCTTAGTCTACCTAGGCACGGCTCGAGCTTTTTCTTCCTTAGTCAACTTAATTGTTCTCAGACATCTGATCCGTGCAGCCCTCATCTAGATCTCAACCGAAAAACAGACGCGCCTCCCACTGGCCTAATGTACCCCCTACCTCTAAGTATCTCACGGTGTGTGTAATCGCAGGACATTGCCAGACTCTGGTCGCAACTGGTTCTGCCCGAAAATACCTTCACAAGATACCTAGTAGCTTACAACAACGCCCTTCACTGTCATACTTCGACTACTTCTCACCCTCAATCATTTTCTGTCATAGTTGGTCGCCATCTGACACTCGATTACATTCAGTCATTATGTCGCTATTCGGGGATATCCCATTCGGCCTTGCCGCTGAGAGTGGGTGCCCAGTCTGTTACCCAAATATGCGGTCTCAGACGCAACTGCTCTTATGCAGCGGCTGTAAAGTCGTCCTTTATTGTGGGGCTGAGCATCAGAAGAAGCACCGTCCAGAGCACAAGGCGGCATGCACTTCCATCGTCAAGAGCCGGGCAAAACTTGAGAAAGAGGAAGCCACACTTCGAGCTCACCCAGGCGACATTCTCCTGCCGGGGAATATTTTTGAGAACGGCGTGGGCAGGTTCTGGGGTATCATTGGGACCCGCGATTACATGCGAGCCCGATTTGCAGCTGCCGACGCTCTACTTCAGATCAACACAACCAAAGCCGTCGAGAAGGCTTTAGCTCATTTTCAGGACATGCTGCGACTCTGTCGGTCTGACAATCTAGGCATCCGGGACATCGTTCCTGGCCTCTTAATTCGCCTGGGGCGAGAGCAGGAATGCTATGACTTCCTCAAATGGTGGGCTGTCATCGACGATGAGCACCACTACAATGGCCACTATGATTGGGGCGATGCAAGTCTGCCATATCTTGACATCCGCGGAGCCGACGCGTTTGAAGCAGTGGACGCTTTTGCTAGCTGCTTGAGTCTCAGTCAGCTTGTCATCCTTGCGCTCCTAAAGCTACGTTTATACCTCGACATTGAGTGTTATGACCCGCAATACATGGATTTCGGGTCCCCTTGGCCCCCTACTCCCACGGATTTCATGCGGCCGATTGGCGAAATTGCCCAGAAGAGAGTCGGAATGATCACGAGTTCAGGTGTGCCGGAAATCTCCGAGTTACTCAAGGATCAATATCAGGCTTTGATCGGAATGGTGCACAAGAAGAACCCTTTTTTTTGGGAAGCTTTAGTGGACACATCGGAAGACACTCCATCCTTGCCTTCAATGTATAGTCCCGGTTCCGTTGAGGAGGCCACTTTGGCTGTCTATCAGTGCAAGAAGGCCTGGGAAGAAAGTTATGATGCCATCATAATGATTGAATCGGAAATTGTCGAGTTGACTGAGGTATACGAGGGTCCAGCTGCTGCATCGGATGGTGTGAATACTGGAGAAGTCGCAGCAACCTCAGAGAGGCGAAGAGGTTCTGGCAGAGCATTCCCATCCAAATTTTTTGCATCCATAGCACATACGCGCCCAGACAAGCTGTTCCCGCCTTCACTAGCTGGTAAAGATCGAATATATCATTTTGTCCATCGCAACGACCAGAAAAAGGCTCTTGCATACGCTGACGGAGCATGCTCAGACAATGGACAGCAGAGCCCACAGGCAGCCTGGGCAGCGGTTCTTCGCCCACCCATTGGTGACAATATCCATCCATGCATTGTATCAGGTCGACTAGAGCTCAAGGGTCCTTTTGGGGACGAGAGTGTGGCAACTAGCAATCGGGCTGAGCTTCGTGCAGCGATAGCCGTCTTGCGTCGCAATGACTGGCGAGCCGATGGGTTCACCAGTGTTGTCATCGCAACCGATTCATCTTATCTTGTCGATGGTGCCACTGAGTGGGTGAGAAACTGGGTTCGCAATGGTTGGAAGACGCGAGCTGGCGGTTCCGTCAAGAATCAAGACCTGTGGGAACTTTTCCTCGGTGAAGTAGAGAAGTGTAGAGAGACAGGCCTGGAAGTTGAACTTTGGAAGATCCCTAGAGAGATGAATGAGGTTGCCGACACCGTGGCGAAAGAAACAATCCACAAAGGGGCAGCCCCAACCGACTTCGAGAACATGCGACTTGGCTCTTCGGCGGTTAGTGCCAGAACTCCAGGAGAGCCTCGTGTCCTTTGCCTATGCTTAGAGTATGAGAGCATGTTCAACGACATATATGCAAGTCTCATCTCAAGGATCACTGCCAAGGCCAAAATAGACCGAGCCACGACTCAAAAGGCCGCCTTGGACATGCTCACTCAGAACCCTCCGCCATCGATAATCTTTGTCACTGATGCAGGTGTTGTGAACCTCATGAAAGTTTGGGAGCGCATCATTGACTGTCTTCGCGGAGGATCGACGGTGGTACTTGCAGCGTGCTTCAGTTCATTCGTAAATGCGGGTCAATTCAATCGTTGCTTTGGCAAGATTGGTCTACCCTGGAAAAGAGGGGATTACTATCGAACAAATGTCAGTCTGCGTCCCAGAGCTGTCGATGATCGCCTGAAGGAACAGCTCCTTCCCGCCTATAGCCAAAAGGCCCTTTATGTTAAGGGGGTGGCTAGATCGGATGTGTGGTACGCTGGTGAGAAAGATGAGGTGGCTGTGGCTTTTACGAAAGTTGGGAACGGCATGCTCGGTTATGTAGGAGATGTGAACGGTGAAGATGGCTCTGAAGCAGTGGTCCTCGCTATGCTTGGGCTGTTGAACTGAATGAGAACGGACTGATGTGAAGAAACTTGACAGATAGGGTAGTTGGTGCAGCCCCCCAAACGATTGCTACCTATTGCATGTACAGTATTCTAGTGGCCAATCCTCATCACCACCTCCTTGCTTGTTCGAGCCTTAGGAATTCCTGATGCTTTTAATGCCAAATCTAATGAACAGTCCGTGAGTTGCGACCCGTATCGAATGGCGGCGATGAAGGGAGTCTGCCATAAAGACATGTGCATGCTTAATTATCCAATCGCATATACAGTACTTGTTGCAAGTTATTGTCGGTATAATTAATTCCACCTTCTTGCGATTCAAGTTCCATTCATCTTTAATCGATTCCTCCCACCATATCTAACACCAGTCTCTCGATCACCACTACCACATTAAACCACTCGTTAGCGAGGAAAATAAGCTTAAATCGACCTCACTGAAACCCATCTATCCACCATCCATTTACGAACTTACCTGCCTAAACAAACATCGTGAACCAAGCCACACGCATCCACGGATACCATCCAACCTAATACATACCTAGTGTAGGCATCAAGTACCGTACACGCGCACCGCCCACCCCCACTTGCCCAGCCCGTCTCAACGGAGACCTCAACAGAAACAGGGTGATAAAATATACGAGGTTGAAAATCCCCTATTACCCTCCAAGAGAAAAGAATAAATAAAGACGAGAATACATAGTGATGACCCTAGGTTGCCCAGACTGCCAGACTGCTAGAGAAATCTCACTTACACCGATCATTTGCGCAAAATGTGGATTGGCATCTGCCTAGACCTCTTGGGAGTCGTATTATGCTATGGCTTCGCACCGTACCCATGTCACCCACATAGCCTATTCGTCGTATTACAATGGCGATCCCAGTGGCTGGCGCTTACATACTGCCCGAGCTCTGCGAGGTGGGTTCTATGGGTCTCGTCGAAGGAGCGTCGGTGAAAGAAATCGCATTTTAAAAAGATACGAGCCTAACGGGTTTGAGCGGACAATTACAATTTATTCACTGATAATTACCCTACCACTGGTATAAACAATTAAAAGTATAATACGCGTTCATAAATCGTCATCGGCATTGAATACTACATACAATGCGAATACGAGTTGGATTCGTTCCATCTCAGACCCGACAAGTCGGTTCATCTGATTCCAATCTCCATCGGACGACGTGACTCAAGCCCGAGCTGACTGCCTCCGTGACCTATTGCAAGAAGATCATTGTCATGTAAAAAGAAAAGAAGTGACTAAGTACAAGAAGTGAAAATGAATTGGGTTGTTGAAAAGGGGGGGTCAGACTCTGATGACTTGTTGCAACGAGTTGAAATACTCTTTACTGCACGAAGTAAAGACGATGTCCTACTCAAGGAAAAATGATCGGTCTGACCAAAAATTGAAATGGCTCGGAGCCCGCGAACGAAACGAAGAGAAGTTTTGAAAATGCAGGACCACCGTTTTCCCGTCCCCAATCACGCCGGATTTCCGTCTGTCATCGACAATCGTACTGCAAATGCTGATGCGGGCGCATGAGGTACCTAGAGAATGTTGACACAACACTAGGTCAAATACAAGCGCAACATTGTTTTGGTAAAAAAGTTTGTGTACAGATTTATACACTACACGAATCGAAGTATTTTGTTGGTAAGAGGCAATAGTTTCGCCGATATGGCGCAGATACACGCGCGGTCTTGTCCCAAAGAGTCGACTTAGACTGACTCGATCAACTTGCCCAGCGGCGAGAGTACGTCGGCAGCATAGCTTCCACCAACATTGCCTAAATTGAAATTAGCGTATGAATATTATGGATGGTAAGAGGACGTATCATACCAGCAGGAGAATAGTTGCACACGGTGAACCAGGCGTCCATCTCGTCGTACAAGGTACCCTTCTCGCAGAATTGGGCAGCGCAGCCGATCTCGGTAGAGTCCTTCCATAGAAGCTGAGTAAAGTGACCCCATCCCTCGAAGTCATCCATGGGGGGGTCGGCAAGGCCGTAGTACTGAGGCAGGAACTTGGCAAACTCTCCATTGTACCACATGTCAGTAATGGCCATCTTGACGGCACCGACATCACCAAGTTGCTCAGCGTTCACACTTTGCGCCCAGTTGGCCAAGTTCTGGCCGTAACCTCCGTTGCCCTGGTGCCTAGATAAATGTCAGTACTAGTTGCGCTCACAGCATATTGAGTCACGTACATGTCGTGCGCAAATTTACAGGTGGCGGCGGTGTTGCTGGCATAACCGGCAAGCTCGGTACTCCATCCAACTTCAGGAGAGGAGTGGTTGGAGCGGTGGATGTTGTGGTGCTCAATAGCCACAGAAACGAAGTCGTTTCCTCCGGCGGCAGCTGATGAAGTCGTAGCAGCTTGCGAAGAGGTAGGGGCCTGGTAGACAGGTAGTGCAGTCGTCTGGGGCACAGCCGAAGGTGTCTCGGTAACAACGACCACAGAGGGCTGTAGTGAGGTGGGCGCGGGCGCGGGCACCTCAGGGGTCATGGTAGCGACTGGCAACGTGGGAGTGGAGCTCGTTGTTGCGGGCTCCTTCGCACCACCTCCCCAGAATAGGGTGGGCTTGGAGGTCTCGCCTTCCGTAACAGTAACGGTGTCGTAGTCCATGATCCAAGTAGTCTCCATCTTGCGCTTCTCCAAGGGGCTAGCCATGGCCAGCGATGCGGCGCCGGCGGCGACGATGATTGAGTATCGCATTTTGATCGGAATGGTCCTAGTCAAACCTGAAGTCATAAAACGTGAGTATATAGAATATCACCCGAAGGTAAAGAGTGGATTTGAATATAATTATAAAATGAGTGTAGTTGTGATCAAAGTCTGTTAACTGATCAAGCAAGCTTGAAGGGTGATACAAGGGCTTAAGGTGAGAAAAAAGAGACCAAGGACGAGGAACATTGCATGATATCAAGCTGGTTTTAATTTCATCTTGTTCATTGGCCTGTGTGTTTGCCGGGATGACAAGACACCCAGAGTCTCCGTCTGCTTTATTCAAGCAGACTGCTTTGTCGATGCTTGAATATGAACAATATGTGCCTTAAAGTGGGAACAAAGCTTTGCCGTGTACTGAACTTGGAAAACCCAGCAGGCGTACGCAAGATCTCGGCTCTAGAATGTGGAGATAGACAATGAAGTGAAAGCAACATACCTTTTTATATTCGTAATCTCCAGATCTCGAGTTTGGGTCGATTGGTGAAGCTGAATGGCCGACTGTGCAGATCCTGCTGGGAATTTATAGTACTCGAGCGACGGTATACCGGAATCGACGATAGTCAAGATCAAGTTGACGTATGGTTAGACAATAAGCACAAGCTTGTTTGACTGGCGAGTTCCAGGTTGGACGGGTTCGTATGTTGCGGTGGGAGGGTGAGTGCTTCCGTGAGCTGATCGGTCAACAACGACAGGACGGCTGGCGTCCCAGGTAAAGAATGACTGTGAAGAAAAATGAACGAGTGAACCGGTTACTGGATCATAAACCGGCTATTTGGATTTTGGGGAGACAGCGGTCAGTACTTGTCAGGTCGTTGAATCAGGTCGCGACGTCTACGACGAAGCACGAGAGGATTGGCTGGTTATTTTAAGGAATGAAAAGTGCGCCGAGGCGGACAACAAAGAGTGTAAGTGGTTGGTCGGTATCTGGGTCTCACGAACGTATTGTTAAATTCGGAGTTCAGGGCCAAACCTGTTGAGGGAAAAAGAAGAAGAAATGAAAGTAGTGAATGGGGTGGGAGAAATATAGGGAGTGAAGTATGAAAGGAATGAATGAGAGTGGATGGCACTTGACCTGGAGACGAATTGCAATGGCAGAAATTGCGGCGTATGAGGTCAGTGGAAAGGTGGAAAGGGCAAGATGAAAGGGTCCGATGTTTGCAAGGTACCAGGTACCGTTTAATTCGAAAGGTGGGACAATGAGGGTACGTACCGAAATAAACTTGGTTCACCTGGCAAGCGCAAGGCAAGTGTCAGGTACCCCAAGAATCTAAGTGGCTAGACCGCTGCCGCACTAGGCTGGGTACCTAGGTAGGATGCAAATTGTCGATCCTAGCGTCATTTCAAACTAATGTTTCCCGGTGCTTTCTTCGAAAAGGGGGTGTTGCTATAATCCTCAGAAAGCCTACCTACCCTAAGTACGACAGATTCAATGCATTTTGACGAGTAGAGATACTTAATATCCTAAATGAAATAGCATCGCATCACGTCTTAGGTAGCCGGTTTATTAATTTATGATACGTGCGATACCGACCACGTGGAACTACTACACATGAGGTTTTAATATATGTAGGTGTTGCAGGAATTCAACCCCCCACCTTGGAACCTTGAATGACTAAGTAAAATATATTAAGTCTTTTAAGCAGTATGTTGAGTATGAGATATAGTAATGGTGATTTTAGTCAGCTCGGTGACATGGAATATGGTTTCAACTTCCAACCTGTTCGATTCCTAACGAAATACAATATCTTCGAAACAAGTTTACAGTGAACGTGGAGTCAAATAATTGAAGCGTCTAAGAATTACATACATACCTATTGTACATACGTACATACAATACACACATACCACACACATACATATATCTACATATTACATACCCGGGCAATTGCCTACATAATTCAAATCGAGGTTGGGCCTACCGAGCCAACCGACAATAGGCTTCCTTAGTGATGTTACATAGACGCTGAACTTAGAGTCTATCGAGAAGCCGGGGTTCCTGATCAACAAAACCCAATTTTGCATTGTTTAATGGAAAGCGGCCTGGCCACCTATCAGAGCGGCTTTTGAAAGTGATGTGCAAACGCTACGCTGTTGTTAGTAGGTCGCATATGCGGTTGTGTGGGGTTTCCGACCCAATACGGGATACTGTACCAACACGTCATGTAATACCTTCCTCACCTTAGCTAGATTTTCGATGATCTAATTTATTATATTTCCGTTTTCTCTTTGTTCATGGCGTACTATCCGATGATGTTCAATGCTTAATTTGTTTCTATTTTATTCTTTCGTATCTTTCTACAGCTTAAATATTCCCTTCACCAACCGTGCATGTCCTTTGTCGAAGTGCCTTATCTCAGTAAGGAGACCATGGATACCGCGTGTTCTCCCTACTAGTTGGCTATTTCTTTGGACTCTAAGATCAGACGAAACCCCTGGTTTGTTTCCAACCCCTGTAGTAAATCTGGTGCCTTGCAGATTCTCTTCCCGCCTGCCCGCTGAGAAAGCAAGCGCGGGGCAAAGAAAAAAGGAAAATGACCCGGAAGGGTAACCGGGGAAGAGTTTGATTGGCTGAAAACTATTCTCCACTTATTCCGCTAACCCCTCCCCCGAATATATTCACTCCCCCGAAGCCCCTGAGCGATTTCAACAACGAGAATCCTGGGGTCAGCCCGATCTCATTTGTCCAGTCAATGCTCTTTCTTCCGCCAAAGCGCCTAGAGTTCTTGGAATAATTCGATCTCAATACATGGATGATCCAGAAAAAAAACATCAGACGAACTTGTTTTATTACTTATGTAATCTCCGCCGGTTCAAGTTGCATAGTTTGTTTTCGCACGTGCTTATGCGTTTCCGGTTATGTCAACGAATCTGCAAATCTACAAATCTACTCACGAATCTGAATCCGCACTTAAAAAAATCTGCATCTTCGTTACCAAGTAATTAATCGTTACGATGTTTGCCGCTGCTGACTCGCATTAGTATCACCTTAATCTCGAATATCTTGCCCATCAACCCATCGACTAGTGGAGTTCTCTGTGATAGACGGACTGATCAACTAGACAAACATGCAAGAATTCTCATTGGTCTTGTAGCCCACATGTTTATTTTCGGGGAACATGAATCATGAAGGAGAACTAAGTGACCGCCCTGTGCGCTGCTAGCCGGTGGGTACGGGCGGCTTACTTACAGCACCGAGTCTACAAGCTTACAGGTCTACAGGCTACAGCTGAATAAACGTGAAACGTTTGGGCCGCCGCCACGCTGACCAACAGCTTTACTTCAGTATTTCTTGTACGTCTAAACGAGCAAGATGATCTATCAACATTGTCCTTCGAGGGACGAGGGACGGGAGGCGCTTGATGAATCGCAATATCGAAATTTGTTACCAACTCCGCACGTTGGGCGCCCAGCACCATGGATAAGTTACCCACCCGGCAGCACCCGTGGCCGTGAACAGTAAAAAAAGCCTCCCGCACCATACCGAGAATTGGGCCACCTGTCAACACGTGAAAGAGATGAAAATATATTAACTCCATTAATTTCCAAAGTAGGACTTATTTGAAATTTGTCATGTGTAACCAGTTTTTGCCTTCTCATGTTCCACGGAATCTGTGATCGTGCGAATATAGACAAAACATCATGTTTGCGTACGGCCTCAAGTGGACGATGGAGTTTGTGTGTTAGGTCCATCTCCAATCCTCGAGGTCTGCCATCCTTCCGTGATTGTGACAGGGTGCCCAAGTCACGAGTATCTCCATATCTACCTAGCCTAAGCTGAGTCGTATAGTCTGAATATACAATACCTAGCGAAGGATCTTCACGTACTTTGGGAACCAGTCCACCATTCTGAGAATTCATGATTCATTCTTCCGCCTTGTCCTTGCGAAAAATAAGTTATCGTCAGGGGTTGATCTCTTACGTCCTGCACTCCTTCGGTCGAAGCAAACCGAGTCAGGGGCGTTGAAATTCAACAAAAAGGAAGGGAAGAAGATTGACCATCTAAAGTAATAGCTCTATTCTACCGATGCCTGCTAAGTACGTATTTGGTAACCAATGTTAGCAAAGTCTCATTACTCACAATTCTTCCAGTGCTATGTTTAACATGTCGTTGGGAGAGTTAACTATCTCATCAATTTCGAAGTCTTCCATGAGAGCGTCACGAGTCCCTTGAGTCAATTGAGTCCCAATTTCACTATAGCATAATCACAACATGCAGTTAATTATTCAAAAGTCTCTTCTTGGGCCGGCACTCGGCCGCTACTTTCCTCCAGCATATGATCAAGTGCTGTCGGATATGTACCTATCCGCCGGCATATCTACGACAGGAGTAACCATCCGGCCTCTGTGCTTCCGACTCATATAAGGTAAATTACCAAAAGCCCTTTGCTTGCAGGCACTTGGGTAACATCTTCTATAACCCCAATACTAAACCTCAAATATGGACCAGTCGTGGCGATCCAGCATCTTACGGTCGTCAAGTGTTTCCCTATCACACGCTAGCTAGGTAGGTATATTTGAGGCTTCAAGCGAGGAAGCGCTACGTTTCGAAGCCAAACAGCCACTTACGTAAGTCGGATCAACCCTCTAAAGTCAGTATGGCGCCTCAATGTCTTAGACCGGCTGTCCCTCAACGCTACAGCGGCTGGCACCCCTAAATCCCGATTCTAAGACCACCTAGGCGTTCCAGAGAGGGCAAAGGTGAGATATATCGGGTTTCAAGGTGACACTGTCTCGGTGAACACATGCGCTACCTTTGTGTTCGCGCGAAAGCTGTCCCCACCACCGCCACCAACTGGCTTTTTGACGTCAAGATTCGATGCTGTTTTTGCCTAAGGGTCATCATCATTAGGAATCTTACCCAACCCTGAAAGTCGTAAGGTGACAGGGTGGCTGTGATCCCCAACCCTTCTAAGCTTGCACATAGTGTCTCTCCGCTCTTCAGGACTGAGGTGTAAGAAAATCTTCATCTCTCTATTAGACGTACAAGCATGATATTCCGCTGAGTCGTCAGTTTGGCGAAAGATCATATGGTTGCAATATAATATCAGCAGATGTTTGGTTCACCGTGTTCGCCGTCACTCATCGGACGTCCTCTCAGCATTCTTCCGACGAGTTGGATACATCCATATAATAGACTCCGTGCGACTCGAGTAATCTACACTCATTCACGTTACTATCCGCCAACTAGGTACCTAAGAAACATTCTTTTGACAATGGTGGGGGATATCTGTCTTCAATGTTATACAATGTCACAGCGAATAGATTTCAGTCGCTGCTACCGGAGACATGCCGCTCTTCGTTTAAGATCACTTCCATTTCTGGGGAAAGGAATAGACTTGATAGATTGTGTAACTTGCGAACCGTTGGCACATTCAGACATTCTAGACTGCTTACCTAGGTAACGCAACTCACCTCTCACTGTGACAGGTGGAATCGAGAAAAAGACTAGCCCTAGCAAGTCGTGTAAGGGTCGACGAATTCATTACATAGATGATCTAACGTCACTCCCAAGATTACCACAACGGTGACAGACAAGATAATCCGCGGCTCCCATCTGTGAGTCGACCATCTAAGCGTCGGGAGTGTCTAAGCTACGGCGCATTAGGTGCTTCTAGAAGCCGCAACCGTACGCCCGCAGTCTCCGTGTCTTCCAACATCCGGGGCCTTTTTTCGTTACAGAACCAAGACACATCCCACCTCCTGCCGCGATATTCCATGCTATGACGCGGGGTGTGCTCGCCCTTGTGCGCTTTAGTCACCTCTTAGGCATCCAAAGATCTATCTCCTTTGCTCAACCCGACCACTCCCAAGCTGCAAGTATCCAGCCCCAGACTTTGACAACTTTGCTGATCAACAAATTTACAAGACCTTACAGATGGAGAAATTTCTGGCTGTGTCGCCCTACCCCGCAAGAAACGCAAGTCCGCGCAGGTAAGAATCCGTGTGCCGTCAAAAAAGGAGAGGGGACGCGTTTGTGTGTGTGGCTGCTTGATCGGCCACATACGTCCGCGGTTGCGCCGCGCCGTACCGCGCCCTCTTTTCTCCCCCTCTCCCCAAGAATCCTCACCCTTCCTACCCGTCGCAAGATCTGCGCAGTTACTCCAGATTAGATTAACTTGTGCGCGGGCGGGATAAGCAGGCCAACGAACGGTCGACAGCCCGCTCGGCACGAAACCCTTCATGTTGGGCGAACGGTTTTTGCGGAAGACTGCTTCCTTCCCACTAGCGGGGGACGGATGATGGGCGGGAGAAGGGGGGAAGATCATATGGAACGCGGCTTGGGTTTGTGTGCGCCTCCTCCTGGCCGCGGTCGGGGAGTTTCTAAGCGAGGACTGTCAGAAACGGCTCTATATTACGCATGCCTCGAGTGTGTCTGTTACATCTACCAAAGTCCGGCCCTTTTTAAGTTGAAAAATATCTAATAAAACCATTTCTGAAAAGGCCACGCGCAGACACAAAGATAAAACCAATCAACCACATGCTCGTACCTGGGTAGATAACTGAGTCCATCGAGATTCGAGCAATGGTAAACGTGCAGTCCACGCAAGCTCGTCTGTGAATGGCATCGAGACGTGTGGCAACGACCCTGTAGATCGGTCGAGGCATGTCTAAGGAGGTGACGTAGTGGAAGCAACGGTTTTTCTTCCTTTCGCCGTTGATGTAACTTGTCACAACAGCACATGTCGTAAGCCCTATGATCCCATGAATCGGCGCTCTGACCCGATTATGTTGCCACCGCGTTGACATATGTGGTGTTATCCAAATTTCAACTTGATATGGACCTGGAAACAGATCAGTGGCCCTTTTCTCAGTTTCCTGCCGATTCTTCGTGGTGTGGACTCCTGAGCGTCGGCATCGCCAAAGGGCCAGTGACGGATATCCGGGACATCATTTCCATCATCCAGAGCAACCTTGACCTATCCATAGTCCATGTTTTAGAATATCTATGTTAGTCCTCCCAAGAACAGTAAAACTTCCTAAGTAATTAAGCAGATAAAAAAGAGAACGAATGACAGCGCTTAGCTAGTTTTGTTACTACAATTATATGCTAAAATATTTGTTGAGTCGAAGTCGTTTGATACTTTAGTGATTTCAACATGGTAAAGTGAACACGAGAGCAAGGTTAAGCGACTCTGCTTTTCAGTATCTCTTTAGTCAGTGGAATTCCATTGTGGGTATAGTGATCATGGACACATTGGTACCGATGATAACTAAAGTAAGGTCTTTTGTAATGAACATTACGTTGACCTAACTTCATTTCTTATTTACATAAGTTATCTTAACGCCTCTAATTGATGGCCAAACCAAGATCCCCTCATGCTGCTGGCGCATCGGCCTGGGCGGCTTGTGCTGAGGGCGGATCGATGGCCTTTCCGAACGGCTTTTGGCCGCGGTCTCTTAGAATAGGGTAGTGGGCGTAGATCTGAGTTGTCCGGAGATGGACGGGGACCTGGTCCTTGGGGGCACCGGGGATGGTCTTTTCCAGTTTCTATTCGACTAAATTAGCTAAACGGATTTTTCCAGAATTTGGCAAATCGGGGACATACTAGGTTGGTATATACGCAGCTATTGAGCTTCCACTCTTGCTTCCGGCACTGCCATAGCTGGTGGTTGTTGTCGTCCAGGCACTGCCAGTGCTTGCGGAACTCGTCTAGGCAGTGAGTGTTGATATCGCTAATCACGCTGGAGGCACATCGGGTTACTCTGCGACCCTCCTTTAAACACTCGAACTCACCCCTGCCGGGGTTCTCGTTCTTGCATTGCATGAAGTCATCGTTGTAGGGTTGACATCGGGCGCCGATGAAGAACGCAGCGGAGAGAAGAGGCGCAGATGTGGCGCCGACCTCCTTGACCTTAGGAATGTTGTCCGGGAGGGGAGTGGTATCGTAGAGAGCCGTCTGGTTGAAGCTATAAAGGTGAATTAGCAACGGCATTCACAGTTACCGGAATTAACTCAAGAGAAAGGTGTCGCTGCAGGCCAATTGGCATCCTGCGAATTGTATAGATGATTTATGTAACATACACTGGTTGCCTAGCCGCCATGGCTGCGATATTCAACGAGGATCTCTGCGATGTGTCGTTTGTAGCCTGAGCAAGCTCGGAAGACTGGAAATGGTGCAGTTCAAGGACGAGCAAAGTGACATCAAAGGTTCGTGGTTACCAAATTGGAAATGCTGATTGGCTTTAGCCACATGGGGCTGAGATAGACTATCGGGTCCCGCACGATTTAGGTACCCTGGTACCTAGGTACTTCAATACGCTACCTACAGTTAAGGCCACACCTTTAAGTACCTAGATACGAAGTACTTAGATAAGGTAGCTTTCAGCCACAGCTTTGAGGCTGAAGCTAATTGGGATCAGAAGCTAGGATTTGTTTTCGTGATGGAATTTCTAAAGTGCTAGGGCAACGCGAGTAAATATCACGACTTCACGAAGTTATCAATTACAGCGCTCAGATTTCATAAAGGAAGTTCTTGCTTTATCACGTTGACTCACTCAACAAATATCAATTTGCCCCGCATTCACACTCGAAATAGGTCTTTTGAACACCACCATGAGCTAAGACCCGAAACATTCTTCCACTCCACCACCATCATTTTCCACGCGGTTTCCTATCCGCGCGATCCCTTTCGACACAAGGCTATCGCCTATTCCTCTCGCTCAATTGAACCGCACCACCTCCAATTCATCATCATTCATTTGATGTACTGAGCTTCAGTTCTGCAATAACCATGTCTCTCTTTGGGCAGCGCCCTTCGGGCTTTGGTACCGCTACGAATACTCTTGGTCAGAACCAGGCCCCCGGCACATCTTCCCTCTTCGGCCAGCCTCAAAGTCAACAACAGCAACAGCCTCAGAACCAACAACAATCCAATCTATTCGGTGGGAGTTTATTAGGTGGAAACACGCTTGGCCAGCAACAACAGCAACAACAACAGCCGTCTAATGCCTTTGGTGGTGGAAGCTTGTTGGGTCAACCGCAGGCCCAGCAACAGCAGCAGCAACCTGGAGGTGCTGGCTTCATGAATGCGAGCCAAGGACCAGCACAGCGTTCCAGCTTGATCTGGGAACCAGGTCGAGAGTCATTAAGTATGTAAATCAACCATCATATCACCGCGATTCCCGCATAGGCAATAAGCTAACTGTTGTAATCGTAGTCCACAAACCTGTCACTGAGCAGATCGAAGGGATGCTTGCAAAATGGCATCCTGATAACCCTAACACCGTTTTCAAGTACTATTTCTACAACAAGGTCGATCAAGCGCGCGTTCCCTTTTATCAGCCCTCTGCGTCAGAAGATCCCCGAGAATGGGAACAAGCTGTCCACGACAAACCAGGTCCTGGTTACATGCCCGCCCTTGCCACTGGCTTCAAGGCAGTCAGTGAGCGCCTCGTCATGCAGAAACAAGCGCTAGGGAACTATAGGCAGGCCCTACACGCCATCAACTCCAGTCTAGACGCGATTCTCTCGCAACACGATCTACAGACAAGCGTGCGGACCCTCAATGCCCGACGGAAACACGCGATGCTACGGCAAAGATGTCTCGCGCTGGCAACGAAGGTGCAGGTCCTGCGCAACCGTGGATATTCTCTGGATAAGGAGGAAGATGAGCTGAAGACTAAGTTGGAGACTCTCGACCGAGGCGTGACAGACCCGGCCCTTAGCGCACGAACGGAAGAGCTGTGGAGCCGCCTGATAATGCTACGAGGATATGCGGATAGCCTCCAGCAAGAAGTCAACCAACGTGGCGCGGAAACCCAGGAAGGTATCGGAGAGGAGAATGAGGCACAAGCTAGAGAGGTAAGTTTAGTTCTCACACATCCCAACGACCACACATAATAAGGCTGACATGAATTCTTTAGATCCTGGACAAGTTTGATAAGCAGTTGCAGTCGCTCAAGACTGCGCTGGAACAGATTAAAAAGGACTACGACGACTGGACCGAGGCAAACCCGCCCCCGAAGAAATAGGACACTCGGAGGAAGAGGAGGTATGTGGGAACGGACCTTTGTACCGACGCCATGTGAAAACGATGGAGTCCATTAATGCGAGTGGGCATTCGGCTACAGGAACCTTGGAAGTTTGGGTGATCTGTACCAATAGGAATTGGCCGTAGGAAACCGCATGGAAGCCCGGCGTTAGGGGACGTCTACTTCTGGTATAAAAGGATGGCATACTGGGTTATCTTTTCCGAGTACCCTTCGATCTTGTGACCGTGACTACTTTCAAGGTATGCACTTCTCAACTCGTCGAGTTTGAGGGAACTGGTTTCTTCATGAGCAGTTGAGATCCGATTCGGGCTCCTTGAATTACGTAGAGTACCTAGGTAGGCGACGATTACCGACTCCCCCTCCGTCCGTCTATGTATCGTGTTATACAATCGTAATACCGTAATGCGGCACGTCTCATGCGCCAACCTTAAATGCTACAACCGGCCACCTTTTTAGGCGGCATGTTGGTTGTTTCCATGAAAAAGGGTATTCGTACGTATCGTAACAAGTATGTCCACCCGCCCCTATAGTCTATCGTATCTAAAGAGCCGTCATTATTCCAGTATTGTACAAGGGTCGTGCGCCCGCGGATTTAGAATATGCTCGATACGGCATCGACGGCGAAGGGGACTGGATAGGATGTGTTGTTAGTACCTAGTCCGCGTTTGCAATGGAGATACTGGAACACCATGTGCGACTTGGTATAGGAATAGGAATAACATACCAAAGTAGAGTACGACGGCGGCAGCGAGGAAGCTTTGGACGGTGCCGGTGGCTTCAGCCTCGTGTTGCTCGATCTCCTCCTGGGTGAACTGGGGCGGTGCGACTGTAGTTTCTTTTGTTAGACGTCATAGATAGCGGCTTTTTTAGTCAGATGTCGTATTCACTTACATCCTCCAAACATCTTGTCTTTATTTGTTCTCGTCTGTATGGGGTATGGTTGTTATTGTTATACGAACGGTGTTGTAGTGGTTGTCGGTTTAGATTGTTTGGATTTGGTCATGTGAATTACCATGTAGCGAAATAGCGATATGAATTTTGATGTCACTTAAATTTTTATTTTTTTCTGTTGGCAACGACTGACAGGCAGCTGAAAGTAGCTCCTCCACGTGCATGCACGTCCCCTCGCCCCCCATTTTGAGCCGCTCAATAGAGGTTACAATTAGGTACAAAATAAACCTGTAAGGTTGTAGAGTGGCGCTAACACAAAGCAGGAACAGTGCTAGAGGTTGTGTTACCCGTATTACCTAAACATGCAGCAGACATCGTGCCATTTCCCAACCCAAACAAGCACTTAGCCAGCACTTGCAGAAATTTGCTTATCCTCCATCAACGATCTTTCCATCTTTCTAATTGGCAATTTATAATAGAAGCACACCGTTTAGGTGGGTCCCCGCCACTACTTTGGTACGGATTGTCTCGACTGCCGCCAACTCGAAAGATTAGAAAAGTCCGAAGCGAACGCTATCGGCGCTGCCTCTTACCCGGAAAACCCCGGCAACTTTCAAGGTTTCGTTATCTTTGCTAATCGGTACCGTTTGGTGCTAGATTTCCAAGCCCCGATGACGGTCTTTTCGATTTAGCGTGGAATTGATAAATAAAACAACTTTGCAACAATCTCATTCACAGCTCTAGGTGACATAAGAGTTCCCTAAGCAGCATGCCTGCATGAGCTTAACCTCCAGTTTCCACCTTTAAGCTCCTTGAATTTTTGCTCCTACCGTGGTTGTGGATTGGGAAGTGAGGTCTCGATATTGACGATGGCTTCCTTCGCAAGGGCCCTACCTCGCCGTATAGGCCAATCAGCAGCTCTTATACGAGCTTCATCTTCTTTGAGCTCTCGGCTACGACCCTTGGCTCCTTTGGCATGTAATCGCTGTGTGTATAAGGCCGTAACCGCAGTCACACAGAGAAGGTTATTCTCGACCGACGAAGCAGCTGAGGAGCCAAAATCTAATGATCCATTGGACGCATTATATCCATTGGACACTTTCCCCCGCCGCCACATCGGCCCTGATGAGGCCGATACAGTCGAAATGCTGAAGGCCCTATCTCCTCCTGCTGAGAACTTGAATGACTTCATTGGACAAGTCATCCCACCTGATATATTCTCTCAGAAGCGAATCCAGTTCCCCGCCAAAGCTGAATCTTACTTGAAAAATCTGCTCAAGGGGCACCAGAATGATATCGTCATAAAGAAGAGCTTTATCGGTCAAGGATACTATGGAACTCATACTCCGACCGTCATCCTGCGGAATGTTCTTGAGAACCCAGCCTGGTATACGAGCTACACCCCCTACCAGCCGGAAATCAGCCAGGGTCGATTAGAATCGTTGCTTAACTTTCAGACCATGGTCACCGACCTTACGTCCCTCCCCATTGCTAATGCTAGCCTTCTGGACGAAGGTACAGCTGCCGCAGAAGCTATGACCCTTTCTATGAATGCACTGTCGACTTCAAACGCTGAGAGACAAAGAAAGACTTTTGTCGTCTCTAAATCACTCCACCCGCAGACTATCTCCGTCCTGCGTGGACGTGCTGATGGCTTTGGTATTCAACTTCTGGAAGTAGATCTATCGACGGATGCAAGTCGTGCCAAGCTCGAGGAGCTTGGTGAAGACTTGCTTGGTGTTATGGTCCAGTATCCCGATACTTATGGCCAGGTCGACAATTTCGAGCCCCTAGCCGATTTGGTGCATAAACAGGGTGGTCTTCTCAGTGTTGCCACGGATCTTTTAGCTCTAACTATGCTCAAGCCTCCTGGGGAATGGGGAGCGGACATTGCATTTGGAAGCGCCCAAAGATTCGGCGTACCGATGGGGTACGGAGGCCCACATGCTGCCTTCTTTGCCGTCAAGGAGAAGTACAAGAGAAAGATGCCTGGTCGACTAGTTGGACTTTCTAAGGATCGATTAGGTGATAAGGCGTACCGACTAGCTCTACAAACCCGAGAACAACATATTCGAAGAGAGAAAGCGACTAGTAATGTGTGTACATCCCAGGCATTGTTGGCTAATATGAGCGCTTTCTATGCAATTTACCATGGCCCCGAAGGACTGAAGGCAATTGCTGAACAAGTCATTCTTGGGACAAAGATTGTTAAGGCCATCGCTGAAGTGAATGGTTTTGTTGTCGAGGAAAGCAGAAATGGCATTCTATTCGACACGGTCACCATTGACGCTGGAGATGAAAAGAGACGGGAGACCCTATTGGGGCGGGCCTATAGGTACGGGTTGGAGTTTCGCGCAATCGGCTCTCAGCGAATTGGTATCTCAGTCGACGAGACAACAGGTTTTGGGGACTTTGTTAATCTCTTCCAAGCGATTCAGGACACTTCCCCAAGATATTCTTTCAACGCTTTAAAGGAGATCGTGAAGGGGCTGCTAAAAAGCCATGCTGGTTCGTTAGATATTCCCGAAGCTTTCCGACGAACCTCTAGCTTCCTAACACATCCCGTCTTCAACACACACCATTCCGAAACAGAACTGCTACGATACATTTACCATTTGCAGTCTAAGGATCTATCCCTCGTTCACTCCATGATCCCACTTGGTTCATGCACCATGAAACTCAATGGGACCACGGAAATGTCGCTCATTACTGTACCTAAATTCAGCCAACTACACCCTTATACCGCGCATCAGTTCGCTATAGGTATTAAAACAATCCTACAATCGTTGGTGTTTCAACTGCGCATGCTCACTGGAATGGACGCTGTCTCTCTTCAACCCAACTCTGGAGCCCAAGGTGAATTCGCTGGTCTACGTGTCATTAGGGAGTTCCATAAACAGAATGGCGATGAATCAAAGAAACGAGATATATGTCTCATTCCTGTTTCTGCCCATGGTACAAACCCTGCATCTGCGGCAATGGCCGGCATGCGAGTAGTGCCGATCAAATGCGATACAGTTACCGGCAACCTCGACTTGGAAGATCTAGAGGCAAAGTGTAAGAAGCATCAAGATGAGCTCGGAGCTATCATGGTTACTTACCCTAGCACGTTTGGTGTATTCGAGCCTGAGATCAAAAAAGTATGCCAGATCGTTCATGATCACGGCGGATTAGTCTACATGGACGGCGCAAACATGAATGCGCAAATTGGACTTTGTTCCCCTGGAGAGATCGGAGCTGATGTTTGTCATCTAAATCTCCACAAGACTTTCTGCATCCCCCACGGTGGAGGTGGACCCGGTGTAGGTCCTATTTGTGTCAAGAGGCATCTTAGACGTTTCCTACCCGGTAATCCAATATCCCAGGAAACGAAGGCCACAGCAGCTACCAACGCAGTGAGCAGTGCAGAATTTGGTAGCGCCAGTATCAGCCTCATCAGTTGGGCGTATAACAGCCTCATGGGTAAGTTTTTCTACGAACCGTTCATTTTTATTCGTTTATTCCGCCCTATTATCAGGAAAGGAAGGATCAGTTAACTTTCTTTATAGGATCGGAGGGTCTCATTCGTGCTACCAAGATCACCCTTCTCAATGCTAACTACATGCTCTCCCGCCTCAAGGATCACTATGAGATTCTGTATGTGAATGAGCACGGGCGTTGTGCGCATGAATTTATTCTTGACGCTCGTCCTTTCCATAAGACCGCCGGTATAGAGGCTATCGACATTGCCAAGCGTCTACAGGACTACGGATTCCACGCACCAACAATGAGCTGGCCTGTCGCTAACACGTTGATGATTGAACCGACAGAGAGTGAGAGCAAGGAGGAACTCGACCGTTATATCGACGCTCTCATTAGCATCCGTGGGGAGATTCGCGAGATCGAAGAAGGCAAGGTCCCACGTGAGGGTAATGTCCTCAAGATGTCGCCGCACACGATGCAAGACCTAGTCGCGGGCGATGGTGACGCGGGCGGCAAGTGGGAGAGAGTCTATTCACGCGAGAAGGCCGCATACCCACTCCCGTGGCTCAAGGAGAAGAAATTCTGGCCCACCGTCACGAGGATAGATGACGGTAAGTCTCACATGCGCCGGATCTTCGTCATAGACAGATATGCTAACCAAAGGAACAAGTATACGGCGATCTCAACCTCTTCTGTACATGTCCACCGGTCGAGGACACTACAGGCTCCTAAAACACCATTTCCATAACACATTTGTATCTTTCCGGCGTAACGCATAGGGTGATCCACTTTCAACATGATGGAAAATGAAGGCGTACGGGATTTACGGGGGTCTTTTCAACACATAGATCAAAGCCGCATAGAGTTTCGCCAAGTCTTGGTAGAGCCAAGGCGTTTTTATACGGATGTGATTCAACAACGGCATTTACCGTGTATTGTGTACACGGTCACGTCGATACGTGCATTTCGTCGACATATTATTCAACTACATAAATTCCGGTTCTGCTTCTGGCTCCATTAACTGGACTAGGGGGATGGGTTCTAAATAGTGGAGTATGTACGGACGCCGGCTGGCGGGTTGAAATGAGTGGATGAGGTATTGAGGGAAAAGGAAAGCGTTCGATTAGTCTTTGTTCTAGAGGAGAATTGGTAGAAAAAGATGAGAAAGGAGAGAGAAGAAACGATACAACGTTTTCCGTAGACTTGCTGCAATAAAGTGGTTTAGTCCTCTCACGACCGCGTTGTCTAGGTACCTACCTAAGGACACGGGCAACCTCTACTGTTCCAGTGCTTTGTTCGCTGACGCTATAGATATTATCGAAGTCGACATCGAAGGATCTTCTCCGCAATTCCGTAGTGTGGATACTTCTTAACTCGAGTACACATGCCGCCTATAGCCGAGATTCGGAGGGCTAGCGAGGTTTATATTCGAGTCATGGACCAATTACAGATTCCTTATTACCGAAGGGGCGGCAAGGTACCTACGGTCCCACTAACCGAGGCCGTATGGGGGCAGCTGAGATCCTTTCGTCCTAGATACATATAGGTACTCGGTTCTCACTTAGGAAGTCTGAGAGCCGCGCCAACGATTGGGGAAACTTACCTACTTTGCATGATGAGTGGATGCGAGGTTTATCGCGCTGGTAGTAGCTTTTCTGCAGCTGGTAAAGTACAGAATTTTTGGGAGTTTAGCAATGCTGACATTTGCTCATGCTATCGAGTATATATTCAGTTAGGTATGTGATGATGATGTGTGGAATAGAATGTCGAGTCCGACTGTAGCATTTTGGCAGATAGTAGGTAAGTGAAAAGGGGTAAAAATCGAGACCGCGCCGATACGTTACAATTCAGAATCCATTTCTTTCGATAAAAGCATGCGTCGTTCGTATTTCTTGAATCAATTAACCAATATCTGCGTATTCCTATACTCTATATATCCTCGATTTTTAGCCAGAACGTTGTATAAAACCCCTAGAAGGCCAACTTGGGTATCGTACGGATCCACACGTATCCGCCGTCCAATCCAAGTTCCAGTTGCAATGGAACTATCCCAATATTGGCCGCAAGAAGAGCCTCATCACAGCATCGCCGTTAGAAATGTAGATGCAGCCTTCTTCGTCGGTGTTACTATCCACCCAGCGGCCCGGCAGCTCTGCGCCAAAAATCGGAATTATCCCTCTATTCCGCAACTCTTCTACGTCTTCGGGTCTCAGCCGTTCAAGAGAATACGATAACTTCTTGTGGAGGTTGTTTGATGTTCCCGCATTCACCCCCTTCGCATACTTGATCTGTATGTTCAATAGAGGCCCTGCGTTATATAGCGGAGTAGACTTTCCCATCCAGATCTTCTTAGATCTCGCCTTGCCAGATTCGAGCGTCAGGCTTCCCTCGGAGGAGCTCGAACTACATCCGCTACTCCAACGTTCTGAGAGGTTGTGAATATCGTGGGAACATTCCCCGTGATCAACAGGTGTTCTCGGTACCGTGTCTTCCGCTTCCCCAGAGTTCTGTACCCCTCCCATCTCCTCTTTTACCTCCTCACCTACTTCCTCTCCTACCTCTTTCGTCTCTTTTACACTTTTCGACTCCTGTAACCCCTCTGCTTCTTTTTCTAGTTTTGATATCCATATATCCATTGCTTCATAAATATCTCCCATTTGATCTAGTTCTTCCACGCTATCTGACGTCTTTTCTTTCCCTTCCACGTCTTCTACTTTCTCTACCCTTTCTATGTCTGTCACCTCCTTTACCACTTCTACCTCTTCTAGTTCCTTCACCTCCTCTTCCACTTCTGCGATAGCTTCCTCGCCGTTCGTGAGTACTCCTTCACGTGCAGACAGCTCCTCAGCCCGAAGCACCACCTCTTTCACAATCTTCTGCACAGCCTTGCCCTTCTCATCTTCCAGGGGCAGATCCACACACGACAGCGTCGAATCCGACAAATACAAGGCGAGAAGCGTGCTCTCTTTCGGGTCCGGGTAAACCGTCCTCTTCTTCCTCGTGAACAGCGTCTTCAAGCTGTTTCTTAAAGTGCCCTGCAACCGCATGTTGTATCTCTCAGCTAAATCGGCGTTCTTCAGCATCGGCAAGCGCCACCCGGGATAAATCTTGCCGTGCGAGTTCGGCGTATGCATCTTTTCGTATAACAATATGAACTCGTTGCAGAGCCAGCAGGCGTCTTTACTTGAGCACACGACGCGCGGCAGTCGGTTGTGGGGTATGTTCAACTCGCAGTAGCAAAGCAGCTGGATCTCGGCATGGATCTTAGCCTCGCGTAGTGTTTTACGCGCCTGAGCCGCGAACTGGTTGCTGGCATCCTCCGGCGTCAGTCTGCGGCTCTCGTTCATCTCCCCGCTGTTTAGCAAGTGGCATATATTCTCCAGGTCTTTATTATGATTCTTGAGCCCTTTGACGAGCGAGAAGGTGGTGTCGAGACTAGGCAAGTATTGACTGCTTGTCGACCTTGTAAATTCTGTCTCGGACCCTGAGACAATGACAGCGCGCATTTTGCGGGTGAGGGGAATCTTCTTGCCTACGCGATATAAGAATCTTGCTGCTTCGCGATATCTAGCAACTTTGTTGATCATGTTGACCAGGGAACCTCTCAGGCTGGGTGACATGACATTGTTGGGTATTTCTTTAATTAGTGCCTCTAGGTGGTCTGCTTTCTGGAGGCGATGAATACCTTCGACCAAATCTTCTAATTCGGCATCCCTTTGATGCTTAATCCAAGAGTCAGCCAGCCTTAGTACTTCCCTTGCCCTCTCGATGAATAGGCTCAATACAGGTAGAAGCTCGCTGTTTCTTATCTTCCATGACTCTACATGTCTGAGATAGTCAAAGGCTATTAGAAGAGCTCCTTTGATGGACATTTTCTGCATGAGGCGGCCCTGAAGACGTAAACGATGAAGGATACGCGCTCGACACATAGAGACGATGGCTTTGAATACACCAATCTCTATACAGGCTGACCTAACTGGTCCAACGCTGTCAGCAGAAGGATCCAAAGCATCCGCTAGCTTGAGTTTAATACCATAGTCTTGATCTAGGAGAGAGAAAATCCCATCGAATGACTTCTTCAACCCTTCGAGTACTTGTCGTCCACTACTATATTCTAGCTTATTTACGGCGAGCAAGACGTTTATATGTGCCGCATTGGGACCTTCCTCAACACAGACAGCTGGAATATGATTGTTGTCATCATTTCGGAAAGCAAGGAAAGCGAGCGTACTAGCAAGATCGCGCTCTTTTTCAAAAGGCAATGTGTAGCCGGCCGATCGAGTCTGAATCGTCGTCACTGGATTAGAAGACGGGTTAACAGGAACGTGATGAAGAAAATGCAGAGCCGCAATCCACTCGGCGCATATTATAGCACGGTCACGGGACCTAGTATTTGCCATATTCGAGCTCAAGATCCTCTTAAAGTCAAAGTTGTCGAGCCATGAGAATTCACCCCCGGTTATCCCTCCAGCTGCCAGTCTGTTTTATCATCAGTCATTGACAATGAAGAAGTCGCCATGTCGTTTTTCACGTCTGATATCAGTCATATTTAATGACCGGTCACCTGCATATTGGTAACATCTTCCCCTCCTCCAGAATGTTGAACAGAGGCTCCATGATTGGTCGCCGTACAGGCAGCCGTCAAGATGCCGTCAAGATGCATATATATGCATTGAAGCATTTTCTCAACACAAGAAAGTCCGGATTGAGTCATGAACGATATTTTGATTAGCTTTGAGATCCGTTGAACCTCTGATCGGCTTGGCACGGGATGGTTGTTTAGGGGATAAGCACAGGTATTCGATAAATCCCGTGAATTTAGAATAACCCAGCGAAAATAACCAAGATAATACCTTAATTGAAGGCGAAAATGCGAGCGATTAGGGCAGCTCACTATTCTTCTCTCGTTGATATCGTAGCATGATTATCTCAGCGTGATAGCCGCTCCCAAGAATCGTCGGCGCCATGGAATGTGAACTTCTTGACCCTATGAGGATTGGAAAATTCTAAAAATTGACGGCAGAGTTCTTGGGGCCGAATTGGATCGTTCTGATTGCTATAGCCGTCATGGTCTTTGGCTCCTTCAACTGCATCGAATCGTATCCCACGAAGTGACAACTCCAAGCTGGTTCTATTCATAGCGTCATGAATCAGCTGGCACTTGGCTGGTTAAGGTACAAAGGGTACTAGATCAATTAGTTAACAGCCTCGCACAACGGCCTAGGTCGAAATTGTATCAGCCCATTGCAATCATTGCCGAATGCTCTTTGTAACAATAGAATTATCTTAAGTTGTTTCTAGGTGGGCGCAGTATGAGGGTCGTCGTAAAGTGGGACCAAAAATGAAGGATTGCATTCTCCATAGCATCCCGCCAGGCCTGGGTATTTTGGCAAACCAATGTTTTGTATAAGGGAGCAGATGCAAACATATCATCAATACACTCGTATCAAAAAAGATCTGAAGACATTGAGAGATGTAGACGATTGGGTTCACTAGAATATAGTCTACGGTCCGAAGATCATGATGATCTGCGATGAGCCGCGCTAGATTGACGAGAAAGATCAACAACGCGACAATCTAAGGCTGTTGGTGTTTGGCGATCACAGATCACATCGACTACCTCGGTGCCTCGTATACCTAGTCAATGCGCAGGATGATAAACATCCGATCTCGACGGACTTCAAACAGAGTAAGATGCACGACTCATTAGTACGTTAGAATAGCCGATTGCGCGTCATTGCCTATACAACGATTAGTTTGCATCCTTGCATTGATGTCGCGATAGAAGGTAAACTATAGAAGACACACATAAGGCTTCTCGATAATTTCCTTCGGGTATTATACTAGTAGGTTTGATCACCTTGAGACCATGGGGTTAGAAACGTCCTTCGTCTCACAGGGGTTGTTGGAGTTTTCGGACGCTCTAGACTTTCGAGGGGCCCCATTCGCCAATACCACATGGTCAACTAGGGTCGTCGGCCAACGTCGCGATAGGTACAGGGCTCCGAGGCATAAGCGAGGACAAGAAGCCTAATAAGGAATTATTCGCCCCTGAAAAGATAGGTGACAGCAATACCAACAAAACTGAAGCTAGAGGAAATCGGCTCGAGGCTATCACGAAAACGCCCGTCGCTAGCGTCTACTTCGGTGGTGCGACTGAGAGGTACGTAGTAATTAGATGGCATCAAGGGTACCTAGTACCTGTACCCTGTTCGGGATTATGTAAGTAGGACAACAGAGTCATAGAACCTAGGTCCTAATAACCCGAAAATCCACCGGTTTGTTTGAATTTGAGTCGGTGTGCATCGTGAGAAGGAGAGGGAAAAAAAATCAGTTCATCCCCATGGTGGCGACCGTCAGCCCGGAAGTATGCCTATGTCCCACAAGCTGCATGGCGTGGTACGCCATGATAGGGTATGCCTGTTGCAAACTTTTATAAAAAAGATCCGAATCTCAATCGTCGTGTAGTTCATGACAATCCAAAATAGACGTGGTTCGCTGTCGTTCGTGACACATGGCGACAAGCTGACCGTTTAGCCGTTAGGCACCTAATAACGTCGGGTACCTTGCATGCATCCATCCATTGATCCATTGTAGCTAGCTGATCCCGATCTGCGTCAAAACGCGGTGTCGCGAACAGACGAAGGTGACGACTTCAAATCGCCTTGCATTCGCTGTCTTTGCTCTGTATGATGATTGCCATCAGCCTTTCCAACTTGAGCGTCGGGCTTGATAGAATTAACTAGTGCAGAATATCTATGATACTGGCAAGTAGGTAGCCGAAAGGTGGCTAAATTGGGTAGCGAGAAGGGAGAAGGGGGACAATGGCGTTATCGTCTATTGTTTAATTGTTTAAATGGACTTCCACATCTAGCGCAAGATCTTCTCCGCAAAGTTATGGGAACCTCATGGGAAACTCTGTGAGTCTGTGCAAGAACTGCCTGTGATACGCTGGTACCTGGGTAATAGCGCCTTCTCGGTACTACTGAACCTTTCCGAGTGGAAGGGCGGAAACCACTCGGACCAATCTGGGGGAAATTTGAATTCTGACAGAAATTTGCAAATTGCTCAGACTTCCCCGTTACGGTTTAGTCAGGAACAAAATGTCAAATCTGCAGGAACAAATGGAACCTAATGCAACCAATCAGCAATTGCCACTCTTACGTAGACCCCTGTCACGCAGAAATTATGCAATCTAGTGTAATGGGATGGTATTTTATGAATGACCTTAATAAACAATATGAGGCTATTAGAGGTTAATGAAGGAATAAAGCGATGTAAGTGACAATCACAAGTGATTGAAAAATGAGATATGCGAAGAAGCCTTTGTTCAAGGATTCTATGTTATACCGACAGCCTTAAAGGAAATCGAAGATGAGAGAACTCTGCTAAACCACATTAGGAACAAGCGTTGAAAATTCCTTCTTGTTTAGGCGATAGGCACCTAGGTAATAGAAAAAGCGGTACTGGGTTGGGGCACTTTTGGCAATTGGGTCAGAGCCATCTCATCATCTCATCCATCCATGTCTCTGATTCTGTCGATGTACCTATGTAATTTCCGTTGCCCTGTGCAATCGGAGGATGCAATCCGCCATCAGCGTGTGACTGCCTAGGTACTTAGGTAACTACTATGTAGTACATTATTACATACTAGGTACTTCATGTGGGCAGTTTTTATATGTGACGAGGTATTCTCGTCCCTTTCTTTTCTCTTTCTCTTCTGATTGTATCCCTTATATATGTGAATATTGGAATATTCGGTGCCTTGCGTTATTTTTATCGTACTCCTTGAACAATAAATTCATAGTTCAAATCGTGTCTAGATCTCCCCAAATCCTCACAAAGAGTCTACCTGATATAGCGCGCTTTGTCCATTATATTGTATACCTCCGGTACCATATTCTTTGCGAGAAGAGCCTAGGCGGCTGCACAGTAAGCCACCCAGGTAATTATTAAAATTATGGAGATAAACCGCTAACGGTGATTGGACCAGATTAACGCCTTGTCGGCCCTAGCACCCTAGCGGCCTAGAGGCCCTTAGCCGACTAGTGCGAGAAATAGGTGCTACGCTAATTTCAGGTACCCTTGCTTTGATTCTCAGTCGCCATTATTCTCTCGCCCATTTTGCGCAACAAAGTAACTTTACAAGGGTCCCCAGAGATGATCGTGGTTTCCCATCCCGCTCCTCTCTGACACCCATTTCGCCCACTCCTTCATTAAACTACTTGATACCCTCGCCGTACTTTCTCACACACCCTCTCTTTTCTCTCACACACTCACTTCTTCAAAACTTACAGGGCTTCGTTGGCAGAGTCCATATTTACGACATTACGAAGAAAATAAGTCATACCGACCTTGAGTACCGAGTATTCAACCAAAACATTCTTTGCATCACGCAAAATCTCATCACACCACATCGATACCAGTACACTACGCTTCTATAACGAGACACGGACACGCACCGAGCATTTTGCCAAAAGAGACTTGGAAGAGAAGACTGAGCAGTCAGGAGTGAGATTCTATTCTACGAAAAGCTTGTATTAAGCATATCCAATTTTGCGACAATATATTGTCGCATATCGTCACTTATACAAATCATATACGACCTCGAGTCCTAGACGCGCATCAAGATGCAAATATTCGCTATTGTCGCGACCGCGCTTCTGCCTTTGTTGGCAGTTGCAGAGACCTCAACGACCACGTCGACTATGACGATGACCAAGTACATCACCATCCAGAAGGCCGCCACTACCTCTAGTGTTTTCAGCGCAAACTCGACAACGGCATTCCCCACCGGCACCATCTCAGGTTCCGCCGCCATTGTCACCGCGACTACGACGACTGGTGCTGATGGCTCGCCTACAACCGTTGCGCCAACTGTCAGCCCTACCATTGACAACCAGAACAGCGGCGCAATGCTAGCTCCTGCCGCATTCGCTGGTCTTGCCGGTATGGTCTTCGCGGCAATGATGTAAGTTCGCGCCGTCCGGCGCATCTTACAGCCGTACCAACGGCAAAACCGTTATGATGGAAACAACCTTCATAACAGCATCTTATATGAATTTCACTACGGACAAACGTCTACTTCATTTCTTTTGTCAAAAATCAGAATTATTCGTTTTCAGCGCTGTCTGGCTACATTACATGCGACGATACGAACAAACCACGACACCACAATCAACCGCAACCAACCATTCTACTTTGAGCTTTCGCATGCCTAAATGGTCGCGATTGCCCATCGCCAATGAAACAACAAACTCGCCTCGACCACAAGACCCTTTTCCTCGGCCCTTCTACAGGTGTTGAGCGTTTGGTGCTACTTCATTTTCTTCGAAACACCCTTAATGTTTCAATAAACCGGCAACGCGCGCATTCGTCAACTACTTTTATGTCCCGCCTCCATCAATTTATTTGACATAATCATCACGTTGCGCACTCTCTCTTCCCGGATAGACAGATTTGCAAACACCCCAAGGATTTGAATTTATCCTTCTCATGTCGCATACATTTTATTTACACCTTCATCATCTTCCGATACCCCCTTGTCAGCCTTGGGGCTGGTCACAGTTCTGCAAGATCTGATATATCCCCATCAACCGTTGAGACGGTGGGCTGGGAATGAGAGAGCCTATTCTATATGAATAGCGTTGCTGGCTGGACTACCTTTTTTTACTTCGAATATAACCCCATTTTTCTGCATCTATCGCGAAGTTCAGTTATGAGCCACGAGACAGATTCCAACGAAGGCACTTTTCATACCCTTTGACTTTTTATTCGTTTACTTTTCACCCGCCTTCGTATTGTGTTGAGATACCCCGTTGTTGAGAACTCTCGCCGTGCGAGAATGGTCCGAGGAGAAATTTGTGGGAGAGCAACCAAAAAATAACTGCAAAACATGTCGTGTACTCACATTTGTGAGATTGTCTGATTTTTGACCGTTTATTTACGAAACTCCAAGCCTTCGCATTTCGTTGCTTCTGGATTTCCCTCCGTTGCTTGGAAAGGGGAAGAAAAAGGCGGCTTGGTGCATTGTGCCGAAGAGAAAAGATATATAAAAACAACCTCAATTGAGTCTTTCAAGTTCCGTACATTTCGCGCTCGATTTACTATGTGATATAAGTCTTTTAATGTCAATTTGCCCTTTAGTTAGTATTATCTGTCAAATGAGTAACCTTGAGCTCATGTACATTACTTTGTAATTCCATTAGGGAAAGGGGCTGTAATTGATAAGTTCTCCTAGACATACATAATTGGTATTTTGAAGTATTTTGACGATCGATCTATTAGAATACAGCCCGTATAGAAACCCTCTTTCCCTATCCCTTTTCAATATTCGGCATACCGGACATTGTTCATGAGCTGTAAGGGGTATGAAGTGAGGTGCTTGGCAGGCGGAAATGCTGTTTGCTAAAAGGACGACGAGGTTGGGACTTATGCGCCGAGACATGTTTTCATATTTTGAGTTCTCCTAGATATTAGAGTACCTAGACCAATGTCATCTAGAAGCAGTTTGAAAGTATTATTTGAGGGCAAAAGTTTCCCCTTATTCTATAGCAATACTCAATCCCGCTGAGGCCCCTATAGCAAATATTCGTCCTTGCTAACTCAAGGCGTTGAGCAATAACTCAACGGACATATATATATAATATAATAGGATACAATTTCCTCTTTCTAACTTACTTTTATTTATTTTGCCAACTAAATAATATGAATACCCCCTCATTCTCATGCAGTCCCTAGATACATACATGCTTTCTAACTAGTGATGTTGCTTTGTGACAACTATCGCGAGAGTCGTCACGTACATATAGCGTGAATTATATGTATGTAGGGGATGCTTTCATCAAAAATCTCAGACATCAGAAACTCTAACATCTATCATCTGATGTTGTTAAACTTAGCGTTTAGCGTTTAAGGTTGAACGGGGATAGCCGAGAGGCTTTCCTGATCGGTGAACGACCTCATCGATGATTGGCTCATATCCATGCCTAGAAGCTCATAAGGTTCGCAGCTGGTGGCACCTGTAACAATTGCAACGGCACAATGAGATACTCCGGGTCACTCCGATTCTAGCCGATCAATGACCCGCTCTTTAAACCAATAGTGGGTCGCCCAAAACTTGGGGTTTTAATTGTAAGCAGTTCGTTATCGTCAACGATTTTATCTTTTATCTTCCGAAAAGGTGGGAGCTCTCTTCACACACCTCCAATTCATGGCCGTCTGAGTCCGCAGCATTCCGTATAACCGCTACTCAATCATGGCCTCAACTTCGGCATCGCTGCACCGCATACGTGCGCCAGTGCAGCGCGCAATTGCAAACGTATCGACCCTCAGCGCCGCCGCAACAACCCGGTCCTACGCCACCATCCCAACAAACACACCAGACACCACAACCTCCCCATCCGCCAAACCCGCCCGCCGCCCAACATACTTCAAAGACACGACGATAGCCTCCTTCGACGAGTTCCTCTCCAGCAAATCCTCCTCGACCACCACCCTCTCCCCGTCCGACGCGTACCAGCTACGAACGGCCGAGGTCGGCCCCGCGTCAAACCGGCGGACGATCACGCGGTTGCCGGAGTGGCTCAAGACGCCGATCCCGGCGGGCAACGACAACTACAAGCAGATCAAGCGGGACCTGCGCGGGCTGGGCCTGCACACGGTGTGCGAGGAGGCGCGGTGCCCGAACATATCGGAGTGCTGGGGGGGCAGCGACAAGAGCGCGGCGACGGCGACCATCATGCTGATGGGCGACACGTGCACGCGCGGGTGCCGCTTCTGCAGCGTCAAGACGAGCCGCGCGCCGCCGCCGCTCGACCCCCACGAGCCCGAGCACGTCGCCGAGGCCCTCGCCCGCTGGGGCCTCGGCTACGTCGTCCTGACTAACGTCGACCGCGACGACCTGCCCGACGGCGGCGCCCGCCACTTCGCCGAGACCATCCGCAAGATCAAGGCTAAGAAGCCGAGCCTGCTCGTCGAGGCGCTGACCGGCGACTTCTTGGGTGACCTGGACATGGTGAAGGTCGTGGCCGACAGCGGGTTGGATGTTTACGCGCATAACATGGAGACGGTGGAGGGGCTGACGCCGTACGTGCGGGATAGGAGGGCCACGTTCCGGCAGAGTCTGAAGGTGCTGGAACATGTGAAGAAGGTGCGCGGGGACGAGGGCATTATTACGAAGACGAGTTTCATGCTCGGGCTTGGCGAGCAGGAGCAGGAGCTCACGGATGCGCTGAAGGAGCTGAGGAATGTGGGATGTGATGTGGTGACGTTTGGACAGTACATGCGCCCGACGAAGAGACATCTGAAGGTCGAGAAGTACGTCACGCCCGAAGAGTTCAAGATGTGGGAGCAGCGCGCGCTGGATATGGGGTTCATGTACGTGGCTAGCGGGCCGCTTGTCAGGAGCAGCTACAAGGCTGGCGAGGCTTTCATCGAGAACGTCTTGAGGAAGCGGGCCGACGAGAGAGCAGTGGCTGCTGCCTCGGAGGGCAAATTAGGACAGACTATCGCTATGGAAGGGGCGTAAAAGTGGATGGCCCTACCGTTTATTGTTACATACTACTGTGGACAGTGCCATCATGTTCGGCATGTTTTATTCAACATGTATAACTAACGGGGCTGCTACGAACTTGGAGAAACGCCCAAGGACGGGCAGCATGGAACTCGGCGTACTTAGAATTTTTCGGGTTTAGGTATCGGTACCGTACTCTATAGAACCGGTCGTTTATGAATCTTATTCAACCAGGATACGACGACCAAAAATCCAAACTTAATGACCACCTATCTAACAGTTCAGATGATATCGCCCCGAGTCTCCTTCACCGCATCCCACAGCTCATCCACTAACTTCAGCAACTCCTCAGACAACGGCCCCTTCCTCGCCAACTCCACCGTCTGCACAACCTGCCGCGTCTTGCTCGCGCCCAGCAACACGCCATCCTCCTCGCCGAGCTGCGAATGGTGCACGATCCACCGCACAGCGACCTCGAGGGGCTCGGCCCCGCTCTCCCTCGTCCGCTCGTCGAACCTCTTCACGGCGGAGACCAGGTCGGGCGCCCCGAACACGCGCCGCATCGCGCCGCCCAAAGGGTTCGCCGGGTCGAACCGCGTGCCCTCCGTCCGGCCGCTGCTCAGGTTCCCGGTTAAGAGCCCCGAGGCGATGGACCGGAAGGCGTTGAGCCGGATGCCGTGCGCGCGGAGGAGCGGCAGGAGTTTGGTCTCGACGCCCCGCGACACGATGCTGTATTCGGCTTGATAGCACGAAGGCTTGCGCCACCCGTGCTCGTCGCAGAGGGCGACGATGCGCTCGAGGGTCGGGATGGGGACGTTGGATACGCCCCACTGAGAGGTATGTTAGTAGGTATAGCTATACAGCTGAAAAGAGGAGAGAAATATAGATATGGCGGAAAGCGACTTACGGCTTTGCAATGCCCCAACTCGATCTGCTCGTTGAAAGCCTGGATCTGCTCCTCGAGCGGCGTCGTAGGGTCCGCGCGGTGTATGTGCAGCACGTTAATACCCTCGCCCTCGGGTCTCCTCAGCCTCCCCAGGCTCCCCTCGACCGACTTTTGGATGTTTTCGCGGGTCAGGTCCCCGCTGCTGTCTTTCCGCGTGTCGGTGAACACCTTCGTGTCAACCGCGAAATCCTTGCTGAGGTCTGCGACCTCCCCGATCAGCTCCTCTGACCGTCCCGGATTGAGCGGCGGGTACCGCGCGCCCGAGTCTAAGCGGCGGATGCCGAGCCCCTTGACAGTTGTGAGCACGGCCCTGACGGACTCGGCGTCTTGGAACTCGGAGTTGTCCATGCCGAAGCCGGCGGTGCCGAATATAAGCTGTGGCGGCATGTTGTCTTGCCTTGGATTTTGAACACTCTTATTTCCTTTTCTTCCAGGCCGTATATCCACCTCGATAGTTAGATTAAGAGCCGACGGTGAAGTAAAGGCCAGTGATCTAACATTGAACTCACGTAGGATGAGGCTGTATTTATACCTACCTACCCAGGGCTAGGGATTGTAACAAGAATGATCATCATGCATCCAGAAGACGTTGTACCTACAAGGCGTTAGATCTCGGCCTTACAATCGTTCCTTGCATTAGACTTTGCTATGAGCCGGTCCAATACCAACACCGAAAGGCTTAGGTAAGAAATGGAGCTTCGGAGGGTGCTCCCGCGGATGGGTTTGAGAACCCGATACTCCGCACCCATCCGCCGGGCTGCTCCGCTTACTTCTGATGTCATTGAGCTTCCTTTTTAGCTATGCTACAGTAGCATATTATTAAGCAGTTCTTAAATACATTACTAATAAAATACTACATCATTTTCTAATATCCAGCATTTTGCACAGAAGTTATATGGGTAACTGGTGATTTCAAAACGAATTGAATGAGTTGTAAACGTGGGAATCAACGAGTAATTCAAGTGGCAAGTCCCCTTTCTCACCCACCTTGTCAAGGACTTGTCTTTTTTTCTTTTCTTTTATCTTTTTTATTTTTTATCTTTTAGCTGGAGGAGCCGGATATGCCCCGTGCTAGCTGAAGATTCTCGTAGCTGCATAAGAAGCCCTCGTGACGCATTTCCACCCACAGAACCCAGAAAAACGGCCATCGAGGCCAAGATCACGGTCCCAGAGTGTAAATCACGCTCTCTGGCCTCAGTCCCTTTGGTCGCGTGTCTGACAGGAACGCGGTGCTTCGGAGCCCGCTGGTGCAACTGCGGATTGCGACGCGCCAGAACAAATGTATTGAGGACTATGGCGAGGGAGAGGGCGATGCTGCGGTAGTGGAGATTAAGCATGCGCGAAGCTAAACATACTTACCAGTACGAATTCATCTGCGTAAAACTGGAAAATATTCCTAATCCATCTGAAGCATATTTGATATGCGACCCTTCGTTCATTCTCGATTTGTTATAGCGAGAGTTAAAAACGAAAAGGTAAAAAAGGTAGGGATTCTGTCTGAATCGAACCCACGTATACCAAAAAACATATCACTGTATGGCGCAATATGGATTATTTCAGGACTTCCTGGCAATCACCACTTGGGCCACTACACCACGCAGTAATATGTTATGAAAGCTTGGCCCTTCTTTATCCTTATAAGTCCTCCACAGATTGTCAAATGTCAAATGTGTCATAGCAACCGTAACAAATATGGTGAAAATCGTGACTCATAATAAAACTCTATCTAATGGTATAATGGTATATCGTTAATCATACCTAATCTATGATTCTAGTAAATATCATGATCATTTCTCATAAGGGGTAGTGGGTCTCATGATATAAACTTCGCCAATCAAAACTGTACAGCCAACAACCATGGCTATGGTAATGATTGGGAGGTTGACGCGAGCAAAATCTGCCCGCTTGACGTGTATGTGTTTTCTGGCGAGAATATCGCGCCATAAGAGACCGGCCAAAGATGCGCTGAACGCCGTGCTAAATGCTCCGTAGTTGACACCGAGTGCCATGCTGTTACGTCTGCGTTAGCAGTCTATTATAAGAAAGCCCAGATATTGATGTGTTACAATGGGGGACAAGCGGGGATAACACAGGAGGGAAAGACATCTTGAAGCGTATGAAGTTATACATACCTATAAACTGCAGCCCAAAAGGTTCGGTCAGAAATCGGTATCCCGTTGGCTTCATGAATCTTCTGCCACGCCTGTATTACGCGTGAAAGTAGGATGGTCGTTCCAATATTCGTCCCAGCAAACTAAATCGAGTCACATGGTTAGCTGGTCAAGTGTATACATGCAAATTGGAAAGGCTTACGTTGCAGAGCAGCACAGAGAGGAATCCCATGCCGCCAATACTACCAACTGTTCCCGTTTTCTCCACCCAATGATCCCATCCGTAGGCGAATACTGGTACCCAGCCCTTGGTAACCAATGCTTGCACGAGGACAAACATGGAAAACGCAAAGGGGACGAGCGCATAAGGTAGATGGCCAGCAACCGCCGTCGCCGTTGGGAATGTCTCTTGTGACCATCTGTAGGAATCTGCAAGCAATGACACAAGCGTCGCTTTTTTACGCTCATGGACTGTGACACTGCAATGGGATTGTTTCTCAGCGTCGACTTGTCGCTCGAATGATGCACCGCAATTCGTTCCACCCACAACTGTATCTAATGGCTTAAATGAGTCTTCTCGCGCCGGCTCTTGCTTCTCATAAAGTGTACTTTTAGCACTAGTCGAAGGGCGGGCGTCTTGTATTTCATTATCATTTGATGATGCTGTAACATCCGCAGTCGGCCCTGTCCTATTTTCATTTTCCATGTTTGCGTTAGGCAGGCCAGGATGGATATCTATACCGTTATCATCGTTGCTACGGCCCTGAGTGGTATGGTCCGTTGAATCCGTCGGAGGTTGATTGGGTGCCGTATCACTTAGGGGTTCTGATTCCCGGTTCTCGTTTAGAGCAGCCCGCTCCATTTCTTCTAGTCTAGCTTGTCGTTCCGCTCGAGCTCTCTCAACCTCTCGTCGGCCATCACGCGCGATCTTGCGGGTCTCTTTGCGGTGGAGCCATCCAAACGCAATATCCCAGCAGAACATAACGAAGGCGGCCGGTAGGGTAACGTAAAATACGGGATGTTCGTTCGAAGTCTGGCTTGCAGCATTCAGCGCGAGAAGAGTGATTAGAGTCGCAGCCATAATAAGGGCTCCAAATCCCGCACCGCCTTTGTCTAGGAAAGGATTCATGATTTCTTCGAGAGATAGTAGCTGGGCCTGTTCGCCATTTGCCGGGTCATTTTCTTCTTCCTCTGCGTTTCCTCTGGCATTGGGGATATTAGGGTTGACCGGCGTCCTAGCCCTCGCTTCCTCTGAGAGCTCATGCATCTGTATCGAGAGCGGAATGAGGGACTCGTCCGCAAAGACGATATAAAGGAGAAAGGGGAAAAGAACAATGGCCGTGACAACAACAGGGACGATCATGTTAGCGGTGTAGTAGATGAACCTAATATCGAAGGCGCCAGCAAGCACGAGGTTGGTAGGATTTGAGGACACGAGGATGGCCGAGGCAATATTCGCCACAGCAAACTGGGCGAAGATCCAGGCTCTCGGGTGTACGATGTTGCTTGAAACCCTTGTCATATACGCGAGAAAGGCTGTACCGGAGAGGATGATAGGGTCGTTTCCAATGAAGGTACCCAAGCTGAAGAAGAAAGCGTATAAGTAGAAGAAGAGCCTGTGACCATACCTCCCTCCCTTCTGAAGTACCTTGAACGCTAGGTACCTGATGAGGCCGGAGGCATCAATAGAGATGGCAATATACGCTAGCGTTATGAAGAAGGCCATGATATCGATAGGAGAGATGTTGTTAGCACCAATTGTTCCGCCATAGACCTCGGCTCGACCAATTGCCTGGATAGCTAGCAAGAAAAGGTCTGCTATTAAAGGCGCCGTAATGAAGTTCATTGGGAACCTTAGTTTCACCCAATACCCACCTTCATCCTGCTGCTCTTCGCCGGGAACAGTGATAGCACCAGACTCATTCTGAGGTCGGCCTTCTCGCGGCCCTATCACCCTCAATTTACACAGACCATTCAATATGCCATTCTTGAATGAGCGAGGGAATGGTATTGGGATATGAAAGGGGAAGAGGACAATGATATCTATGTAGGAGTAAGTGTCAATTGATCAACGATGCGGCTTATTTAACTAGATACTTAGGTACCTAAGCATGAGTTACGACTTACTGGTGAGGACAAAGGCAATGAGGGTCACAATTGAATGCCATTCTCGAATTATGTCGGTATTAAGGTCGATATCGATATCACCAAGGTTTTCCGCCATTTTGATTTTATTTTGTTGATTCTCGCAATATTAGTTGGTTGGTCTGAGTAAAATGTCGGCTTGTCTTGAAGTGGCTGGTTTAAATTTCAAAGAGATATCGTGAAGTCAAAGTCGACAATTTACAAGTAGAAGTAAAGCGAATCCCCTCCCTACTAGGCAAAGCCCGTATATAAGTAGTATTCCCAAACAGCAAACTTCAATTACGCATACATTCTGTGACGACGAGACTGATGAAGAATGACAAGATCAATCGACCTGGCTTGAATATCTTGATGCGGTGGGGTTTGACGATTTTGCGCGAGACGACAGATGCCAGGCGGAGGCTGAGAAGGGCCAAGAAGCTCGGTAGGTACTGTAAGCAAATTAAACCACACACGTGCCTACAATAGGCTCAATGGCTATCGATTAGGTGCATTATTGTCCGCATAGAAGATAAGTTGACACCTCATGAACATTGTCAAGGAAAAAGTCGGAACAGAGAAAGTTGTGCGATGGTCATGGAGTATCACAGACAAAAACTACTGGGCAGTTCTGGGCAGTAGTATAGCTTGAGCTTACCATGTACACACGTACCTGCCTAGGCATGTATGTAAGTCACTAGTAGTAATCGGACCAATGTTCAATTAGGATTTAATCGTGGCTGTGTTGATATTCTGTGCATAGGACCTGTGTAAGATGTTACTGGAAATGTCGCTTATGCAGCGAAATCAATCGAGATTTGACTTGTCATTAAGCCACATGAACCCTTAGCTTGAGGCTTGCTTGGGACTTGGTGTAACTATCGACTTCCCAGGAAGGTAGGATGCGGAGAAGATCCAGCAATATCTTAGACTCTGGTGAAATTTGTGGGTTCCGGGGACTTGGCCCGCTTTCTTATTTTTTCTTATTCCTAATTCGTAGTTCGGTGTTAGGGAGCGCGTCATCGTACTACCTACAGGTATCAGGTGGCTTACCGACGAAGCGGCCCTAAGCCTTAAATATCTAGCTACATTACCAAAAACCAAGTATTGTCCACTCAGCTCACACCTTTTAGATTAGACTGAGTACTTCTATCGGCTATCGACTAAGATTGGACAGGCTTACGGTCTTCACCATGAGGATTGAGGGGATTGAGGCTGAACATCCCGGCCGCTCACCTTCGCAACTTCGGTCGCCAGAATAACCCGGGGGCGCTGGGCTCAGGGGGCAGTGCTGACAGACCTTCGCCCAGGTTGGCCCGGTCTGTCCAGGTGGCTTGCTTGAGACGGGAACTTAGAAACTCAAGGGAGAGCTCGAAGCTGATAGGATCTTTGCTTGGTTCCAAGAGCTTTCCACGTGTAATCTTGCCAATACTGCCAGCCCCGTATTACGAATTCATACGAGGCGATCGAGGCATTTGATTACGCTTCTTACCCTTCCAACATTGTGTCTCCTTAGAAGGCAGCTAAATGCAAACATACAAAATAGACTTGTTGAATCATCGACATGGGATCAATATTCTTCATCGTCTCTTTACGCACCATACAAACTTAATGACACATCTATATATTTCCTTTACCCACGTAGGTAGAGTTTGCCCCCTGAGGTCATGCCAGCGCTCTCCTCGACCTTGCTACTAGATAACCTTGTTACTCGAAATATAACCCTTGGCTCTGCTACGTCTGCCTTAGCTTCCAACGCGACCAATGTCGAGAATAGCTTACAGGTTATATGCGCCTGGCCCGTGTCAGGTCAGTACGGCCCAGGATCGAGAGTTTTGTAAGTTATTCCACCTGCATATACACTGCATGTCTCAACGTATAGGGATTAAAACATCGTCAAGTGTATACTGCGTTTCCGAACTAACACCCTGCTTGTAGGTACTATGTCCTTGTAGCAGCTTGTGTCCTTGCTCGGAAAGCGGAATGGCTCAGAAGCGCTTGCTTGGCTGCTGCGTGTATGTATAACTCACATTCGAGATCACAAGTCTTGCCAATCTACAGGTTGAGCAATGACAACTCAGGGAACTACATAGACGACATTCACTAACATCAGATATCGTAGTGGTCTTTCCAGCTGTGGCTGCCATCCACGGCATCGTACTCGCCGCTGTGCATGTTGACGGTGGGTCCTCTTCTAAACACTTTATGTGTAAGGTGGGAACTCATAAGCTAATATGTAATTCTGTGTTAGGGGCTGTTGATATGGACGTGTACGGAGCTTTCCAGTTTTGCTCGATTGGAATACTAGCAGCCCCTTTAACAGTTAGGATATCAAGAACATACTTCAATGACCCAGGCAGGAACATAATCTTCCTATGGACTGGCATCGTACTTGCTGGTAAGTCTCAACCGGTCTCAACCTCCTAAAGCGTTCATATCGGCGTACTCACAGGAACACAGGCTTGTTGAGCTTAACCGTCGAATTCTTCCGAGCAGCGCCCGTGCCTTGCGCCCGCGATGATAGTGGCAATCCTCTTAACCCTAACGACCTTTGGGGATTTCTTAACAACAACGTCACTTGCAATCTTACCTGTTCTACCACCTCTGGACCTTTCTCTCCTTTGCGTAAAGACGCTACGAATGAAATTTTCGTCATACCGATGCCTACTAGACTTTCTTTCAACGCTGGCATACTTCTCGCAGCTGCATGTTGCATCCCGGCCGTCCTCTCGCTTGTATCTATGTGGAATAAGATCCTTGAGATTAACTGGAAGTCAAGATTTGGCCTAGGCGACGGAGATCAGCTAATTGAGGGGTGAGTATCCATATCTGTTTTGAGTATATACCTGCTCTTGCGAACCTATCTCAATATTCGGGGTCACTCGTGCTAACTTGACGGCAACAGGACAAACGGCGCTACCGTTGCGAAGATGACCGGAGTCAATGCCATGGTTAGGTTGTTTCTGAGCACACTAGAAATTCCTATCTTGAGCGCTGCAGTAATTGCTATTCTTGTCTTCGGCGAGCTGAACTTATGGAGTGCTCAAGTTTATTGGCAAACAGAGCCGATTGCTAGTATAGGTAAATGTCAATCATCGTTCATGGTTGGTCCAACTTACTAACAAGGATGTGCTTAGGACAGGTCAGTAGTTGAGTCTGCACCATTCCGGCTGCGAGAATAGTCCTCTTCAGCCACATTTCCATTTAACTAAGGCTTCCACTATATTACGAGACTGCTGAATAGAAACACTGCTAATATGCTGTACAGTGGGCCCCCATCGTTGGTACAGTCCTTGCCGCGTTAGGGTCTCTATACGTGCTCCTTTCAGTAGACATGGACGCCATAAATAGAGGGGAGAACCCAGAGGCTTTCACACACCACTGCCATTGCTCGCATCACCCTTTCCACGGCGACCGATATCTGAGTCCTCACCCCCAAGCTTACTCTTCTGGGGGTAGTGTAGATGCTGAAAGCGCACATGGAGGTGCCTCAGATTATCCAGAACACGACTTGAGAAGCATCCCACCCACGCAAGAATATAGCAACGGCGGCCTATTTATCGATTCCTCCCACCTTATCGCACAACCAAGTGCCGCCCGTTTACGATCGAGCTCTTCAAATAGCAGGGGTGCAGCTTCGACTGAAATAGCACCAACGACGAATCCGACCGACATAGGCCACAGGCGCAGAGTATATAGGGCGCTACTCAAAGTTAGCACTTACCTGGGCACTGCAAACAAAAGCCAATTCGACGACTCCGAGTTTAAACATGGAAAAGCACTCGACTTTCCCGAGGTCCCAGCGGAGGAACAGCGAAATCCAGTACTACCACAAATTAGGGAGGCCTACAACCAACATCGTGAAAACGAGCTCACGGCGAGGACGGGTAGCTTCGCGGGGAGCATAGCCTCAAGGGGGAGTTTCGAAGAGAACTCAACTATATCAAGGGCAATATCGGCCCCACACCAACCATCTCGAGCCCCATCACCATCACCTACGATACACAGACTACGGCACGCTAGTACATTACCAGTTGAACAAGGGCCATCTGGGACACAAGATCTCGCATCTCGCGGTAGGACGAGGGAGCGAAGCGATACACTCACGGTTCCCGAACCAGATATCCATCACGGTCATGCAAGAAACACTCGATCAGCTTCCCCTGTGTCGCCCGTACCTCCTGCCTCGCCTACTGAGCCTCCTAGTATCATAGATAATGGCCAGGGCTCGCCTGCAATTATTATATCTCATCCCGATACCAACACCGTCGTGAAGGAACCTGCCCCTCTTGATCCTCCTATTACCCAACCATCTGAGCCGGCATCATCGCAGGCAAAAACATCACCTCCGCCGACCTGAACTAGCGACTCCAATTCATCCATACGTATCCTACATCGACGACTTAACAAACGCCCCCTATAATCACTGAGAAGACGGACCCACCCTTTTCTCACTCATACAACCCCAGCCATTCTCGACCTCGCAAGAAGATTCAACTACATTTATCCCACCTATACTCTCTACAATGATAGAATTTCAAATCCCACAAAAAGCACCAATGCTTTAACACCACCAGCCACCTACAGAAACAGCAATCCCATCGGAAAACAGCACGAGCACATTACGAACGACGAACGAAACGAACTTCTACGCCATTACGAAAACTTAGATATCTGGATACGTTTACTGGTATATACACCTAGATACCTACCTACCTACCTTCATCTTATACTTGGATTAGGCGCGACACCTGAGGTATATAGAGATAAAAACAAGGATACCCCTATTCCCGTCCTGAGTTCAGGATAAAGGGGGAATGAGGTATATGTTTACACCACATCCTTATATGGGTATTGTATATAGACATAAATTGAAACTTATAATATCAATGCAATTCCTAGCATGTATGATTAGGACCATAGCTATATCTATGAATTATATCACGATATTTACGGGAAAGACGAGCGTGGCATATCACTCGTTACCACACGGTTCTCATATCATTCTCGCTCTTCCTTTACTTTTTAACGTAACTTTCCATTTCTCTAAGTAGCTATTAGCCATTCAGCTATATAACTCTCTCACCCTCTTACCATGTCGCAGGCCTAGGTAGAGGAAATTTAAGGTATCTATCGCAACCAACCCATCCATCTATCTCAAGGGCAGCACACTCGACGTCCCATTCGCCGCCAACAGCTTCCTGACCTCCTGCACGAGATCCTCGCGCTTGACCAGCAGGCCCTGGTCCTTCTCATCCTTATCCTCGCCGGGCTTCCCGGAGCCCAGGACCTTAAGCCGAACTTTTCCCTCGGCGAGCTCGTCCTGGCCGAGGATGACGGCGACCGGCACGTCCTCGGCGGCCTTGAACTGCTGCGGCAGCCTCGGCTTGACCTTGGCGCTGAACTCGGCGCGGATCCCCGCCTCCCACAGCTGCCGCGCCACGGACATGCGCTGCAGCAGCAGGCCGTCGAACTCCTTGCCGCCGAAGGCCATGACGTACACGTCGATCTGGCGCGCGGGCGGCTTCTTGTCGCCCTGCCGCGCCTTCAGGATCGTGAAGATGCGGTCGACGCCGAACGAGATGCCCACGCACGGGATCTGCTTCTTGCCGTACATACCCACCAGGTTGTCGTACCGCCCGCCCGCCGCGATGCTGCCCACCGCCGACGCGTCCGCGTTCTTCGACGACTTCTCCGGGTACCGCGTGCCGTCCTTGTCCTTCGCGTCTTGCGGTTTTTGGATAACCTCGAAGATTAGGCCGGTGTAGTAGTCCAGTCCTCGGGCGAGAGACAGGTCGAAAGAGACGCTGTCGAATGTGTTAAGTTCTTTTGAGTAGGAGGTCAGGAGTTCCATGTCGGCGAGACCCGCTTTTATTTCTTCGTTTGCCGACAGGTTCGGATCGGACTTGATGAATTGTATCATCTCGTCAAGGGTGCCGCGATTTAGTACGAATTGACCAATCTTGTCGGCAACTTCCTCTGGGAGTCCCTTCTGCTCTACCATCTCCTTTTTGACGGCTTCCCACGGCTCCTTATCTAACTTATCTACCGCGGAGCTGATGGGGCGTGTCTTCTCGGCGGGAACACCAGCGACGGCGAATATGCCGTCTAGAATTTTCCGGTGATTTAGCTTGATAGTAATTTCTTGGTCGAGAGCTTCGAAGGATTCGACGATAATTCGTAGGATCTCGGCGTCGGGAATCATGGGGTCGTAGACACCGGCAATGTCGAGATCGCATTGGTAGAACTCGCGCATCCTACCACGGGCGATGGCGGGCTGATCGCGACGATAGACTTTTGCGATCTGGTAGCGTTTGATCTGTTGAACATTGTTCATGGCCAACCAGCGAGCGAAGGGGACTGTTAGATCGTAGCGCAAGGCGCACAGTTCGCCACCCTGGTCTTCGAGATTATATATCAAACGGCCCTCCTCGCCATATTTGCCGGCAAGGATCTCTCGCAATTCGAAAACGGGAGTGTCGAGAGGGGTACCGCCGTGGAGCTTGAAAACGTTGGTTATAGTCTCACTACCTAACATGTCAGCGAATAAGATGCGCAAACTGCGCCGAACAAAACCTACAAGACGTGGTCTCGTAGGAGTAGGTCGGGTCCAGCCCAGTCGCGTGTGCCTTTTACGGCCTTTAGGGATATTTTGGCCTCTTTGGAAGCCATGTCGTCAATGTCGCCAGAAGGCGGGGTATCTTGGATAAATGATTGACAGGATCGACCAGAAGAGGCAAAGAAGGCTCTAGTGTAGACCGGAAATGAGGGTCTAAGGAAAGTTGAACGTATTAGCCTGCTACCTCTGTTGAGTGCGCGAAGCATTGAGCATTAAGCATTGCTTGGGTGCCCCGCGATGTATAAGCCCGAAAAAAATAACTGAAGGTGGGATGACTCAATTAGAGCTACAACGTGGGGTTAAGAATTTCGTCATGTGACATCCGACAATCGCTTTTCGAGCCGTACCTGCGTACCTGTCAAATGTCTTATCAAGCTATCTACCATCTTATCGATAAACAGCTCTATCCCTGCTATCGATAATGCTAAAATGAGCTCCAATATTTTGAAGAACTGGTGGTTCGATGGAAGTCACTACGTCTCCTATGTTCTGCCATTGAATGCCTTCTTCCTTCGAGATCATGCAAATGATCATTGGTTTCGATCATATGTCAGTCCTATGACAAACCTGTTCGAATGAAGGAACGCCGTGAGCGAAATCATCTCAAACTGGCTTATTAGAAAACATTGGAGTACTTCCCCTATTTGAGCGATGGCTGTCGAAGACCTGGAACAATGGATCGTCGACTTCAGCGCCCTCATACGAAAGTTCCCGTACGTATTTACTTTGGCTACTACTCTATTTGACGACCATTGTACCTAATGATATGTAATACATAGAGCCGGTGACTTCGTACACCTCTTCTACCCTCTCCTGTGCATCGCCGTAGGCGGTACGATACTGTATTTCACCCACACCGACTACTGGGATAAACCGAAACGATACTCTGTTCCGCCCCCTAAAGGGGCCGATGAAGTCAAAATCCTCGACAACCCGACCATCAAGGTCTCAGGCACCACAGCCATACAATGCTACAGACCTGCCACTGGCCAGTTCATGGGCTTCGTCAACCCGTCCACGCCCGCCGGCATCGATCGCGCCATAGAACAAGCCGCGGCGGCCCAGGAGAAATGGGCCAAGACCACGTTCGCCGAGAGGCGGGCGGTGCTACGCTCCATGTTGCAGTACGTCCTCGACAACCAGGAATCGATCTGTCGCGTAAGCTCCATGGACTCGGGGAAGACGATGACAGACGCCATGCTCGGCGAGATCATGGTTACGGCCGAGAAGCTCCAGTGGACCATCAAACACGGCGAGAAAGCCCTCCGCCCAAGCAGACGACCGACGAACCTCCTCATGGCCTACAAGAAGAACACGGTGCACTATGAACCCCTAGGCGTCGTAGCCGCGCTTGTGAGCTGGAACTACCCGTTCCACAACCTGATCGGCCCGATCATAAGCGCTATCTTCGCTGGCAACGGCATCGTCGTCAAGGTCAGCGAGCAGACGTGCTGGAGCGCTGCGTACTACACGAACATTGCACGAGGCGCCCTCGTCGCCCACGGCCATGATCCGCAGCTCGTCCAATCCGTCGTTTGTTGGCCTCAAACCGCCTCCCACCTGACCAGCCATCCGGGCATCAGTCACCTAACATTCATCGGCAGCCGACCCGTATGCCACCACGTCGCCGCTAGCGCCGCCAAGGCCCTGATCCCCGTCGTCGCTGAGCTCGGTGGCAAAGACGCCGCCATTATCCTCGATTCCGCGGAGAAGGATTTAGGTAGGATCGTCGAGATCCTCATGCGCGGCACCTTCCAAGCCTCGGGCCAGAACTGCATCGGCATCGAGCGCATCATCGCCGCCCCCGGCGTCTACGACAAGCTCGTCTCCATGCTCGAGCCGCGCGTCAAGGCCTTGCGTCTCGGAACAGACAAGGACGTCGGCGCCATGGTATCCTCCGCCTCGTTCGACCGCTTCGAAGCCCTCGCCGCCGACGCCGTGAGTCGCGGGGCCCGGCTCCTGGCCGGCGGAAAGCGGTACGTACACCCGGAGCACCCGCAGGGCTTCTACTTCACCCCGACGCTTCTTGTAGATGTGACGCCCGACATGGCCATCGCGAACGAAGAGTGTTTCGGCCCCATCATGACGATCCTGCGGTCCCCCTCCCCCTCCGCCGCCGACCTCCTCGCACTAGCCAACGCGCCCGACTTCGGGCTCGGCGCCTCCGTGTACGGGCGCGACTCCGACCCCATCCTCAAGGAAGTGGTGAGGGGCGTGCGCGCCGGCGGCGTCGCCGTCAACGACTTCGCCGTCTTCTACGCCGTGCAGCTGCCGTTCGGCGGCGTCGGCGGGTCCGGGTACGGCCGCTTCGCCGGCGAGGAAGGGTTGAGGGGCCTGTGCAATCCGAAAAGCGTGTGCGAGGACCGCGCCGCTTGGCTCGGGATCCGGACTGCTATCCCGCCGCCTGTTAGGTACCCCGTTCGCAGCCAGGAGCGCGGGTGGAAGTTCACGAGGGGTGTGGTTGGGCTCGGGTACGCGATTACGTTGAGGGAGAAGGCGTGGGCTTTGGCGGAGCTTTTGGGGAATAGTTAGGTTGGTTGGTAGTTGATTAGGTGAGAGGGATAGGGGAAGGGGAAAGGGGGAGGGGGGAGGGGGAGATGGTGCTGAGAATGATTGAATGAATGAGTATGCTTAGATACCCACGTATATTTAATATTAATTGGACATAATTACCTCCCCTAGGTAACTACCTACTTATACTACTCAAGTGTCTAATAAGTTTGTAGGATGGATTTCACTAGCATTTTAACACGAATGAATACGACGCTTCGACAGGAAAGACGAGTAGTAAAATCGAACGTTTCAGGTCATTATTACCTACAGAGCCAGTTGGCCAATTCCTACAACGCATGTACCATATGTACCTACGCCTTTATCCCTTGCCTCCTTTTTGGTATCCTCCATTACAGTCCGTATTACCAGCCATCTATACGCGCTCCCAAAACTCCTAGCATGCCAGCGATATGTCCATGTCTCCCGCTTAACACAAACGCAAACTGTAGGCATAAGAACCAGCATTAGGCGGTATGAACAAAAGGGGGTTGGTTCAACGACGAGGGATCTCCGCCTCTTATGCGGCAGAAGCGACGAGGCCCCGCTGGATCTTGACCAGGTTTCCGAAGTCCAACTTATTAGCATCCTCGGCGGCGGGCATGTGCTCGCCGGAAGCGATGCACAGGACGCGCATGCGCTCGTCGTATCGCAGGCCCGTAAGGAGCTTAGGCGTGATGAGAAAGTACTGCGAGGTGTGCTCGCGGCAGGCAATCTCCACCATGCGTTCGTGCACCATGCGCTCGTTGCGCGGGTCCATACCTTGGTTAATTTCGTCGACGACGCGGAAGGGAGCCTGTGCCATGGACTGCAGGGCCATCAGATAGAAGATGGTGGACACGGCGCGCTCGCCACCGGATTGTCGATGCTGGTTAAGTTGCTGAAGGGTTTCATTCTCGCTAGGCAAATATTAGTATATGGTGTGATTATAAATGGAATTGAATGGGAACTTACCGAAACTTGACCTTGATTTCGATAGCCCACTGTTCGAAGTCCTCATCCTTGTGAATTCCAACTTCGCCCGCACAATTGATCTGCTCAAAGTTATAGCTGAAGGCGTCGTTGATTTTTCCGATGACCTCATCAACGGAAGGCTCCCATTTCTCCTTCACACTCTCGATCTTCCTGTTATACGACTCGAGTTTAGCGTTCATCTCCTCTTTCCGCTGCGTCAGCTCTAGGATATCTTGTGCGCGCTTTTCATATTGTCGTAGGATCGCAGGATCGACTCCATGAATCAGCTCGAGCTTAGTAGACTCGGCGCCGATTTCGAGTTCGATATCCTCGGCGGATTTATCTCCTACAAGGCTGTTCAGGTATGCAAGCTGATCACCGCCGCCACCATCGACCGCCTCCTCGACCTTACGGCGAGCACTACTCGCCGTGGTTTTGAGCCGTCTTAACTCTACATCTAAATTCTCGATCTCAGCCTTCTTCTCGTCGAGTTGTTGCATGAGGTTCGAATTCTGTTCTTCTAGACTTTTCACATCCGATCCTGCTTCAATGAGACGGATTTGAACCTCTAGTAGGGCCTGGTGGGCATCGTGGATCTGAGAAAGTTGCTCTTTATGTTGTAGCACGGACCTAGCTTTCTCCACGATTAACTGGTCTTCTTGAGCACTGTACTCGAAAATCCTCTTTCTGCAGTCCGCAAGTTCTGCCTGTGTGTCTTCCAGCGACTTTTTCTCGGCCGCTACGTTTTATTAGTCTACGATCCAGCTCACCGGTGGCGTTTACTTACCAATTTTATCTCCGAGCGTTGCATACTGTGTGGCAGCTCTCTGCAACTCATTCTTTTCTTTTCTTAACGCTTCCTTCAAGATTGTTAGTTTTTGAACAACTAAGCCAGTAGATGGGCACCTACTATGTGTTGCCGAATTGGTTCTTCGCTATTGTCGATTTCCTGAACACGCGCCTTATTTTCTTGGCCTTGTCTTTTTATTTCCTGGATCTCCTCGTCCAATTCATTGATTCGTCTTTGCAAAGCACTTCTTTCAGCATGGTCGACAGGCTGATCTGTCCAGTATTTACCTGGATTGACTCGCCTTGTAGTTGTCGACATTACACCATCTCCGTATTCCCTACGCCTTGTGATGCGATACATATTGGTAGCATTAGCCCAGTTAGGAATCCTCTCAGTACCGACTATCTGGTCGAATTGATCATTACTGGTGTCTCGAAAACCAACTCCAGAGATATGCAATTTCTTTTCCGAGCAGAGCATTGCAAGAACCGGTTCGGGTCCTTCGAGGTATTCGATAGCGTATCCTTCAAGACCCATCTCGCGAACTTGTTCCTTAGGTATACTTGGTCGGAACGAGGCAAACTCGTTTCCACAAGTCCTGATCGACACCGCAATCCCCAGTTGCTTGAAGAATTTGGAGCTAAGCTTCTTGTGGTCATTGACAGTCTGGCAGGTGAAGCAAAAGAAATCGTCCTGCGCGAGAAGCGATTGGATTTGGTTGGAGAACCGCTTGTCTTTGACCGAGCAGTTGAGCATAGGTGGACCAAAAACCTCCTTCTCAAATTCATCCTGATTCTCCCGCAGCCAGTTCCAGCCTCTAGCAGCATCCGGGTGGGACCTCCTTAAAAAGGCAAGCTTTTGACCATCCTGGGAATTTAGAGCTTCTAGGTCCTTTTCTACCTGGGCCTTTTCTCTATTCTTCCCCATGTTAAGGTCTTTTAGCTCTTCAAACCGGGTGCGGAGTGTACGCTTCTCTGCCTCGTTCTCGCGTAAGACATGCTCTTGTTGACGCTAGATTTATCATGTCAGCACAAGAAAAAAGAACATCGACAGTAATAAGGACTTACAATCTTCTGGTTCCACTCAGAGCCAACGAACTCAGGAGGTTTGTTCTGTAGCCTGGCCTCGAGATCCGTAATTGTCCTGCGAATCTTCGCTAAGTCGGACCGTTTGGTATTGTGGGAATTGTTCTCGGCGTCCCTTTTATTTTGAAGGTGCTTAATTCGTTCATCTTGGGCCTCGATAGCCTGTAAAAGTTGGTCGCATGCCGCCTCCGCATTTTTCAATGCTCTCTTACGCTCGTCGACAACAGCCTCGATCTTTTTCTGGTATTTCTGCTTTCGATTAACGGCTTCGAAGGCAGGCCCGCAAGCATGTTCTAGTTCCTGTAGTCGCTTCGAGGCGTCATGCTTCTTCTGCTTTGCCTCGGTCACTAAGCGGCGGAGGGTGTTATACTCGGCAATAGCACGAGCGCTGTGGAGATCTTGAATCTTCTTCTGGATGGCTTCCCTTTCGCGCAATCGGTCCACATCGGCTTGCGACCCCTGCTGGCGTGCTTCATGACCCCTTAAAGTATCAGCACACCCATCTAGCCTAGCCTTTAAATCTTTATGTTTCCTGTGGAGTTCCTTCAGCTGGTCGTGCCACTTGATCATTTTTTCGGGGGCGGCGGCTCGTAGGGTCTCATGAAGAAGCTGTACAGGTGTAAGACCGGCAAATTCAGCAACTCTATCCTGGGGTAAAAACTGGCACAGGTTGTCTATCTGGATACGGAGTTCATTGGTAAGATTTTTAACAGCCTGGTGAGTGCAGTCCTTCCCATTAAGCCACCATTTTGTCTTGTTGTCTTCTTTGCGAATCTGCATGCGAATCACGTGGTTTGAACGTTCCTCTGGTGGACTCTGTAATTCGATCTCAACTATCGCGGCTTCTTTTCCGTGTTTCACAAACTCTCCTACGTTACTCGCGCGGCCTAGGTGTCTCGGATGAAAGCCTAAGCCCAGGCAGATAGCACAGACTAGAGAGCTTTTGCCAGTGCCGTTTGGACCGATGACCATGTTGAGGTTTGGTCCGGGATTAAACTCGGCGTGCTCGTAAGTGACGAAATTTTCGACTAGAACTCGTACGATGGCGCCAGTCTGGAATTCACTTATACCATACTCACAGTCTGCTTGCGATGGTGAGCTCTTTATCCGTACCCTCCGAGAATTATTTCGGCCTCGGTCCCGATCTCTTTGGTTATCATCGTCATCGTCGTCGCCTGATAAAGCTCCGTTTACAGTCTGTGGTGATCGCTTCGGCGAGTCCGAACCCGAGGAATGCTCATCATTCCCCTCTTCAAACCGGGCCCTTGACCGACGGTGGGACGACATAATCTCGAAAGGTGTGCAATCAGTTATGGTCGGGCGTGTGTTAAGGGGATTTTCGGGTTGGTCAAGTTGAGGTTTTCCGCAGGAAATTAACAGTAGTCAAGGTTGCCATACACCTCAGACATTTCTGATAGGAGGTTAAGTTGCGCAAAGTTACGGTGGTTGAATTAGAGGCATAGATAATGTGATAAGGATTAAGAAATATCCACCAGGCAAAGACGCGATTTCCTTTACAGAATTGTGCCTGTAAACGCGTTCAAGGTGGGGGTTAGCTTAGCGTAGGTACATAGGTACTTCGTTTAAAATCTAGCCTCAACTGTGCCTATCTGGGAAATCTTGCATGAGCCTAATGCGGCTAAGGCTAGCTTCCAGGGTTCATGCGGCTGAATTGCAGGGATCCTCCGTAAGGCTCTATGTAGCAACGTCATAACAATGAAGATTCGTCCTTCCTTCAATACTGTCTAACTGTCTAAAAAGCTCGCGATGCCTACAAATTTTCATCGTACTCCCTCCTAATACTTGTGCAGATCAATGGACTAACCCTATTCGGTCTAGAGACTGTCTGCGCACGGCTCCTTGACAGCCAAAGTACCTACCCCTGGTACCTACCTAGGTAAGATAGGCAAGTACAGCTGAAGTCGAGGTGAAGTGGGAGTCATGCTAGAGACAGTAAACGGCGCTCAGGGTGTCCAGTAGATTCTTTATTCCAACTGATCACACGGGACTACCACGAAAATATGGGGGTTCATGGCATTTTAGCGCCTCCGCCGCCTGTGCGTAACTGGCAGGTCGATAGGTTAAATCGGCGGAAGGCAGGAGCATCTCTAGATATCGCAGGTCAAGTTGCCCGGTTTATCACGTTTACTTACCAAAAGGAATACTACATATGCATATCCAAGGAACCGTGGAACATTCTTTTTAATGTTTATACCAAATACCTGGTACCTGAATACGTATCTAGGTGGTACGTCGATACAGACTCTAGCGTCTCCAACTTCGACACAAATCTATAAAACATCACATTCTTCACCTCACATGTTCACCTATTGATCATACTTTTCTTCATATCATTTACTTCCAAACCTTGAGCATCCATTTTCCAACTTCTATGCTCTGCATTGGAAGAAAACCTCATTTGAACCCTCAATCAGTTCCTTTTACTTTCTATCTTCTGATCTGCCCTGCCACACTCTTCTGCCCTCCTCTACCTTTCTTTACCCTCTACTCACACTTGAGATTCTCGCGACCGCTCCTGTCCACATAAGGATTCCGACACCTGATTTCCTCTTTCATCCCTTCTCTCATAATTTATCGCGTCGCGTCGCTCATTGGTCCGACTCGCACAAACCTTTTACTTCCAAAAGCCTAGGTATCTATCATTCCTTCCAATAATCTTACTACATCGCCACACTTTCTATTTACTTTCTAAAACACGCCGCACTCCAACTTGGAAAACACCCTGCTCCCTTCTACCATTGTTGCTACTCCAATTATTCACTGGAAAATCCATTTAGAATTACGGCTAGATATTGCTAGCCGTGAACATGGCTGGCCACTACGGCTTAGACAGCCAACCGCCGCGCCCTCCCTTAGAAGATACAACTGCCCGCGTAGTCAACGCCCCCATGGCGCGACCTTCTAAGCTCCACCACTACGAAACCTCCCAACCCAATCCCCTGAGAGCCCATCCTATTAATATCTACACGCAACAAGAGCAACCTAGTCCTACCACAGGCTTTACTTCGAAACTTGAGCAACGACGCCAACGTGTCCCCGCTCCTCCAGCTGTCTTAATTACTCCAGCTGTCCAACCACCGCCGAAAGATGACCGAAATGGAACAGAATTCGATTCACAAGGCTCACTTTCTAAGCGCCGTAAAACCCACGTTGGGCCATGGGAGCTCGGCGAGTCGTTGGGTGTCGGTTCAGCAGCCCATGTTCGCTTGGTCAAGCATAAGTTTACTAAGCAATTGGCTGCTGTCAAGATTCTATCAAGAGATGTTCGTCGTAACACCCAGCCGGGGAGCATAGCGGAGCTTGATATATGGGATCGGAGTCGCAAGGAGTACGAGACGGAAAAGCGTATTCCGTTTACTATCGAGCGCGAGATTGCTATCATGAAGCTGATTAATCATCCAAACATCGTCAAGCTGTACGACATTTGGGAGAACCAAGCAGAGATGTGAGTCGCATTTCCAATTTTTGCAACATCCAATCACTGATTTAGGCCACAGCTATCTCGTTATGGAGTTCGTCGAATGCGGTGATTTCTACGGATACCTCGACGCACATGGGCGCCTACCCGAACCCGAGGCGATGTTTTTCCTTCGCCAGCTAGTCAGTGCTCTGGAATACGTTCATTCCTTCAACATCTGTCACCGTGATCTTAAGCCGGAAAATATCCTCATCACCAAGGACAGACAACTCAAGATTACCGATTTCGGCATGTCGGCATTACACCAAAGTCCTCGCCATATGCTGAAGACATCATGCGGAAGTCCGCATTATGCTGCCCCCGAACTCGTTCGTGGGGGCGCTTACCGAGGTGACAAGGCCGACATCTGGAGTCTCGGTGTCATATTTTACGCCTCCGTGATCCATGCTCTGCCGTTCAATGACCCTGATGTGAATAAACTACTTGTAATAGTTGAGAAGACAAAGTACGACATCCCCGACTTTGTCAGCAAGGAACTGAGGGGTTTTATCACTTGTCTCTTGGAACCGGATCCGGAGAAGCGCTTGTCTGCTGTCGAGATATGGCAACATCCGCTAGTCAGCAAGTACGATTACTTGGATGATTACAACAAGGGAGGTCGAGCCCGTGATCATCGGAACAATGCCCGCTACGACCCGGTACCCGCCGGTGAGGTAGACGCGCAAACTCTAAGGCAGCTGAAGTCTGTATTCCATACGTATTCCGAACAGCAATTAGCATCGTTGCTGACTAACTCTGAGTATGTCTGAGCTTTTTTCGATCGCATGAGCCTTGCTAACATATGTGAATAGCGCCAATGAGTTTAAAATGTTTTACTGGTTGTTGTACAATTACAGAGAAGAACGTTTGGAGAACTACGGTACTGATATAACGTACTCTGCCAGTGATTTTCATCACCTACAACCTCCCAACTGGAGAAAGAAGCATACCACGGTCGAGTTCACGACCAAGAGTGGACGATCCCCATCGCGATTCACAGTCATCTCAAACGTCGCCACCGATGAGGACGGTGTGTCCTTAGAGCGAGCTAATACGGAAGGAGGCAATACCGTCAAGAGTTACGATCCGTATAGATCCTCTCTTAACATGGATGATATCGTTGCTAGTGAAGCGAAGGTTACAGTTCACCGTAATAATACTTCCTCTACACGAACTTCACGGAGCACGAGCGTGCGCAGCGGGTCGATCAGGACGAGCAACTCCACTTACTCGCGACGTAGTAAAGGCAGCAGACATGCGAAGAATCCCTCTTCAAGACGTCATTCACGACATTCTCTAAAGTCGATCAAGAGCGGCGAAGAGATTTCATATCAACGACCAGCCCCAGTCCCCAAGCGAGGTATTGAATTTCCACATGTCCAGAAACGATCGGTTGACCAGGGCCAGACAAGCGGCCGTTCTGCTAGCGTTATTGGAGACGATGCTATCCGTACTCGCCACGTATCCTGCCCGGAGAGCCCTACGAAAACAGCCAAGTTGTCTAGAGACTCCGGAAGGGGTCGTCCGGGCGTGCAATCTCTGGCTGACGTGTCCCGAATTAATCCCAATGATATAGATTGGATGCGGGATCTGCATGATTTTAGCAACAGTATTGCGAAAGATTGCGACGAAGCGTTCAATTCATCTTATCTAACCGAAACTCCGCTCGGATCGCCAGAGTTAGAGTTAGATGATCCGAAATACGCCGCCGCCGGGACCCCAAGTCCGACCACAACTCTGACGATCCGCGGAGCCGGCAATGTCAACATAAGCGTGGAACCTTATGACCTGCAATCGCCGGTAGTGGCGTCGTCTCCAAGAAATTTGGTTACGCATGACTACGTCGCGTCCCGTGGTAGAGCTGACCGCGCCTATGGTCGCATGCCTGGATCTCCTGCACAAGCATCTCCATGCAATCGGTATGGCTCATCCGCAAAATCAGGAGTAGAGCGCAGAATAGTCACGGCTCCTATACACAGCGCGTCTGACATGTCTTTTTTGCCTTCTATCAATGAGACGTCCGGAGAAGTTGGTTACCGTAGAGAAGGAGACAAGGCTCGAGTGGTATCCGCACCAGAGCCTTCGATGCTTCACTACTCACCAACAGATGAAGGCGAGGGACTAGAGTACCTAGCTTCGCATGGAAATACCATACGCGTAGTCTATTCTCCTCATCATGCGAGCAAAACGGGAGGCCCATCCACTCCCGGTAGCAAGCTGAAGCCTCAGGTTCGGCCGGGATTGACTCCCCGTCAGCAGTATGTATCTGATGGGATCAAACCGTCGATCCCTAGAGAGACATCTGAGAAGAGTTCTATTGCTACTTCCAAGAAGAAATCGTCGTGGTTCAAGCGTGGCTCCAAGGAGAAAGCCGGTATCTTGGAAAGTTTTAACCAAAGCAACACCGATTTTGCTCGTACGGACAGTAGTTCATCTACCGGTGAAGTTGATTTGCCAATGAAGAAAAAGAGTTTCGGCTTTGCTTGGTGGCGTGGAAGCAAGGAGCAGCGTCAGCTAAAGCTATCGCTTGGAGGCAAGTCTTTCCGCAATTATCGAGACGTTACAGGAAAATTAACAATTATAGGACCCGACTATGATAATTCTACCCCACATGAACGTGTGCGCACGTTTAGTAACCTCTCCCAACCTTCGCATGGTAAGAAATTGGATGATAAGGTTGCGTCCCGCAACATCGAACCCCAGCAAAGCTGGCTAGCTCGGCTATTCCGAGTCAAGCCAGCGACGAGATACCTTTGCTTCTCGCTTTCTCAGCGCCGCACGAGGCAGGAGATTTCGATTTTATTGAAACAATGGCGCCGTCACGGTATGAGGGACGTTATAGTGGATCGCGAACGTAACCTTATCTTTGCCCGTGTTGGCAAGAAGAATCGTAAGTACTCGACCGATATCTCAATTCGTACGAAGGAATAGATAACTAAACATGGTTTTGATACAGTACTTAAGTTGAAGGAGGCTTCCTTCGCTGCGGAGATCATGACAGTCATTGAGCACGGCAATCGCAACCCGCTGTGCATCGTTCGATTTACCCAGGAACGAGGAGCAGCTACGACCTTCCACAAGGTGGTCAATACTATCGAAGAAGTCTTTGGCGAACGTGAAATGCTGGTCACTGACAAGTATAAGGCCAAGATGATGATCAAGACGCTCAATTCGTGAAGTCGCTCTGCTTATGCTTTCGACTATTGCCGAAATATTAGCATGCGAGCACACATTGATTCCATTGGCATCCCTCATCCTACCTATCCGTTGCACTTACGAGGGTTTTTAGTGGTTTGACTACACACATTGAGAATCACAGCCTGGAATAAGAAGTTGAGGGAGTCTGAATATGGAAATTCTACTCGATACCATGTTGGAACAGTTGATGATTTTGCGGGCGAGCGGTGATGGTTCTCCCCGAATCTTTGCTTCACCATAAAAAGGAAAAAACGGCGTTAGTAATGATGGCGAGACGGGATCCTCAGTATCGGATGGAGGTAGTGCAAATGCCTCCCCGTGCAGTGCAAATTTGCTTTCACATTACGTTAAACAGGATGGTCCAATACGGGGGCTCGTACAGAGGTGTACCGGTATATGACGGTACGTAGATAATAATACAATGGCCCCTTTCCCCTGATTCTACTGTATACCGACTGTGAAGAGTGATTGCCCATCTATTTTCTTATCTTCGTGACTTTTAGTCAAGTACCTACATTGAGTCTTGATGTTTAACGACATATACCCCTTACCCCTGAATAGTTTGTCGATTACATAATACATAATAAAGTGAGCTTACATAATTAAATCCATTGATCGGGAGTTTCCGGTCCGAATTTCCACATTGGAATAGGACAGGGGTAGATGGACGAATGGAACTGGCTTACTGTTTGGTAACGGACCGGCAAATAGGAAAATTAGATCATTTTGTGCCTATCTAAGATAGAAACAGCATTTCTAAAACATCTTCGAAAACTGAGCGTTTTTTAATCTTCATTTTTCTATTGTTCGCGCCCTCTTCGCAGAACAAATCACTATCTAGGTACGCTACAGAACCTTAACTTTAGCCGGATCTTTTATAGAAAGATCAACCATCCGTTTCGGGAAGCCGTCAGCTGATAGAAGACAGCCAATTGGTCACTTAGAACCTTTCAATTGATCTTGGGACCTCGGAAGCCACTACTGCGTCATGCTGCGATCGGTACGACCTGCGGCGGCTGGCCAAGCTAGGAGTTGGTTTGGACCGAGGGCTGTTCCGCGCCTATTTTCCACATGCAACTCCTCCTCCGTCTCCTCATCCATTTCGTCATGTGTCACTCCGAGATCCTCAGTTGTTGCTAGAAACAACATATCCAACATACCTAGCAACCCGACCCATTCCCTACGATTTCAGAGAAACCTACATGCGACAACGATAAGAATGGCTGCGAACACGAGAACTGAGAGCGATGCCTTTGGCGAGATCCAGGTCCCCGCTGACAAGTATTGGGGAGCTCAGACCGAGCGATCCCTCTCCAATTTCCGCATTAACCAGCCCCAGGACCGAATGCCTCCTCCCATTGTGAGGGCATTCGGTATTCTAAAGGGTGCTGCGGCCACCGTCAACATGCGATATGGACTTGGTATGCCATAACCCTACATGTCCTACATAGAGCGCATCACGCCCTGACTACACATGTGTGGGATACTGGCTTACATGCTGCAACTATGCTATTACAGATGAGAAGATCGGAAAGGCCATTCAGCAAGCCGCTGCCGAGGTGGCTGACCTCAAGCTCATTGACCACTTTCCCCTCGTCGTCTGGCAAACCGGTTCTGGTACTCAGTCCAACATGAACGCCAACGAAGTCATCTCAAACCGAGCAATCGAGATTCTAGGTGGAACAAAAGGTAGCAAGAAGCCGGTGCACCCGAACGACCACGTGAACCGTTCCGCCTCTTCGAACGACACCTTCCCCACGGTCATGCACATTGCTGCCGTTCTCGAGATCGAAGGCGAGCTCCTGCCGTCACTCAAGAGCCTTCGGGATGCGCTCCAAAAGAAGGTTGACGAGTTTGAGGCGAAGAACATTATCAAGATCGGCCGAACTCACCTCCAGGATGCCACACCCCTAACTTTGGCGCAGGAATTCTCGGGATACGTAGCTCAATTGGACTTTGGTATTAAGCGAGTAGAGAGCTCCTTGCCGGACCTCAGATTACTTGCTCAGGGTGGTACCGCCGTTGGTACAGGAATCAACACCTTCGAGGGCTTCGCTGAGGCGATCGCTGCGGAAGTCAGCAAGATGACAGGAACCGAGTTCAAGACGGCCCCCAACAAGTTTGAGTCGCTCGCCGCACATGATGCTCTTGTTCAGGCCTCCGGTTCCCTTAACACCCTGGCCACATCACTTACCAAGATTGCTCAGGATATTCGATACCTAGGCAGCGGTCCTCGTTGCGGGCTGGGTGAGCTTATTCTCCCAGAAAACGAGCCGGGTTCCAGTATCATGCCTGGCAAGGTCAACCCCACACAATGTGAAGCCTTGACCATGCTCTGCGCCCAGGTGATGGGCAACCATGTTGCTGCCACCATCGGTGGCATGAACGGCCAGTTTGAACTCAACGTCTACAAGCCTCTCATCATCCGAACCGTGCTGCACAGCGTGAGACTATTGTCGGATGGCATGCGCTCGTTTGAGAAGAACCTCGTAGAGGGTCTCCAAGCCAACGAAGAAAAGATCTCCAGCATCATGAAGGAATCGTAAGTTCATCAAAACTCATAATCCTCGAAGGAACGATAGCTAACCATGAGATATTTAGGCTCATGCTGGTTACCTGCCTCAACCCTAAGATCGGTTACGATATGGCATCCAAGGTAGCCAAGAACGCGCACAAGAAGGGTCTGACTCTAAAGGACAGTGCTATGGAACTCAATGCCTTGAGCTCCGATGAATTCGACACGCTCGTCAAGCCGGAACTCATGATCGGGCCCAAGCCTTACAAGGGTTAGGTGCATCAGGTAGTTGAGCCCGTCGTGCACTACGTTCAAGCTGAGCTTGATGCGATTGAGAAGAAGGCGGCGGCCTATCACAGCCAACACCACCAATCTCCCTATTAAGGCCCTCACTAAGCGTTTGCTGACGTATTGCCTTGCATCTCATCGGTGATACCCCCCTAGCTACCTGTATGAGTCGTGTCGTCGTGTCAACGGCGACCTCGGACTTCACAGATCGTCGCAGACTGTATATGAATATGAGTAAAAAATAAAGTAAACTGATATCAACAACCTTGCCAGCTACATGTCAGAAGCCCGAACTTCGGATCAGGCGATGTGAAGGATGAGAAGGTTATTTTAGACTGTTCAACAGTCCCATTATCTCCGTTCTTTTACAACGCTTAATAAGCAGTTCCGTAGGATTGGATGAATCGCAGTGAATTGCAAGTACAATCGTGGAGTATCACGATAATAGATGTATCTACCTACCTAGTAGGCTTCTAGGTCAGCTCCTAGCTGGGGCTGGGGTTCGGGTACTTTCGGCAATCCACCCGATCTAGGACGTCGAATTGGCTACCATCCGACCTCGGCAGGGCGGGGGAGAATTGAGGATTTCGGTATTTCGGAAATTCCAGGTTTACTACGTCACCCCCAACCGACGATTTGCTCTAAGAATCGTCCAATCACATTACGAGGTGAGCTCCCTACTAGCTTACTGCTCTTGCCAACGTCCATGTCTTCGGGTCCGCGCTATGCATATGGCAATCTGGGCCAGGTTCTCATTATCTAAAACCTCCCTTTGAACTATGTAACTTCGTATCTATCTCGGAAAAGCCGACAACGGGAGCCGTACCGGATGGCGACATCGCAGTTCAGACCTTGGCTGCAACAATTGGAATTGTTGTTTGTTAACTGAGGGGTTGTTTGAAGCTGGTCTGGCAATTGATAAGATACTGGATGGATGCCGTCATGATCAACGAACTGAGAAATACCAATTGACGATAAAATACGGTTCCTTATGAGCGTCGGACGAGTGGGTTCCATATTTACGGCAAATAGAGCCAATTAGAAGCCAGGAATTTAAGTTCAGCTTACCGTTTTCAATCGGTATGTGGGGAAAGAACCTTGGGAAGCTGGGGAATGCTTTACTTAGATCTTTCCCGACTTAACATGTGAAGGGTTCGTCCCAAGTACAACAACAAGTACAACAACTCAAGCTTCATATATGCGGATAGAGAGGATGATAAACTCTCAGAGTAACCTCTTAGAGCCATGGAGAGCACGTTTCCCCCACACTTTCACAAGCTTGGTACCTAGGTAAGTAAGGTGTGTCTCCTCCTTTTCTTCATCGGCTACATCAACATCACGTAGCCAGTCATCTACCCTCCTTCCAACCGAGCCCAGCACCGGGAATGGCCTGAGAGACGCCTCATGTCGTAGTCGACAATACATCCACGCAACCACGGGCACGCGCCTAGGTAAGGTAAGCCGATAGGCCTAGACTACGCAGACACTACGCAGACACCATAGACTAGTACTCTGGGTACTGTGCTATACCTACATAAGTTTGAGACACGCCCCTCCCTTTCTGCAAGGAGGCTTCAACTTTAAAGCGGATTGCCTTGCCGTAGCGTCCAAGCCATTGTCGTCGTCCGTTTTGTTATAACCGTGGAATCCCGTCACTATCTCCATATCTAGCCCTACAACCGATTGCCCGCTAGTCTTCTCTTACCTAGGTAGATCTCAGACAAAGGAAGTACCTTATATATTACCGTTGACTTGCCCTCCAACTCTTTAGCTCTCTCATATTTCGTCCTTGACTCGTCTCAATACACACCTCCCACAAGCTTCGTCTAAACACCGAGCTATACATATATCATATATCGGAGCTAAAAGTGTATAACCACATACCATACCACAGTGGAGTAGAGATAAGGATTGCCTAAAACATATAACACTATTACCATCACCATTATGGCGTCCACAGAGTCCATCCTCCAGGGTGTCTCCATCTCGGGCGACGTGCAGCCGGAGCACAAGAAGATCCTCACACCGCAAGCGCTAGCCTTCCTAGCACTATTGCACCGTTCCTTCAACACCACGCGTAAGGCTCTGTTGGAGCGCCGCATTATCCGCCAGGCCGAGCTCGATAAGGGCTACCTACCGGACTTCCTCCCAGAGACAAAGCACATCCGCGAGAACCCGACATGGAAGGGCGCCCCGCCCGCCCCTGGTCTCGTCGACCGAAGGGTCGAGATCACGGGCCCGACTGATCGCAAGATGGTGGTGAATGCGCTGAACTCCGATGTCTGGACTTATATGGCTGATTTCGAAGGTAAGCTTAATTTCGCTGTCAATGGCAGCAACAGGGATATCGGGTGATGCTAGGCAGCGTTGAGAATGAAAGGTGAAAATTAGGAGACAAGGCGCTTGGCTAACCCGAAGAATAGACTCTAGCGCCCCTACCTGGGACAACATGATCAATGGCCAAGTAAACCTGTACGATGCGGTGCGACGGCAGGTAGATTTTAAGATCGGACCCAAGGAGTACAAGCTGCGGACAGACCGAGTGCTTCCAACGCTAATTGTGCGCCCACGTGGCTGGCACCTAGACGAGAAGCACGTTACGGTGGACGGGGAGCCGATCTCGGGCTCTCTCTTCGATTTCGGTTTGTACTTCTTCCACAACGCGCGCGAGTCTGTGGCGGCAGGGTTCGGCCCTTACTTCTACCTACCTAAGATGGAATCGCACCTCGAGGCGCGCCTGTGGAACGACGCGTTCAACCTAGCGCAGGATTACATCGGCATTCCGCGCGGCACGATCCGCGGCACCGTGCTAATCGAGACCATCCTCGCCGCCTTCGAGATGGACGAGATCATCTACGAGCTGCGCGACCACAGCTCCGGGCTCAACTGCGGTCGCTGGGACTATATCTTCAGCACGATCAAGAAGTTCCGCCAGAACAGCAATTTCGTGCTGCCCGACAGGGGCTCGGTGACGATGACGGTGCCGTTCATGGACGCGTATGTCAAGTTGCTGATCCAGACGTGTCACAAGAGAGGCGTGCATGCCATGGGTGGTATGGCGGCGCAGATCCCGATTAAGGATGATAAAGAGGCGAATGATAAGGCAATGGAGGGCGTGCGCGCGGATAAGTTGAGGGAGGTTAGGGCTGGTCACGACGGGTATGCGTTTTCCCTCCCCTTCGTCCTATCACACGAAACCCCCTGAGATGGATTGGACTAACTTGTGTCTTTAGAACGTGGGTAGCTCATCCCGCCCTGGCGTCCATCGCCTCCGAGATCTTCAACAAGCACATGCCGACGCCAAACCAGCTGTTCCGACGCCGCGAGGACGTCAAGATCGGCCAGAATGACTTACTAAACATGAATGTGCCGGGCAAGATCACCGAGGAGGGTATCCGGAAGAACCTGAACATCGGACTGGGGTACATGGAGGCCTGGGTCAGGGGCGTTGGCTGTGTGCCGATTAACTACTTGATGTACGTGACCTTACCATCTGCTGTATCCCATTCTGAAGACTAACAGAAATAAACAGGGAGGATGCCGCCACAGCCGAGGTCTCTCGATCACAATTATGGCAGTGGGTACGACACGGCGTGACGACGGCCGAGGGTAAGAAGGTAGACAAGGCTTACGCGCTCAAGCTCCTCAAGGAGCAGACGGAGCAGCTCGCAGCCAACGCGCCAAAGGGCAACAAGTTCTCCCTCGCGTCGCAGTACTTCGCCGGCCAGATCACCGGCGAAGACTACGCCGACTTCCTAACTACCCTGCTATATAACGAGATCACGTCCGTAGGGAACGCGGCGCCGGCTAGTAAGCTATAAAGGGTTTAACCCGGGCCGGTGAAGTATAATGGTTAAGGAGAGGGAGGAGTGCCTTAGTATATATAGTCATAAGTCCGAGGACGTCGATGTCAGGGATGAGAAAGAATAAGAATGGAGATCCATGGGACATAATGGAGAAACGAAGACCAAAAGGAATAGGTCGTATGGGAACGGCGCTTGTATGTTATGACGATATAAATGAAATGAAATCAAGTATGAAATCAATCGCAACTGGAAGTGAGTCAGTCACCTATGTGACTTAGCTGTGCGTTTGAATTGGATGACATCCAGGGAGGGTGCTACAAACTCGCCCCTTATTCTCAGTATATAAGCAGGTATATACGTGCCTACTGGGTAGAGGCTGTTTCGCTCTTCACAGCGTATACAGGTTGGGTTTTCCACGCTTCCTCTCTCTAGACATAATACTATGGATATATATATTTACAAGAAACGACGTACATCATTTTTTTAAGTTCTTTATCTCGCTACAACAAATAAATAACCGGTGAAACGGTTATCATCTACACCTTTGCCGGGATGCGAGCCACTGACACGAACATGAACCTTCACCTTGACTTTGGAACCCTCGTCTCGTATGGTATTGATGATCGGCATGAGAACCATCTCTATCCATACCCTAGCACATCATATTCATTCGGCTTGTTGATTATCGGTGTGGGCAAATGGATCACTTACCCCTTGAAGGGACCGAGACCTTGGTAATGGTCGTGCCTTGGACCGAAGGGGCAATGCTTCTATGGTGCACCCGGTGCCATGTCTCTGCGGCCACCTCGTCGTCGGGCGACGCAGCTCTGCCCTTTCTTGGGAGGATACCCTGTGTGTCCTATGCATTCACATGTACGCTCTGGAAGAGAGAGCAGAGTCTAATCTTGAAGCACGACTTCTTGTTTGATGTGGAGAATGGATCTACTGTGACGGCCCATTTATACCTTGTTTCTCTTTTAATTTAGGCGTCGGAGTTACAATCTTTTCACCCGCCAGGGTTTTCTTTTTTTTTAATTGTAAGGTATTCTTGCTTATCATATGTTCGTGTACTGAAATGGGGGGGGGGGGGGGGGGGGGGGGGGGTTTTTTTTTTTTTTTGAAAAAAAAGTGAAAAAAAATCAAAATTAATACATTTAGAAAAAATAGAGAAATAAAGGAAAAGGGAGGGGTTTGGGG